TTATTACAAAAACAAACATAAGAACAAATTAATTTTCTTCTTGAAGCAAACCTATTCATTAGATAGGGGGCGTCCGTGGCCGAGTGGTTAAGGTCGTTGACTTCAAACCACTTGCCCCTCACCGCTGTGGGTTCGAATCCCGACAGGGACTTTGGATTCTTTCATGTGAGGAAGCTATCCAGCTAGCTTACGGAACGTCGGTGGTTCTACTCAGGTGCCCGTTCGTGCCTGAAATAATGCACGGAAGGGCACCTGAGGTCTTCCTCCACCAGTAAAGCTGGAACGTCGCGATATGACCTATACTGTGTCGATGTGACGTAAAACCCAAAACAAACAAAATTCATTAGATTATAGTTGTATATTATGGGTGTTATGGAATTTGTACAGTAATATTATACGGTTTATATAGTTTATTGTATTATTTTTACATATCACATTACAATATACATATCAAAAAATGACATGATATATGATATATAACAAAGATATGTATAAAATTTCAGTCGAGTATAATTGTTTGAGTTGTTTCAAAAAAATTAAAGAAAAGTTGCACACAGAAGATCATATATGGTAAATAAAACAAAGGGAAATAATTCTGCAAGAATTGTTCGACTAACACCAATAATATGCACCAAAGCTCTTGATAATGATGCTCCTGTAAAACTTTATTACGAGTTGAGAACAGAAGTATTTCTCTTCCTTTTCTAAAATCAAAGGGCAATAATTCCGCCAAAGGTATTTTAATCGTAAAACGCCGACAACATGCGCCGCGACACTTAATGACAAAGTTTCTAAAGCTGCATGCCTACAGATGAGCCAAAATATTACAAGAAAATCAATATTGAAAACAATGAAACTAAAATGTTAAGAAATGTAAAAACATTCAAGATCCAAGCTAATTTTTACATGTTATGTGCGGTTTAAGACTGATTTCGCGGTATTTTATCACCATATTTCAACTGCGTTACTAACGCAGTAAGGGCTGTTTGTGCATATGTTGACAACTATTTTGTAATTTTCTGGGATTATTAGTACCGATTGCAATATGTAAATTACTAATTATTCACCTCATAATATTTTACTTTTAAAAACATTTCTAAAATTTTCATGAAAATTGACATGAATCTTGAGGCGTGCTGCTTTAAGGTTAGTCAAAATAACTTGAGAAATGTAGTGGGAGTTGAGAACAGTAGTGTATTTCTCTTTCTCTCATTTTATTAAACAAATTTTTAGTGCTATAATGCCGCTAAAATGCTTTAATTGCATACCACTAGCAATATGCGAAGAGTTGTGCACACAGACACTTGGGGTTTGGAGCTCAAAACGCCTTTAAAATCCAAATAAAATGCGGTAATATAAACAACGCAACAGCCGAAATAAACATCAAGATTATCGCCGTTTTCCTCCATTTACAAAATCTTTCGATAAATTCAAAATACCAGTCGGCTATGAACGAAGCCATCCGATTATGTTGGTTCCCAAATTTAAAAGCGCTGCGCATTTTGCACACGGCAAAACTGGGGCCACGTTTGAATTTATCGAAAGATTTTGTCAATGGAGGAAAACGGCGATAATTTCGGCTGATGCGTTGTTTATATTACCGTTGAAGTTAAAAATTGACCATCATCGTGAAGAATTATATCTTCTGTGTCGATGGACCAAAGGATTATGTGAAAATATTGGAAATGGAATAAAATACATATGTACATGGTGATTATGACGGTAGGGGTGCGTTTTTTTCCGGCAAACATTTTTATCTTGTGTATTATTATAGATGTTGAAATATAAAAAATTTTTCAAAACGGCTTATATTAAGTTTTTTTTATATATATGATCAGTACATGTGCTGGGATTGACAAATATGCATTTTATTTGGATTTTAAAGGCGTTTTGAGCTCCAAACCCCAAGTGTCCGTGGTTGTGCACAGAAGAAAAAAAACGCCCGACCATTGCCCGCCCGCCGACATAGCTTGATCTCATTTGGTTAAAAAAAGGAACACGGCTAAGATGCATATGAAATTATTTTGAATTTTATTCTATTTAAAAAAAAAAAACATAATAAATTATTACATACCATTTGCTCCATTGAATATGCACCTATTTTATTCTCTGTCAAATGAACTGTGCTAGTTCTGAGTTTTATAGCCGCTAATTTAATTTTATAACTTATATTTTAGAAATTATTGTCATGCGTCTACGTACAATGCCATTAAATATTGTTACAGAATTAAATAAAATGTTTCAAATATTCCACATCTATGCATGTTGGTACGGTACTACGGAAGCGTGAATGTGCCATCACTTGGTGATTTATTAACATAAAGTTACGACGACGGTGTAAAATATAATTTGTTAAGGACAGATTTTTTACAAAATATTTAAAAATCAACTTGAAAGTTAAACAAATTGTTAACATTGTCCCGTATTCACTGTAAAATATTATTTTCTATGCAAGACTTTCTAGTTTGTGAGTCATATATTGCACTTTTTTAATATGGATACATATGTGTACATCTGGTCAACACATTTTTTGTGTGTGTGTTTAAGTGATATTTAAGCTTGGCGCCGGAAATTCCATATTGTCCAAGATCTCAGTGTCCATGCCGGTCCACTCTAGAAGTCGCATCGGGGGAGTCTTCTTCATGCTGATCTTCCTTAACCTATTCGTCGTTCGTTGGCGGTTGGTGGAGGTACGACAATTTACCGCTTCTTGACGGCAACAAACATAGCGCCACCCGTCCGAGTTAGTCTCTGGTACTTGAGACGTTTTGACCATGACCTGCCGTATGCCTTCTCCGCGACGTGTACGCCTTAGGAAGTATTGGGAAAATACATTTTCGATTCTTTTTGCCAAATATATGTAATTTGTTTAGGATCCAATCGGAAAATCTCGGCTATTATCAATAATAACTTATCCGAAGTCTGACGCAAAGTGCCGAGAAGATGCGATTGTAATTATAAGGGTTGAGTATACGATACATCAAATGTTATATAGAATACATGTATATTACAAAGCCAAAACAGCTACAATTATTATCTTTTCACAATATTTCCATGAATCCCTATAGTGTCAATATTGATATTTCTATTACATGAATACATGTTGTGCTAAATCTACTTTCTCTTTTGTGAATTGTCAGGGGATATAACAAATAATAAAAAATACAGCTATTGGAAAAAAAAACATGTTAGCATACTTTTCATATAAAGTTCATAGAAAATGTTATTAAATGTTATTCAGCGGGAAAAATGCCAGTGTTTGTTATGTCATAATAAAATTTGTATCCGAGGGAAAGGTCGATCCATGGAATCTACATAATCGCAAAAATAAAACAGCATAAATACTGATTATTTGTTTGTTTTGATTGGTTTTTACGGCACACCAACACAAACCAGGTTATATGGCACCGAAACAGGTAGGATGATTTTGACTCACCGTGTGTTACAAACTTAAAGCAACACCCAGGGTGAAAACCACCTAAACTGCTGGACCTGATAATCAAAGCGCTTAAGGCACTAAGCCAGACCTATTCCTTATAGAGCCTAAGTCACGAGTTTGCATAATCTATACACGTGTGCTTGGTGTGCATTTGATACTAATTATAGAATGAAGTGTTTTATGAACCGCCAAAAAAAACGTTGATTTTTTTCTGTATATGAATATTCTTCCAGATCAACTATCAAAATGTATGCGCACAACTATGACGTTCGGTGTCATTGGAGTAAGTCGGAAGTAAGATTTTAATTACAAAATGTGCACTGTACAATGTAATTAACTGTTGAAAAAAAATCTGTTTTCTCATAAAAATACCACAAGCATCATTTTATTTTTTCATAAAAATACTGCTATATTCGTTATACGTTTTTATATATTTGTTTCCAACATGTAAAAATCAGAAATGTGTTATGTGGATACTGTTATAAAATCTTTTTTGATAACAAATGTTGACAGAGTTCTAAGTGCTTAAGTATGAATATTTACATGATGAATAAAGACATGTTGTTATAGAACAATTCATTATCTGCTATATGTACAGTGTATATAAGATCGGATGATAGATCTCACACCAACAACATCCGTGTATAATCATTTCGTGTTTTTTTTTTGTCATCTACATGCTACTGAATAATACCAACATAATTATTTATATAATTTTATTCCTTAAATTGTGGACCAATTCACTTTAATAGCATGAAGTCACCTTCTATTGTGGACCAAATCGCTTTAAGAGCATGGAGTTAATATGTTCAGAATTCGTACTCTTAGCGCCTTAAAGGACATATGGCTTAGAGAACGTACATAAAACAGTAGCTAACAAAACATAGTAACTGACGTGGCAGAAAATAGACTAGAGTAGCTTTGCATGACTTCAAGCGGACCTATTTCCTCCTAAAGCAATAGTTCCTCGCTTGAAAACTGGAAAGTAGTGGTCGGTGTTACCATATTAATAAATAATCTTACTTGTATCATAGTTTGGGGACCTTTCTGTTGAAAATGTGTCAGAGTAAAAACGTATACATATACATGCACAGTGCGTTAACTGGAGTGCAGGTATTAGTTACCCGCACTCCAGAGCATGCCCATTGATTGGCTCATTTTGTCTCTGGGGTTTACATATTGTGACGACAGAGAAAGGGATAGCGATATAAATATCATATTCAGATGCTCGTTCATTGGTTACTTTTTTCTGGGGTTTCATTTTGTGACATCAGGGAACGTGTTTTTATTTTTGACTATGATACAAAAGTGAAAGAACATCAAAACACTCGGCAATCAGATTTATACTCGGGGGCGTTTCCCCTCGTACAAAACAGATAGCCTCGTGTATCGATGCTCTTTCTTTTACATAATCGTCGTCCTTCAGTGCTTTAAAGATTCTGAATATTTCACTGATTAACTTAAATAAATTAATATCAAACTATAATTACAGGCGTATGAATATTAATGTTGTTGTTCTTGTTGTTCTTTGTTTGTAGCAAAGCCGTAAATACGGTAACAATTCCTCGGCCTTCGTTAGGCAATTTGGTACGCAAAGATTGCAAATGGTACCTAACCGACGTATGAAAGAAAAGGCAAAAATATATATTGTTGTTTTATTACTTTTCATATGATTTATCATAAGACTACAAGATCACTTAAGCAAAATGAGGGTTGACCGCAAAATTGCAGTAACTTAGATGTATATGCAATAAAGAAAGACATGAAACAATTTTACAGTCAACCCTCGAAATGTCTTAATTAAAAGTTCAAATAATAATTTTTTTTTGATCTTTTCTGAATTGCTTAAAAAGTCTTGAGACTAGAAATGCGGGTCCAAAAATAGATTTTGATACAAAACCCAGACCCTGTTAAGTTAAAAAAATCAATTCATAATAATCCAAACACCTAAAGAATTAATTACATTTCATATAATACATAATCATAAAGATATACAATTTTCCTTTCATCTTTTTTCTTAAACTCTTCTTAGGAATCTGAAATGCACTGTGAACTACCTTCAAAAATGATATATAAAAGCGGGTCAAACAATTCGATTTTGATACAAAAACGAGACCCCTCTGTCTTAATGAATTGCCCCTTAATTGGCAAATCACATTTCAGAATCATTTCCGACACAGTTCTTCATTTTAACAGTTTTCTGTCAATTCAAGTACGTTTTCTTTAAAAACTGTTTTGAATCCTCATGTTTTCCAGCACCGCATTTTTTCATTTTTTTAACAGCTTTCTGCCAATTCCAGCACGTTTTCTTTAAAAACTATTTGACCAGCACCGCATTTTTTATCAAATTGTTACTTTATAAAGAATACTTTATCAGTATACAAGACACTTTAATGATTTTCTAGCACCTTTTTACCTTTCATATAATGATTCTATCACAGCATTCAGATTAATCAGTCTGTTGTTTTGTAAAACTTCCATTAAGTTTTCAAAGCACAAGTCGCTCATTTGTCAACTATTTCAACCTAATACTATTTCCAGAAAATCTGGGGATGTTCCAGCACCGTTTTACTTTATACTGTTTCCAGGCCAGTCTAAAAGATTTCTAAGTACCTTTACTTACTTCATATAAGAGCTAGTTCTGGCTCTTATGCGGAAAAAATCATTTGGGTCTTTTTACTATGCCTTTTCTCGAGTATATTCCACGACCGAATCCACGGTCAGCCATCTGAATGTGACCTACTTCGTTCGGTTTATTATTACCCATAATTATCTGTTGCTGGTACATCCGCCTCTGCTGTGGACTCATTTTTCTATAATCGTCCACACTAAGTCTGAATTGTTTTGGAGGATACCGGAAGTGATTAGCTTCCCTCAGCTCACTTCCCTGTTTGTGTCTTAAAATCTTTATGAATTTCAATTCATCCATTTTCATATACAGGCATTCATCTGCACTAACAGTGAACTCTGCATTCCATTGTGATTTTTGAACAATCAATGGCTTGACATTCCCTCCAATATCCGTTTGATTACAAAATAACGCTAGTCTTTCGAGCACTTGTTTGAAATATGTCACTTCCTGTTCAATGTTACTAGGCGCACTTTTAAACTGTTTCCAAAACTTCTTGGTGAAAAAAGAATGCACATAATAATCCATTTTATTTCTCATTTTAAATTGGTCCACATCTTTCCGACTTAGATCAGACTTAGACACGGGTTTGTCTCGATAAGGGTCTCGTAATATTCCCCTTTGACCATACCATGGATTTGCTCTGGCTTGGTTAAGGCCCGTTATAACCTTGGTTCGAGGAAGATTGGGCGTGTTTTTCACTCGACTCACGAAAACATTGTTAGGAAGGAACAAAATATCTTGCAACTTCCAGTTCAAATATCTTCTCATGAGCACGAGAGATTCTTCAAAATGTTCAACAATTAAAACAAGAGTGAATATTTTGTCTAGCTCTTTTAGAGTCTGAAAGATAATACTGTTATCGAACGTCTGCGGAAATCCAAAATCTCGCGCCATCACGTTCTTCGTATACGAGAAAAAACTTCTATCGTATACTTCCGGTCTATGAATGAGTTTTTGTAACTTTTGTCCTTTAATCCTTGTAAGATATCCTAATTTTTGCGATTCTTGAGAATAAAAATTAACAGCTGATATGAAAACAGATAGCGGATCTCGTACGATGCCAATATAAACGGTGTCATTTGGGAGGAGTGAAGAATATGTGCTATGATTAAAGACACCATGATTGCACAATATGTCATATCCTTGGCCTACTTTCGGTGGAACGAGAGGAATATGGCTGCTTATAGACCTAGAGAAATAGTTCGGATGTTTTGTGAACACAAAAGTTAAATTTCGTTTCCGCCCAAAGCGAAAAAACATGTTTTGCAATGTTGAACTGGCAGCTTTGTGGACTTTCAAAAAAGCAATATGGCGGACTTCCGGTTTTGATGAAGTAGGGAAAATCGAGAAGTTTTTGTCTTTAAAGTAATCATCTATAAACTTATCAGAAAGTTCTAATTCAAAATGATTTCGAATTGTAAGATTTCTAATCAACAATTTTGGGAGTTGTTTCTTTGTCACTTCTCTTTGAAGGTTGGTTAAATTCAAAACGCTGACGCTGCGTGTTTCCTGTTTGACGTCATGATTTGTAGTTCGCCGATTATTTATTTTATATAAGGCGGATGTTTTTATCGCAGCTTCACGATTTTTCTCCAAACTCTGGTCATTCTTTGAAATGTAAAATGCGATAGCAGTAATAAGAAGTAGGTACCTGAAAAAATACAAAAACTGAAATAGGTAATAATGTTGAACGTTTTACTTTTAGGAATGTGACGCTGCGTTCCGCCGCTGGTTTCATATAAAAAGCCTAAAATATTCAGAAAAAAATATCATACAATAAATATAATTGAATCAGAAAGGCCTCACAAAATGACAAACTTTAAGATATTGTTTGTACATTGATTGTTATTCATTGCGATATGCGCGTTTAATATGACTCATTTGAACTCGTGGATTTCCGCGAATCCGAGCTCTTGTTTGTTTAATGTGAAATCATATTTAAAATGGTATTGGTTAATTTATTAAGAGATTGCCTATACATGCTTCTTAGCCCGGCACCCGGATTTTGACCATGATAACGTAAGTTAAAGCTGGACCAGATTACTTTAAAAACATGGTAATGTCGAAATATGGAACAAATACTTAAAATGTCAGTAAAAAAGCTAACAAGCAAACTTCTTCCACTTATTTCCGCATCAAAACCATTTTCAAAATATCTAATACCACCCTAACGAGCTAGCTAACGGAACGTCCGTGACACTACTTAGAGGACTGCTCGGGCTTAAAATAATACACGGAAGGGCGCCCTTCATAAGTAAATCTGAAAAGTCAGTGTTTGTGCGACTTAATTAAATATCAAAAAAAAAGGGCACTTGTTAAAAAGTTAAAAAGAAGCATTACACAAAAATTTTTGCTTTCAGAATTATGCCACTTGTCTAAAAACTACATCTTGCCATGATCAGCAAGTATTTCGATCAAGTTTCATCCTGACACCTTTTGAAGTGTACTTGAAAGTTTTTGCACGACGACGCCGCCGCATCGATCAAAATAGCTCGTGTTTTTCTTCGCATGAGCTTAAAATAATAGAATAAGATAAAACAATTCGGTTATTATCCACACTTTATCTGCTTTTTATCAGAAAAGGGTCGCGTTGAAAAGATTTTTATTACTCCTGGACTGTTTCAATCGGAACATCTCGGCTATTATCAATAACAACCGAAGTTTGACGATAAGGGCAGAGATGATGCGATTGCAATAATATCTCATCCGATATACGGTAAGTGACGAATTATGCCGAACTTTTACGAAGTGATTAAAATAATCTTATAAACGTGAAAGAAGCGCGAACATAAAGCTTTAAGATAATATCCTAACATAACGATATAATAACAGAGGTTTATATAACGCGACTCGTTTATGATAACAAAGTGTGTAATTATTGACTAATATTACCACGAAAATTGCTAAATTGCAAACTACGGTCACTATGGCGTTACCCACGAGATCATTTTACTGTTAAGAATAACGAATGAAACATTTACAATCTATGAACAGGCTGATTCTCACGGGTGTCTCAAGTCACTCTACAGTAACATGAATACAAAATTGAATCAAGATTTCGTTTTAATTTGCTGTGCATGCAACTGTTTTCTACTTGCTGTAAAAGTTATGTGAACAAGTCCTCTGTTCTTATCGCCCAAGTACACTAGTTGATATCTTAACATATATCTAAATGGTTCCTCGTAGAGCATTAACAACTCCCTCACTTTTAAAGTGAGTGGGGAAACGAATGATCTTTTACTACAACTGCTATGCAGTTAAATAGTTAGTTTAACAACCACCAACATGTTTCCTGTCTTTTAACTAAATCTCCCGTACTAATTTTTGAAGCTTATTCTGTGGCTTTTTTGCTGACATAAGGTTAGTTACTGACACTGACTGATATTCGGCAATTTCCGGTAAATTCCGTGTTACCTATGCATATTCCATAATATCAAATTTGAGCGACGTCGATCACGACCGTGGTAACTTAAAAATTTAGTCGAACGAACTTTGGATTGAATGTAGTGACATTCGGTTGATGTGGTCGGATCAGTCTGTAACGATCAAAATCGTATATTTCTCGGCCTTTTCCGTCAAACTTCGGAAAATAAAAACAGAGATGTTCCGATTGAAACGGCCATTCTTCAATCGGAACATCTCGGTTTTTATCAATAATAACTTATCCGAAGACTGACGGAAAGGGCCGAAAAACTGCGATTGGGCCATTCTTCTGGTTCAAAGATGTCATAAACGGTAATGTGTGCCGCATTGTAATGCATTTAGTTTGGCAAACTAAGACAGAATTAATCATTTCATTGACCAGACATGCGCATGTCAACTTTTAAATCAAGACAAAAGTTCATGATCGAAGTCGCTCTCTGTCATGTATGTATCGGAAAACCGCAAGAAATGAACCTATTGGGTGTAGTTAAAGCGCTGAAGAAGGGTCCCTAGCGTCTACTTTGTTACATCGTATCCGTGATCAGTAAAAATGAAAAAGAAACTCTAGCTACATATATTTAATATACTAGCGCACGAATACAATGGAGATATTCGATAAAACCTCAATTAAATATCTAATATAATCTATTATTGATAGTCGCAGAAAAATGATCAAAGTGCGTCCCTGCGTTTGAGAATGAAATTGGTTTAATATATTAATTATTTTTGATATCTTATATTTCTATCTACAGGAAAAACGAAAGACTGAGGCCCGTAATGACACTTTTAAAGATAGTCGTAACAAAAACTATGCATTAAATAAAGAAAGTCGCGACAAAAACTATCCATTAAATAAAATAATGCACATGTACATAAACTATGCATTTAATAAAATAATGTACATAAAGTTAGAGATGCAAAAATGAAATGTTTGCATGTAAATTTTGAGACGTAAAAATGTAATAGTGTACATGTACATCAATTTGAGATAGAAAAACATAACATCGTCGTTTTTCCCCCCAAAAAAACTTTGAATATTTAGAAAGCACTTACTGTCACGTTTAATATACTTTCATTTCCATATAAATTATGGTTGAAAGGAACGGAAAGTGGCGAAATGTGCCGATTTTCTACGATGTTAACGGCAATGGTTCATTACTTTCAATAAAGTGACTAAAATAAGTTCAAAAACATGATAGAAGCTTAAACAAGACGCTGTAAAGGCTTATTATGCCCCAGAAATGAATTTATTTTCAGTCTTTAAAAGCTTTTTTAAAGCTTTAGTGCCCCGTTTTAGTTTCTATTAAGTTACTCATTGGCCAACTACCTGAACCATCTGCTGCTTCTGTTGCTTTCTGGCAATAAGTAAAAATATAGTTAATAAGCAGTTTTGTATGGAAGTCAAATTAAAATTTTATGACACATTATTTCACAACAGATCGACTATCTTAGGGTGATAATCATCTAAATTTCTCCTCAATCGTGATTCAAACGTTCTAAAACTCATGTTGACTCTTTTTGCAGAAGGAATATTTTTATCAATTTCTGAGGCATAATGTGCCTTTAAAGCAGCATGCCTCCATATTCATGCTATTTTTAAATTTTTAAAATGTATTAAAAAGTAAATTGCTGTCAGGTAAAGAAATAAAGTAATTTACATATTGCAAACGGCACTTTAAAATCTGCGATAACTACCAAATATAGGTTAGAATATATACATGTACGTAAAAATAACCCATTGCTGCGTTTAGATATAGCGTACAAGTAATAAAATGATGAAATACCCGCAATATTCAGTAATTCTAATTTAAAAGCATTTAACATTGAAAATAAAATTTAAATTATAATAGTGATTTCCTTTAATACATTGTCTTACTTTCTTAATATTTTAGTACATTTTTCTCAAGCTAGATTTCCTTTTATATTTTGGCTCATCTGGAGGAATGCAGCTTTAAGTTAAAATTTTAGCATCAAAAAGTACAAAACCATATCATTTTAAACGGTACAAAATAAATCCTGTATTTATAGAAAAAAACTTAAATATTCTCTATTTATTCCCGTCTGAATATTGTTAAAAAAACGAAAAAGAAAAACAACAAAACCATAAAAAAACAACATTTGTTTTCGCGCGGATAACAACATAGAAAGTTCAACTCACATAAACGCTTTCCAATATTTCCGTGCAATTTTCCCTCGTAGTAACATTTTCTGTCAGAATAAAATAATTCCTACTGCAGTCACTTAATATAGCTCTATTTGCAAGAGAAAATTGATCTGTGAGGTGTTACCATAGTAATCCACTGTGGATATATATATTTTTGTGTTTTTAGATATCATAGCTCGGCCATATAGGCGTTCATTGCGGACTTTACCACTTGTAACACTTCACTTTCACGGAAATATCTCCTTTTGTTCTTTTCCTTTCCCCATTAAGTTCATTGAAGTTGAGTAATTGAAAGAAGGAAGAAAATGTTGCCAATGTTTCTATATATCTTCTGTATGTGAGTAGTGCGGTATTTTTTTTATCTATATCTTTACTTACAGCTTGAGATGATATCAAACTATCAGCAGACTTTTCCCCCGCTGTATTACGACTTATTTTCATTTCGGCCCTACTTAAAACTATGCCACTTGTCCTTAATTGAGCTGTGACGTAGTCAACCGAATGTGTACGGAAATTGCCGAATATATATCAGCAACAGTTGTGCATTACCGTTCACGTGGCGGCTATAAATAATGCACCACTGCACTTGAGATTGACCATAATTATAGCATACTTGACGAGTGGAACCGAACCATTTCTATTATAACGGGTTTAAATTACTGAAAATCCTCCAGTTTATCTGGCAACAGTATATAAATAATCCGACTTGTATGGCAATGACACAGATCTCTGAACATTGCCGGCTGAATTTCTTTGATTGACTTCAACTTCTATTCTTGAAAGTTTTTTTAGTATATCAATTTAAGTATACCAAGATGTAAATTTATGGATCAGTAAACAGTATAGAACCTGGTCAGATTGCACTGGTGTGCTGGCTGAGCCCGCTCGGCTCTCTACATTCTGGTGTAAAGGCTGATCACTTTCGGTTCGAGCAGCTGAAGGGTCAATCGGAGTTGCGAACAAAAAACAAGAGGGCCATGATGGCCCTGAAGTCGCTCACCTGTATATAGGCCCCCGGAGCGGGGCCAGTTTAAACCACAGGGCTTTTATTTGAACAAACTTGGTGGACACCCATTAGAAGATGTTTCATGCTAAACATCTAAGGTCTAGCTCGTTGGGTTTTTAAAAGAAGATTTTTCTTTCAAGTTTTTCTTTACACATATAGTTAAAAACAATGACAAACCTTGGGCAGGGCCAGTTTTGACCCCAGGGCTTTTATTTGAACAATCTTTGTAGACACTTACTAGAAAATGTTTCATGCTTAATATCTAAACTCTAGCTATTCGGGTTTTTTCAAAGATTTTTAATTTTTTGCTATACACAAATAAGGAAAATCAATGTCCCCCGGGGCTGGGCCAATTTTGACCCCCAAGGCTTTTATTTGAACAAAATTTGTAGACATTCACTAGAAGATGTTTCATGCTTAGTATCTAAACTCTAGCTATTTGGGTTTTTTTTCAAAAAAGATTTTTTAAGTTTTTGCTACACACATATAAGGAAAATCAATGGCCCCCGGGGCGGGCCAAGTTTGACACCAGGGCTCTTTTTTGAACAAACTTGGTAGACATCCATTAGAACATGTTTCATGCTAAATATCTTAGCTCTAGCTCTTTGGATTCTTTAAAAGAAGATTTTTAAGTTTTTACTATATGCAAATAGGGAAAATCAATGACCCCCCCCCCCCTGGGGCGGGGCAAATTTTGACCCCAGGGCTTTTGTTTAAACAAACTTGGTAGACACCCATTAGAAGATGTTTCATGCTAAATATCTTAGCTCTAACTCTTTGGGTTCTTTGAAAGAAGATTTTTAAGTTTTTACTATATGCATATAGGGAAAATCAATGACCCCCCCCCCCCCTGGTGCGGGACCAATTTTGACCCCAGGGCTTTTATTTGAACAAACTTTGAAGACACTCATTAGAAGATGGTTCATGCTAAATATAAAAGAAGATTTTTTAAGTTTTTACTATATGCATATAGGGAAAATCAATGACCCCCTGGGGCGGGGCCAATTTTATCCCCAGGGCTTTTATTTGAACAAACTTGGTAGACACTCACTAGAAGATGTTTCATGCCAAATATCTAAGCTCTAGCTCTTAGGGTTTTTTAAAAGAAGATATTTAAAGTTTTTTCTTTCGGTTGCCATGGCAACCAGAGTTCTGCATGGAATTAAATTCTTTGAACAATTTTTAAAGGTGACCACCAAAGGAACATTCCTTTGAAGTTTGGATGAAATTGGCTTAGTGGTTTATGAGGAGATGTCATTTAAAGTAAAAGTTTACGGACGGACGGACGCCGGACGAAAAGCGATCACAAAAGCTCACCCTGTCACTTTGTGACAGGTGAGCTTAAAAAAAAGGCCAACAATTTATAGTTCAAGTGTTTATTATACAAGATAGCAAAATTTAACCTATACCCACTTGAACTATTAAAAAGATTTGCAGTCCATTATACTGACATAATAGGAAATGCTAATAATGTTTATTTCATTCGAAACACGCATGGATAAGCATAAATAATTGTTTTTATCACATTAAACGCGGCGCTGTGTATAATTTAAATATTTACACCTATGGATAAGCATAAATGATCGTTTTTATCACATTAAACGCGGCGCTGTGTATAATTTAAATATTTAACTACTAGCATACAGACTGGTCCGCTTCACAGAACAATAAAAACAAGATACTGGAAACTATATTACATCCAATGGCATTACAGATTTTTTTATTCAAGATTTCCTATGTCCATTTCTGTCCCGATGGTAATCAAAAAATAATTATAGGGAAAATACAGAGAGTTCACCAACATTCAGTAATACTTGCATGTTTAGTTACTTGGAGAGAAAAACAACATAATATAATATTCTACAATAATATATTGTTTCTTGTAACGGGGAAATTGTGAGTGTTTTTCTGACACGGTAATGCCTTGTTTCGGTTAGCTCAGATTCAGACTATATACATGTATAACACATTCATAATTAATAAACATGAAAATAATGTATGTCCATTATTGATCTAGATCATGTAGATATACATTGACTGGTTTCGCATTTAAGACCTCGGTGTATATAAATCATTCAATAATTAACATCGTGCGCATGTGCAAAACAACATTTTATGTGCGATTAATTAGCCATTGTGACTTTATCCATTGTGATTTATACTAATAATACCTGCTAGTATAAGAGATGTTCGCATGTCTTGCTCACGCTCAACGCCGGTGAAAGTAATTTTATATTCTTATTTCATCTATATTTAATGACAAACGTCATATCTGTACAGTTCGACCTGTCTTACGGACTACTTTCCTATAAAAACAACATTACAGAAAAAAACCCAACAAAAACCCAACTCTTTTTAGAGGCTTATAATATAGATTCATATTTTTAGAAAATGCTGCGAAATATGATTTAAGAAAAGTTAGGAATCGTGTTTCAACAAATGCCGCGTAAATTAACCTGATATAAGAAAACGTCACATTTTTATTCCAACAGTTTCTATTTGTACAGATGGTGCGTAAAATGGACTGATTTCAATATATATTATGCTCAAATTTGATATTTGAAAATACTTATTGCTAAATACACGTAGTCTCTTTTTGTAATGTAAAATACCGTAACCATCTTTTGAGTACACATAGATATTTTAGTATAAAAACATAGTGTCATTAAAAACTAGGAGTATTAAAGAAAATTCCAAAGTAACTTGACCAGTAATAGGGAATGCAGCTTCCTAAATATAGTTCATGCACTCTCTATTTCAAATTACACATGTTCAGTAAGATTTCAATACATTTCTGCAATAAAAGTATTTTACACAAACACGAGCATAATATAGCTTTAAGAAATCACCGATGCCAACAACGGCCATTCCAGATCCTGTATGTTGTAATTAAGATTGCAACCACACTTCAGTGTAAAATTTATATGTATATAATTATGCTTCTAAAACAATTTTCAAACATCCAAGAATAAGTAAAATATGCAAATACTTGTCCACATTACATGTAATCATTAAAATATATGCATTTATTTCTTATTTAAAATTTCGACTTAGACTTTATAGAAACTGGTCCTGAAAAACAGATTTGACTGTACATCCTATTGTTCAGAATCACTTTGGTCTTACAGGACCACTCAACAACACGCGATTCTTCCTTTTTATACTTCGGCATGTGGTTGAATCAGAACCTAAGCTACATGATGTTATATTATATAAGAGCTAGGACTCCACTGAGTGCTGGGGCAAAAATTAATCGAACTTTTGTTTAACATTGCATCGTTTTATCAATGAAAAAATATGAAAACGCTCTAATCGCAACCAAATCACACTTATTTTTAAGGAACAGAACATTAACATAGCAATCACTCGGAAGCATAATCAATATTAACTCTACAGTACATCTCCGCAAAACATACAAACGCACACATATTCATCATATATGTGTTGAATATATGTATTAAAACAAAACGGTTACAAGTTTTCCCAAATTTAAGTGTTCTCTAATGTCCCTACATCTATTTAACGTATATTTCAAAGAAAGATAAAACTTATTCCATCATAAACCATCATATACAACATATGTATATATGACAATCCATTTAATAGTATCCGATTTCAATATAACTATACATTTTTCATATTTTTCTCTAGATATTACATACATGTATAATATTTTTATAGCCTTTAAAAGTCATAATGCTACATGAAACCAATAAAAATACAAATAATTTAGCCGCAGATAAGCAAAGTACTAGTACGCAATTAAATTGACATTTTAAGAAAAATCGACAAGATAACTTGTTTTTTGTAATTTAATAACATTTTTTTAGAATTTTATGATCTGAGGGTTATCTATATATTGTTTAGCAATTATATATCAGTTTATAAATTTAAACGCAAGACTTTTATAGAAGTATTTTCAAATACTGACATATCAAGGATAAAATGGTACTCGTCCTCAAACATCAACAAAGTTTCAGCAGACACTATCTTTCTGAGCAATCAATGAATCCGTGTACACAACGAGAACAAATCTAAACCCAAATATAATGAATCATATACTTTTACGGAAAGTTTATTTTCTTATGTCACAAATCACGTACTTTTAACGAAATTGGTCACTTACCATGTACTTTTACCGTAATTTTGAGACAAATCACGTACTTTTTACCGAAATTTGTCACTAACCACGTACTTTTACCGTAATTTTGTCACAGATCACATACTTTTACCGAAATTTTGTCACTAACCACGTACGTTTACCGTAATTTTGTCACTAAGCACGTACTTTTACCTAATTTTGTGACAAATCACGTACTTTTACAGAAATTTTGTCACTAACCACGTACTTTTACAGTCATTTTGTAACAAATCACATACTTTTACCGAAATTTTGTCACTAACCACATACTTTAACAAGTATTTTGTAACAATTCACATACTTTTACTGTATTTTTTGTCACAAATCACATATTTAACCGATTTTTTTTGTCACAAATCACATATTTTTACCTTAATTTTGCCACTTACCACATACTTTTACTGTAATTTAACTTATTTGGTCAAGAATCACATACTTTTCCCGTAATTTCGTCATGAATCACATACTTTTACTGTAATTTTGTCATAAATCACATACTTTTACTGTAATTTTGTCAAGAATCACATATTTTTAACGGAATTTCGTCATGAATCACATACATTTACCGTAACTTTTGTAACGAATCACATATTTAACCATCATTTTGTCAAAAATCACATACTTTTACTGTAATTTTGTCATGAATCACATACTTTTACAGTAATTTGTCATGAATCACATACTTTTACCAGAATTTTGTCACAAATGACTTACTTTAACCGTAATTTTGTCACGAATCACATACTTTGCCGTGATTTTGTCACAAATCACATACTTTGCCGTGATTTGTCACAAATCACATACTTTGCCGTGATTTTGTCACAAATCACATAACTTTACTGTATTTTTGTCACCAACCACATACTTTTAACGTAATTTTGTCATAAATCACATACTTTTACCAGAATTTCGTCACAAATAACTTACATTAACCGTAATTTTGTCACCAATCATATATTTTACCGATATTTGTCATAAATCAAATACTTATACGGAAATTTTGTCACGAAACACATTATTTTACAGTAATTTTGTCAGTAATCACATATCTTTACTGTAATTTCGTCACGAATCACTTACTTTTACTGTAATCTCACCACATACCTCATAATTTTACCGTCATTTTGTCATGATTAATATACTTCAACCGGAATAAAATTTGGACTTGGCAATAAGATTTCATCAAATGATCGTGTGTGGAATTTTATATACATGCATATATCTCGCTTCTGTTAATGCAAAGACAAAAGGCTAGAATGAGTTAAAATTAATATTTATTATACTTAGTTATTTCTCAAGTTTCAATCTAATGAACATCACATTTAAATTGTATGTACATGTCGCAGACAAGTGAATAATATGAAATTGTTAAAATACGCGATAAAATTTCATTCCATGTATAATACTAAATACAAAATAGGCAAACACAATGAAAGTTATTTTCATATGGTGACTATTAATTATTGTTGATGGAAAAGTATAACAAGTACCAATCTGTGCATTATTTAAGACATGAATTACATATTAAAAGCCCATTAAGCCACCCTCGCCACAGAAACAATTGCAATTATTTTTATTTCTCAAAACCTTTTTCTTTTGGTTTCTGTTACTATCTCTAAAATGGTACTGTTGGCTATGAAACTGAACCCTCTTTTGTTATTTAGCCATAAAAGTAAAGTTAAAGTGATTAAGTATTAAGTACGACAAAATACCACTTTGTCTTTCTGTTTCTGTGACAAATGTTTACATATGCAGTCCATTTTATACCAACATTTATCTAACGTTCTCTACATCTGCTAAATATCTCAAAGAGAATGCAGACCCAAGTGAACAATAAATGTCTCCAAGATAAGGACCATTTATGACTCTCAGAGGACAACTTATATCACTCATCAAAATGTCATACATTTGAAGATAATTACTGCAACTGTTAAAACATTTCTGATGATAATAAATATGGTAACTTATAATGTACCTTTTAATTTCACAGGGTTGACTGCAGAACATAGTATCTTGTATCATTTTCAATATTTCTTTCTTTTCTGACACCCCGGCAGGCTTTTCTCTGATGAGCATAAACTCCCCGAGAAGTTGTGAACATTTTCGGACAGTGCATACATCCAAACCGCTTGTCTTCCATTTTTTTCACTATCACACGTTTATTTGACTTGAAATTCGGATCATACTGGACAGAGCCAGGGTTCATTTTTTCAGCATCCTCGTGCCTCTGTAGATGCTGCAACAAGTTATGTTTCGTTGATAATCCTTGCAAGCAAATGTGACATTCAAACTGTTTTACAGGTACGTGTGTTCTCAAATGTGTTCTCCTGTTGTTCAGTGTCCTGAATCTTTGCTGGCAATGTGGGCATTCGTATGGACGTTCGTCTGTATGCGATCTTTGGTGAATTCTCAGAGTGCTTGCTTCGTAGAAACGTTTTCCACATCCTTCGAAATTGCAAATATTGTTCAACTTATTCTCATGTTTGACTTTTATATGCCGAAGAAGGTGACTAGACCGCGAGTAAGTAGCATTACATTGGTTACATCTATACGGTCGTTCCCCCGTGTGAGAGAACATGTGGACGCGAAGAGAATCTTTAGCTGTAAAGCATCGTCCACATTCGTTACACATAAAATTACGCTGCACTTTCCCTTCACCTGAATGCTGAATCAATTCATGACGTTTCAAATTTGAAAGACTTGAAAATTTCTTTGAACATTTCTTACAATAGTTAAAGATGACGTTGTGAGTGTCGTTTAGGTGCTTTCCCAGCAATAATTTTGATGGGAAGGTCTGTTCACATGAATTACATGGGAATGTTCTTTTCGTCCGTACTTTTGGTTTCTCAAGGTCTTTGAGGATTTCCGCACATTCAATGCATTTTTCACAGTTTATAAACAATTCATTGCTCTTATGTTTCAATTTCATGTGCCTCTTAAGATTACCGTTAGATGATAGAGAAGCTGAACATACTCTACATTTGAAAGTCATCTCCGATTTAGATGCCACAACATGACTTTGAAAATCTGTTTTTGACAAAAGATTTGGATCATTGTCTTTCCCAGCAGCAGAATCTGACGGTAGTCCATGCTTCATGATCATATGTTGTTTCAAAAAACGCCACTTTGTGAATGTCCTCTTACACACCGGACACTTATAACGACTTGTAGAATGTAAATAAATATGAACCTGCAAACAGCAATGTTTTGCAAACATTTCATTACATAGATCACATTTGAATTTCATCAGCTCTCCTTCTATTACTTTACCCTTGAAATGAAGTTTTGTTTTGTCAGTATATTTACTTTGCTTAAGTTTAACACATTTGTGAGTTCTCAGACAAAAGACAGAGGTAAATTTACGAGGGCATAAGTTACAAGCATACGTAAATTTGCTATGAAATTTATGCGAGTGGATCATTAACTGAGACTTTCTTATGAACTTTTGAGCACAATGTCGACACACTGGTACAATTTGGTTACATCATCTGATTCCTTTTTGTGTCCTAGCATATGCTGTTTTAGTGTGGACATCATGTGGAAACTTTTGTCACATTCAATGCATTGGAACTTCCGCTGAAACCTTTCCTTTGTAGAATTGGTGCTTACAAAATCTTGGTCACTTTTTCTTTTATTTACATGTATGGTGTCTTTTCGCAAATCTGTATCATTTTCGTTACTTCTGTATTTATCTGCTTCAATTTTCTTAGTCACGTACTGATCTATATCTTGGACACTAATATTTTCATCTCTTCCATGTTTCATGTCTACATGTTTGCCAATTATTCCCTCTTCCAAACCATTGTGATTGCACACTGATTCTTTGCTTTTACTTTGTGTACTATAACCTGATATATTTTGGTCTTTTTTCCCAGTGTTTGCTACATTAAAACCGTCACAATTTAAAACTTGTAGGTTCTGTCTTCCATCCCCTTCTTGTGCGAGTTTAACATCCTTAACACCACATACTTCCTGCTGGGCAATTACTTCTCTTACAAGATTTTCACCCCTGTTTTTTGTATTATTCTCATGTTCAACCGTCACATTTCCTTGAGGACTTAACATATATACATCATCCTCTTCTACACTATGAGTGACCCTTTTGTGTCTTCTCAGAGCTACTATTGACTTATGCTCAGATCCACAAATATCACATTCACACAGTTGCCTAGAATTTGCTTTACCAATAATGTGAATATCCATATGATTTCTATACAGAACTTTTGATGCAAACATTTTTTCACAATGATCACACCTAAATATTGTCCCATCATTATCCTTATGATACTTCCTTAGATGGTTTTGCAAACTTTTCAGACTTGAGTAAATGGTCATACAAAACTTACATTGCAGGTTGGATGCTTCTGTCAAATCATGGTTTTCATCTCTCAAATGTGCTTCATATTCAGTTTTATCATAGAATTTTTGGGGGCAATTTGAACACTCAAAGTAGCTTTCGCTGATTTCATCATGGTCTCTCTTCATGTGTTCTTTAAAGCTATCAAAGCTTTTAAACAGTTTTCCAGTTTTACAAATCATACATTCAAAACAATGTGTATCCATATAGTGGTTAACATGGTTGCCTTTCTGATTTTCCTCTATAACTTTTAATTGCAAATGCTCTGATCCAGTCATTGTATCAACATTTAAACTGTTAACAATCTTTTGTGCATCTCTTTGAAAAACGGCAGTTTCAATATGACTTTCTTTAATACCTTTAACATCATGCTCTTGGTAATTTCCGTATTCAAAATCAAATTCTTGAGTGTTTCCTTCAACTTGATCCACATCTTTTGCTGATGCAAAATTATCAGTACTAATACATTTTGATTTAATGTTGTTGTCAATGAATGGTACAAATTCATTATCATTTTTATGTCCTTCACTACCAATTTCTGCTAGACCTTTTTCATCAATTAAATCTTTGGCCATATGTTCAATTGTGTTTTCAATATCTAATTCTTTGTCAATGTACGTGGTTTCCGTTATGAATTGAGCATCAAATATAACATCACTATTTCCAGCACTAACTTCGTCACCATTGCTCTCATGTCCTTTACCAGTGTTTTCAAACTTTACATCTTCATCAGCATTATCACAATCAGTATTTATATGATTATGATCAATATATAACTCAGTCTGGTATTCAGTTTCCATTTCACGTGGTGTTTCTTGTTTATTAGCTTTTATATCCAAACTTGATTTAAGACCTTTGTCCATACTATTTAATAATGAATAGTCTTCATCTTCATTACTGTAACCCTCATCAGTGTCTTCAAGATCAGCTTCAGAATCTACTGTTGGTTTGTGGTTATCACTTGGCATTGCTGTACCCTTGTTATAGATTTTGTCAGACTCAACATATTTATTTTGTTTAGAATGATATTCCTCTCTGATAATAGCAATATTTGTACTTTTTTCAACAAAACAATTTGGATCAATTTTCTCGAACAAATTCCCATCATCTACCAGATTGGAGTATACCACAACCTGGTTTCGTTGTGGTGCTTTTTTCTTCTTTACATCTTTACCAGCATTTGGTTTATCTTCCAAGTTATTAGCTGAATTTTTCCCGCATGATCTATTGTAATGTTTCAAAATTCCTAATCTGTGTTTCTTCATGTGTCGTTTCAGACCATAAGCATTTGCAAATCCTTTCGAACACAGAGTGCAAAATTCAGAAGGTTTCGCAAGCAGCGCTACCCTATTTGTTCCCTTTTCATGACATTTCAAATGATCTTCAAGTGTACGCTTTCGTAAAAACTCTCTATTGCATATCGAGCATTTGAACTCCTTTAGGTTTGAATGAAGTTTCTGATGTGTTTTTAGACTATTTTCATACTTGAATGTTGCCTGGCAAATGTCACATGACAATGGTGGCGAATCTTCATGAACTTTCATATGTGCTGCTAGCGATTCATTCAGGACAAATGCTTTACCACAAATGTGACAGACAAACTTCTTCGTTCCTGAAATCAAAATTTGAACAATAATGTTAGTTTTAGCTGAAAACAAATAAAACATAATGAATTTGAAACAAAATACTGCTAAGCGAAACTGTTTCAACCATTAAAATTGTATAAAATCAAAACCATCACCAGGTTACCATGTGAACTAACATTTTGTTTTATTATATAAGAACAATGAGAACAATTAATATTTGAAACCTGAAATAATTGCCAAATGTTTGTTTGACTTTCTACAGCTTAAACTTTGAACTTCAATGTGAAAAATGGAGTATTAGCTGACTATAAGCTGATCATTACCTATGTGAAAAGTCATACTCCTTGTTACATTAAACTTTCTCTTAAACTATCAAATAAATTGTATATATAGAGGATATTGAATGAGTGTAGATTAAATACTAAATTTATTTAACATGTTGCATAAATTCATTATACTTGAGACCCTGCGAGCATAATATTTATTTATTCAATAAGTTCAATAAATTTAGTATTAAATCTACATGAATATAATTTTAAATTTCTCATATACCCAAAACAAGAAGGATTTATAGTAAATAAGAGTCCATCTATAGTGTAAAGCTAACATTAGAGTGCTTTAACACTATATTTGTATATAATGCAAATAATGTCATGATGTTATAACACTAGTGAAATATCCTTTTTATTTAATGACATTATTACACTCCTGTGCAGTGGTTTATGCGATTCTGAAATAACTATACCTTCATGTATAGCCATATGCCTGGTTAGGTTGGACTTTCTCTTGAACTGTGAATCACATTGTACACACTTAAAACTTCTGACATCATCATGGCCCCTCTCATGAAGCTTTAACTGATCTGTAGTAGTGAATGACTGTGCACACCTACAATAACAGAATGTATGAACGTAATCTCCACTCCACTGAAATTTCTAGCATAAAATTAATGATATTGCATTATAATTGGTAACATACAAGACATCAATTATTAACCTGAAAAGATGTGAACCTAAAAGTGACATTATGCTAATTTTTTCATTGTTAAGTTGAGCTGAAATGACTATAAATTTCAAAAGATTGACTGATATAATGGTGATTGACCTGTTCACTCACTATATACTCTTGGATGGTCATGATAATGTCACTTCAAAGTGAATACTTTTTGAAAAAATTGGCTTTCAGATACAAGGTAAAACCTTGACCAGAACGTAACTTAAGGTTACAATTAAGACAAAATTAATGCTAGAATTAATGGTGTAGGACAAAGGCCTACAATTAAGATTTGAAGTTATGTATGAAGTTAGGTCAAAACTCTTTTAAAGGGACTCCAATGATGGGACTGGAAATGATTTTTGCAATTTATGTTCCATTTGATAAAAGTGTACAACAAAAACTTGTGTGCAATGTTTCTGATCATTTGTCTGCTTCATTTTTAAAATAATCATTCTTATTGTGAAAAATGACTGAAAAACTGAAAAGCGTTGAAATGCTTTTCACTAAAATCATGCTAAAAATAGCGCAAAAGTAAAATTATCCATTTATTTCTGGATATATTTCTAAATGATCTTTTTCAAACTGTTATGTTTAAAATGCCCCAGCTGATCTATGTAATTTATGTTTTACGTTTTTAGGCTTTTAAACCTCAGTTGAGTTCCATTAATGTGATATGAATTTGTATACATAAAGAAAACTCAGTATTAAGTGAAAAGGATAGTTTCACTATTCTCTGAACAGTTAAGCTAAAAATCTCTAACCATATTATTTTGACCCTACCTTGTGCAGTAGTAACGTACTCCTAAATGTTTCTTTTTATGTACTCTGAAAGAGTTCATACTGCTGAATATCTGCCCACACACCTTACATACAATAACTGGCTTCTGTTTGTCAGTACTGTTTTTCTGCTCACTAGGTTCATTTCCTGCAATATAGAGAGAGGACATAATTCATTATCTATTTCACACAATTTCAAATGAAACCGACACCTACTATTTATTATCAATGATTAAAGCTGGATGTCTCCAGATGAGCCAAAATAGTTTATAAAAATCAAACTAGGAGAAAAATCTACTACGATTTTAAGGAAAGTAAAAAGATTTAAGTGATAAGTTACAAGTTGTGTGATTTTTGTCTGATTTTAGGGCCCAGTTACACAGACGGTCGGTCCCCAATTGGTCATTTAATCTTAAATTTACTCGCTGTAATGATCGGTTGTCATGCGTGATTTTATTTCTGGTTTTCTGTGTAAACGGCCATCGGTGACAGACAGCAAACTCAAACGGGAATTAGTTGATGATTAAATGCTGAAATACTTTTGGTTTTTATCGTTTGTAAATGGGAGCCAAATCGGGCGTAACGCTGATTAATCGGTGTTTGATAGCTAGTCATCAGTGGTTAAACACTTTCCGTCAGATATGGCCGGTGATTCATATTTGGTTATCTTTGTCCGATCGGTGATATCGGTGATAAAGAGCTTGAATATCTCGTGATATAGGTTGCCGTCGGTAATTTTTAAAATATTTTCACCGATCGAGAATTTTAAACGTGTTTAAAAATCCCAATCGGTAATTTTTCACCGATGAAACTAATCTTTCCCCAATAGCAGTTGATAGGTGGAAAACAGGTGACCAATAGGTGATATCAGTGATCAATACGTTGTCATCGGTTCACTCCATAATTTGGCTAAAAAAACTACCGATCAATCACCGATGGCTCTGTGTAACTGGGGTGTTACTGTATCTATCACCCTATTCATACAGTGTGACAAATGCAGTAAGGGATAGTTTTGCATATTTTAACCCCTTTTTGGTAACATGTGTGGATTGTAAGTCCTATTTGCAATATGTAAATCACTTTCTTTGTTTACTTCCAATATTTCAATTTCAAATACATTTCCCATTTTCATGAATCTGGAGGCATGCTGCTTTAAGAGTAACTAATTATAGGCTGTTTGTTTACCATCGACTGTATTGAAATATCGAAATCATTTTTATGTGTAACATAAAACAAGAACGTGTTTGTTAAACACAAATGCCCCCGGCTCAGATTCTTGTCAATAACAATATTTAAAACAAAGGCTGTATGGGCAAAAGTGTAAAAAATCTATTTTTAGCACTGGTGACCTTGACCCAACTGACCCCTAACTCCATCCAAAGGAAGAATATCATGCAACTTATTTTCCTACCAAATATGAAATAAATCTGTCAATATATAAAGGCTGTATAGGCAAAAGTGTAAAAATCTATTTTTAGCACTGTTGACCTTGACCCAACTGACCCCTAACTCCATCCAAAGGAAGAATAGTTATCTTCCTACCAATTATAATACAAATCTGTCAATATATAAAGGCTGTATGAGCAAAAGTGTAAAAATCTATTTTTAGCACCGGTGACCTTGACCCAACTGACCCCTACCTCCATCCAAATGAGAATACCTCAATTTTTTGTTCCTACAAAATATACAAAACATCTGTCAATAGAATAAGGTTAATACACCTGTAAAGTTTAAGAAATCTATTTTTGACATTGATGACCTTGACCCAAATGACCCCTTACTAAAGCAAAAGGAAGAGGACCTCCTTGGTATGACTATTATAAACATGAAAGACATTAACTTAAAAATAAATGCTGTATGAGCAGAAATGTTTAGATTTATTTTTTTACACAAGTGACCTTGACCTAGAGACCCCTAACGCCACAAAAAATTAGAGGACCGTTAAAGGTATCCACCTACCAAATATGAAAGATATCATTAAATTAATTAAGTAATTAGGTGAATTTTTTTGATAAATCCAACTTGGCTGAATAGGTTAACCATACAAGGCCCTATTTTCAAAGTGGTAAAAAGGGAAATTACTGGGAAAATGGATGGCACATTTATATAACTTGGCAATATCATGTACATTGTATTGATAAGTAAGTGTGAAAATTATTAAGCCATTAGTTCAGATAGAACATAAGATATTTCCAACTTGCCGGTTTAGGTTAACCATTATTCATTTTCTAAGTGCTGAAAAGGGCCATAACTTGGTGCAAATGGAAGCCATCGTTATGTAACTTGCCCAGATCATATACTTTGTATGGATGAGTAAGTGTGTAAATTATGGAGCCATTGGTACAGGTAGAACTTAAGAAAAATCCAACTTGCCGTTCTAGGATAACCTTGGACGGACAGACGGACGGACAGACAGGCGGACAGTTCAATTACTATATGCCCGGGGGAATAAAAATGCTAATCAATCCAATGTGTGAACACCTAGGGTTACAATGTCTTCAATCTTCAAAAATCTTTGGAAACTATGGTGATAAAATTTCATAAATTTTACATGTACATGTACGTGTATTTACAACTTTCTTTTATAGCATTTATATTTAATAGTAACATTATTCTCATTTTCTAATGTTTCACCATAACTTAGTGTAAAAGTACTTAGCAACTTTTTAGCTTTACAAGCAGAAGTAAAATACAGACTGTTTAAAAGCTGAGGAAAATAGCACTGACTGTGCAGTAATGTGTTGTAAACGTAACAAAATGTAAACAAAGTAGTATTTAGACTTCCATACAAAATACTTATTCACTATTCTTATACCTATTTTCAACGAATCAAAAGAAGCAAGGATAGTTTAACTTAATGACAAATGAATATTTTTTGGAAACTGTAACAAGATACCAAAAACAAAAAAATTAAGAAAGTTTTTAAGAAATAAAAACAATAGCATTTCTGAGGCATAATGGCAGCCTTTAACCCTTTACCACATATATACGCAAAACAATGCACTTTCGACCCCCCCCCTTTTTTAGGCCTCAAATAGTGAAAAAATGTCCTATTTGGGCCCCAAACATAAGTTTTCGTTTGAGAAAAGTTGCTAAAAAAAATTGAGCACTTTTTCGGCGCCGCCCCCAATTCAAAAGATACATCAGGGGGTTGCCAGCTTTCCTCAGCTTTTAAACAGTCTGTATTTTACTTCTGCTTGTAAAGCTAAAAAGTTGCTAGGGGGGTTTGAAGGGGGGCGGAGTCCCCCTCATCGCCAAGAAAATTTTTGACTTGTGAGAGGCTGAAAATGACCCCAGGTCGATCATAATGTAACGTTTAACCAACGCTGAAAAGCCTTTGACTCTATCTCAGTCCCTTGAGCAGTTGCAGCACTTTGAAATAAATTTTGATGGAAAAAATCGAGGCAAAATAGTGATTTTTGGCAATTTTGAGATGTCCCCTCGTTGCCATGGTAACAGGAAATTTAAGACTGAGCATGTCGTTACAAAGGCAATGGTCCAGTCAACATTTGTGCCAAGTTTGATTAGTATTGAAGCATTTTTCATAGTTTCATAGCAGTTTGAACTTGTAACAGGAGGCTTTTCAGTGAAAACGGCCATTTTTCACAATATGCTCATGGGGGAAAGGGTTAAGAATATCTTTCACATCTACACATATCACATCTACAAATATATGAATCCTAGACTAAGCACATACTGTGCTGTGTATAAAAAAAACCCACCAAGGCTTGAACTCATGCACACTGGGTTGAAAGGTAGATAAAATAACTAATAAGTCAATGGCTTTCAGATTCATTCAATTCTAGCTATAATGCAAGATTTATTTACATTTATAATTTTTTGTATGTAAATCAGGAAAACCCACAGATAAACATACCTGTATTTTTGTGTTTGTTGCAATGCCTGGTTCCACAAACTTCACAATCATATTTCTTGGTATCTGTATGAATTTTTCCATGTTTCTGTAAAATAAATAACATGGTTTATCCTTTAACCTTCTAAACTTCCATGTTTCATGTCTCTTTCCTGAAGCTGGAATAGTCCATTTAAGTTACAATGGGTTCTATTATCATAATCAAATTAAACAAGAGCTGTTGGTAGGACAGCATGCTTGACTGTTCTAAGCACTTCATAGTAAAACAAGAGCCTGGATAATGTAGAATTTTCTATGTTCAAAAAAGGGCAATAAATCTGTCAAATCCATGTAAGAGGTAAAGGCCTATAACAGTGACCTCCTATTAAGCTCTCATATATAAGTGTGTGACGTTTCAACCCATTCCCTTCATTGCTTTTTAAGATACAAACTTGCACGCCTGGGTGAGTACAATAGCTCATATTTCTTTGGATAGTCAAGCTGAAAGAAATAAGCTACAAACAGAATAGAGCCTGGTCAGACTGCATGAAAGTGCACTGTACTTGTGACAGCACTGGTAATCACTTTTGGTTTGTGTAGATGAAAGATGAATCATAAAAGATTAGATTGACAAAACTGATCTCCTGCAGGTGCTTAGGCCAGTATTTAACTTTTTATGCACTTGTAAACCTTTGTGAGTACAAGAAAATTAAGATTTGCATGTACAAGAAATCTAAAAAAAGCCAACCTGAACTTGCATTCAATACACAAAATAATAATTATATTTTCAATCATTTTGTACATTTTCATAGCAGAATAATTACTGATTTTCTAATCACCTCATTTAATTGTTCCAGGCTCCACATTGTTTTACTTTGTGAACACCAGGACTTAAACATGGGTCTAGCTTCAAACACATACCTTCAACTGAGACTTGGTTTCAAATTCCTTACCGCAGATATTACACACTTCATTCACTGTCTCCGTTACAAATGTTGGTCTATCTTCAACAATTTGTTTTTGCTTCTGCTTCTTACCTTAAAAATAAAATAAAGGTTTTCGGATAAGATAAGTCAAACTATAATATAATTTATTTCGTTAAAAATGTGTTTGTCTTGATTATCAGCAATATAAATTAGTGTCATGTATTGCCCAGCAAGTTTACGAATATTACACTGGCTTCCTGTACAGACATATTTAGCTTGATGGTTACTGTTTACAGCAGTAACAAGGGTCTGAGTTTCTGCTGAAGAGATACCCCAAGAGCTAGATATTACCGTCTGTGATAACAGAGAGTGTTTGATTCTTTTTCTTGCATATTAATCATATTCAGTAAGAATATACAAAAAGTAATATTTTCATGTATCACTTTTTCCTTATAGTAGCTAGCAAAACCTGTCTTACACCCCAACATGATGTCATTCCTGTGCGTCTTGTTATGAATGAATTGCAGTGATAGGATTATGTTATTATCACTAATGTATTTAATTCTTACCCTTATTCATGTAAGTGTTGAATGCCTGTTTGTTTAACATAAATCAATACTTCTGGAATATCGAAGCAGTGTTTTTAGAAACAGATTTAAACATGAGTGAGCGATGTTAGTAACCAATGGCAACAATAAATAAACAAACAAATATATGTAGGGCCTACAAACCTTGACTGCAGTGTCTCCTAGAATGTTTTTTATATGAACCTTCTCCTGTTAAGATCACACCACAAACTTCGCATTTGTATTTTTTCCGTTCTTCGTGGATTCCTCTGTGTCTCTGAATAACAATGCTTTCAATGTTCAAAACTTTCAATCATTTAATTTAGTGCATATAACGATAATTATATTCTTACTTAAAAAACCTGAACAGTAAATGAAAATAAACATTTATGAGAAACAGATTTGCTGAAAGAAATACCTCCAGTTCAACTACAAAAATCTTACAAAATAAATAGAGAAATACCTTAAACTTGTACTTGGTTTTGAAAGCCTTCCCACAGATGTTGCATTCAAAGTCATCTCTTGGTTTGCTTATAACTTCACCTCTATTCTTCTCTTCCTCAATCATTTTCTCCATGCTAAAAAATGCAGACATTTCTACAAAATTATCATTTCCATAGTTTATCATTAAATGATCTGATAATATTTATAATCTTGACTTACATGTTTCGTTCATTAGAGTTACTTCGATATTAGAATATTTTGGATTTTCCCAGCTAATCAATAAATTTGTGGGGTGCAAAGTTAACAAACATAGAGTTGCACATATTAATGGTAAATATATAAATATTATTGGAAAAAGTAAGCATAGCATAATTACTCTATTAAAAACAGTAGTGCACCATGAAGCTTAAATGTTAAATTTTTCTGGATTTAACTCAATACAGAACTGAAACACACCTCTAGACACTTGCAGAAATCATGATTAATAAATAGACAAATATCATTTTTTTCGCCGATTCTTACATTTTTCATTCATTATTATACATAAATTGGTCTGAAATGATGTAAAAGCCCTTTTAAAGTTCATTCTGTCGGTTGAAAAGGCAAGATATTAGCATTTAATCATTCAAGTGCCCTGTCGGGTATATACCGTAATACGGTATTAAGTGTGGTGCTTTAATTCTCTTTTTAGTCTCACTCAAAATTTTGTATGTACTTGCGGGATGATGTTACAAATAAACTGATTTTTGTCAGGTGCAGAGCTAACACGAATCCAGTCTGGAACATAGTTCATATTATGTCCCAGGTACAGAATAAGGCAGGTATGTCACTTACTTAGTAACTATTTGAGCATTATCAGTATACTTGTAGGCTACTTTGGCTTTTATAACCCTTGAATCCTGGTGTCCATTGGCCGCAGGGGAATTCTAAGTTCAACTTATTGTACTATGCATCGAATCAGACTCAGAGATATTGTGCTACTTTGTGTGTACGAAATACCTTCCCTCTCCAGGAAGGTACACTTTTTTTTAAGTTCTTAGAACCTTATAAACATTTTTCATAGTTGTATTACAGAAAGAAATTTAAGATTATCATTCTCATCTTGAAAATAAACAGACCTACAAGATGTTCAAATGTTTAATTTAGCTATCAATGTTCAACAATATTTAAAATCAAATATTCGATACTAAAAAATTCAAAAGAAGAGACATACCTTTTTATCATAAATATTTGCAGCTATTCTCGTCTTGTCTATGCTTTTACTACGTTTCCAATCTAATAGATAGAGCTGATCAAATATTTAACAAGCAATCTCTATTTTTCATACTTTCCTTATTTTTGATTTGATTTAAGAACTTGCTTTTACCAAGCAATACCAATGTTTCTAACCTCGTGATACATAATAATAAGTAAATGCTAAGATTATATAATAAAGTCAATAAAAAATAGTAATTTCAAATCAACCGGAAATATACGAAAACATGGCGATGTTGATAAAAGGGGAGTAACTATGCTTGGATTTGTTTATTATCAGTTTCCCCGTTTTTCATTTTAATAATAGACACATAATTATATAATCTATATAAATACGGTGTTCTTTATTAATATATCACTTTTTAAAATAATAAGTTTTATACTGTTTTCGTACTCCATGATGCCAAAAAAATGCCATCACTTAAACAGAAATTGATAGTCCAAGGGGAGAATCTGCAACAACAGAAATTAATAGTCCAAGGGGAATAACTGCTACATATAATTCAAAGAAAATAATGTAGCAGTTTTCCCCCTTTATGTTTTCCAATAACAGCCTCACCAACTCAGTACCTCATTATATTTGAATTTCCTAATCACACTATTCAATCCCACTTCTAATGTTTTTGGGTTCAAAGCCACACAAACATTTTAATGGTCATTATGGTGACTATCCAGGAAGACCTCAGCTGCCGATCGTAGAATAACATGTTTTTAAGGAATGAGCTGGAATCTGCATGAGTAGATTTATCGATATTCCCTAAGCTAGCTGGATTGTTTCCTCTAATGAAATAATCCAAAGTCCCTGGTGAGGCAGTGAGGGACAAGGTTTGAAGTCAGTAACCTGAAGCACTTGGCCACAGACAACCCCAATTAAACAATATATCCATCTTGATACTTATAAAGTAATGGGCTATTTTTGCATAGCCAAACATATATATTTTATATATTTACTGTAGAATGCAAGTGCCTCATCACTTTATTACTTCTCTATCTACTACAAAATTATAGTTATTATTTGTCACTAATTTTATTAACCCATTAGGCCTACTTCATGAGCAATTTGTGAAAATGGCTGTTTTCATTGAAAAGTCTCCCATTACAAGTTCAAATTGCTATAAAACTATAAAAAATGCTTCAATACAAATCAAACTTGGCACAAATATTGACTGGACCATTGCCTTTGTAACAACATGCTCAGGCTTAAATTTCCTGTTACCATGGCAACGAGGGGACATCTCATAATTGCCAAAAATCACTATTTTGCATTGACTTTTTCCATCAAATTGATTTCAAAGTGCTGCAACTTCTCAATGGATTGAGATAGTCAAATGCTTTTCAGTGTTGGTTACACGTTACCATATGATCAATCTGGGGTCATTTATAGCCTCTCACAAGTCCAAAACTTTTCTTGGCGATAAGGAGTACTGCCGGCCCCCTTCAAACTCCCCAAACAGAAGGCACATCCCCTTCTGTGTTTGGGGCCCAAACAGGACATTTTTTCACTATCTGAGGCCTAAAAGAGGGGGAAGGGTGGAAAGTGCATTGTTTCGCGAATATATGAGGTAAAGGGTTAAGATCCTACAAAATTGCATTTCATCTGCTGTACTAGTATTTTAATTTCATCATTTGCAGTTTATTATTTTTGCCAAAACAAACAATCCCACAAATTTAAAGATCCATGAAAATGATATTTTTGACAAAAAATTCTGATTTCAAACCCACAAAATTAAGTGCAATCACATAAAACACTTTACAAATGTTCATAACAATTAGCATGAATAATGTAGGCACCCTGCTTCTAGCAATATATATCAAGGAATGGTGGAAAAATTTGACACTCAAGACCTGGAAGCAATCACTCAGAGGGATGAAAGCATAAACCATTATCTGGCAGCAACTGATTCTAACCATGACACCAGTGGAGACCAAGCTCAACCTGCATGGCTGTGCCCTCTGATGTTGATCTGTAGTGTTTGCTATTCAGTCAATTCATATTTTATAATTTTTCCCTTAAATAATGAAAAGTATTGATCAGATTAAAAGATCAACAGGTCCATTTATAGTGTTTAACTTGGCAAGGGTTAGGGTTGTCAAGACAGCTAAGTTGGTAGTTTTGCTGTATGGTATTCTGAGGATCCGAGGTTCTGATGCCAGTTGGGCTGCATGTTTTTCTCCTCCCATGGTATATAACTCATACAGAAATAGTTCAGGACCATACATAAAAAGGAAACAATTTGTTCGCAGTTTTTTTAGCAAGTTTATTAAGTAATTCATATAAAAAAAGGTCTAAAAGAATAGTTTATACAATAACATATCACGCATTGCATTTTTTGGTTGTTAGTAACATAGTTGTATGAAAATATTAAACTATTAAATTGAATATTGAACTAAATACATGTATCAAATATTTACTAAATGCTAGAACTTGCTGTTCAACCCTTTTGCTGTTTGTTAAAACTGTTGTCATGTGAAAATACTGTTCTTAAATCGTATTCAAAGAGCAATAAACTAAACTAACTTAATGCTAAAAATATTTATGTATATTGCTTAAACTAAATATTTTATGTTTATATTGAATATGAAACTAAATATTAAACATTGATATACACATATATTGAATCTGATATTTAATATTACATATTTTAAATTTAATATTGAACTAAATATTTAAAATCTAAATTGAATATGGGGCTTAATACCTTAAACATACATATAACAGTATATTAAAATAGAAACTTAATACATGTGTTAAATATTATAAAATTAAATAACTGATAATACACATGTATGGAATATGGAAAAAATATGTTTTATTGATCATTACAACAGTATTCAATATATATATATCAATTATTAAAAATAAACATAATAAAGTGAAATTAAGTTCATGTATTTTGCTTAATTCAGTTGAAATGTTTAGCCTTATATTCATTATAAATATTAAGTTCAATATTCATATAAGATATTACCTAACATATCTATAACAAACATTGACATTATAATATCAAATACGTTAATTTTTATTGAATATTGAACTAAAAGTAACGAAAAATAACTATGAACAGTTGAAATTTATCACAGAGCTAAGAGGTTAATTCAATTTACATACAATGAAATATTGGGTAATATTTATTATATTCACATATATACAAAGGTCAACAAGTGATAATATTGTATTGGTTTGATTACAACTGATATAAGACATAAAATACCCGTTTACCATTTCAACAATATTGATTCAATGTGAAAATATTCATACTCATGACTGATAAAATTAAAGCCAGGACTGTTATATGTTGTCGAGTCCAATACTGAGTTCTATTGGACTCATACATAGCACCTCGTCCAATATAAGTTTGACAGCTATGTTCTTGTCCAGTAGAATTCAGTTTTGTATCTTTATTACGAATCACTAAATTTGTAACATTTTGACAAAACTTTGTTACTTATAGTACAATAAGGATTTAATATGACTTTCTTGGACTTGAAAAATTAAAATATGGTTAGATATAGTACAATAGTGATTTGATATGCAATACAATAGTGCTATGACATGGAATTTTTGTACGAGGCTAATTTGATAAGATTGCATCCAATAATGATTTACATTTTATTAAGGAGATCACATAGGCTGTTCAAAGTTCATTTGTTACACTTCATAAAGCAATATATTTTTGTAACAATCTTACATCAGCTACCAGTGCAGATTAAAATATTTGGCAGGAGGGTCAATAACAAGGCTCTGCCAAGTTACCATTAATCAGTGCTTTGAGTGCCAGATATTCCAGTATGTAACAGCAGCAAGTGTTTAATATTTTTTTTTTGCATATTGTCATCTTAGTGCATTAACTGGTTAACTCCTATTAAATTTAGAAGGACTTGACCCGTTACTGCACCAAGGTGACGATATAAGATTTAATTTCAGTTTGAATAGAAATAAACAAAAACTGATATTCTGTTTAGCACAATTTCGAAGTCTTCATTGTATGATGTTGAATCCTAATCTTATGTTTGTAGGATCTCAGACCCTGGAGTTGGAGACAGGGTGCAAACCAGGGAAGAAATTAGGCGGGAATGGGGGAGGACACTTGTCTATTGTTAAGACCTTATCAATCTCTGTGGAGTTATTTTAAGTAATTCGTCTTTCACATGTCCTTCTGGTATAGGAAAGTCAAACACTATAGGTTCATGGTCTGGTTTGTAACGTAAAGTACATGTTGATGCATTGATGTATGTTGTGTGGCCATCAGTAGTTACACCATAACCTGGAAAATATGACACAACATTAATTTTCATATATATAGTGAATGAACATTATGTAAATCACAAGGAAACTGATTATGTAATGCTGTGTGTTATGACAAACAAGGTCAATTTGACCTTGATCATTGAGCCCTTGACCCAAAATCATTAGGGGTCATGTACTGGCCAAGACTAATTCAACTTTTAAGTTTGTGGGCCAAATGATTGTTGAGTTATTAGTTGGAAACAGATTTGGCACGCAAGGTCATTGTGACTTTGACCTTCGAGCCCTTTACCCTTTGGTATGTGGACATAATAATTGCTGAAGTAGGTTGAGAGGCCATTAATTATTTAATCATAACCTGGAAAAAAGAGAAAAAGTGTATCTTATTCACATATAACACTGCCATCATAATAACTGACAGGTGTATTCAAGTTTGTTCCCCATTGATTGTAATAGGGGGCAGACATAGTTTCTCCCTTGTTATTACTTCTGATATAATATACTCCTGAACTTGGAAAATGCATCTTATCATGCCTCATCAGCAAACATTTACAGTTATTATAACCATTACCACATGAATCACTTTTTTGTGAATGTTAATGCATAATGCGCATTGCACACACATTTTTTATTTGACTTGCCTTCATGAATATGTCCAAATATATGGTATTTTGGCTTCACTCTTTTCTGTATTGTGCTCAAAAGTTCCACACAGCCTGCCCTAAATCCATCAAAACACATGTCACCATGACCTATCACAAAAACAAGTAAAGAACAAGCTTTTAATTAAATAATATTAAACTATTTAACAAATATTAACTATTCAGGCATATGGCCTTTGTTGTCAATTCCTAAGTATCAAAATTCAAAACCAGTGTTAAATAGCCTGTAAACGCCACTGAGACCAATATCATTTCTTAATTTTAATTTTTTTTTACAATTACGTGAGTCTATATAAATAACAAGAACTGTCGGAGGACAGCAACGCTCGACTATTCGAAAAGTTGTCACAAGGGTGTTTCATTGAGTATAATAATGCTTACCTCTATGAATACATAAAAGTTGAAAAAGGGGCATAATTATGAAAAAAAGCCAATCAGAATTATGGAACTTGTGCCAATAATCATAGATAATCATAGAGAACAAATGTGTGAAGTTTTAATCCATTCTCTTCAGTAGTTATGGAGATACCAGCTTACCCAAAAAAACTTAACCAATAATTTCTAAGTCAAAAAAAGGGGCATCATTATGTAAAAAAGCAAATCAGAGTTATGGGACTTGTGCCAATCATCTTAGATAATCACAGAGAACAAGTGTGTGAAGTTTCAATCCATTCCCTTCAGTAGTTATGGAGATACCAGCTTACAAACAAAAACTTAACCAAGAATTTCCAAGTCGAAAAAGGGGCATAATTATGTAAAAAAGCAAATCAGAGTTATGGGACTTGTGCCAATCATCTTAGGTAATCAAAGAGAACAAGTGTGTGAAGTTTCAATCCATTCCCATTAGTAGTTATGGATATTCCAGCTTACATGCAGAAACTTAACCACAGGGACGCCAACGCCGACAAATGGGTGACTGCATTAGCTCGATTATTATGCGAATAGTCGAGCTAAAAACTGAAAAATTGAATTGCACTTATATTTATCAGGTTCTGCCATCAATATCGTAAATTTCTTACAATATATATTTTTGATTTTTAAATAATTAATGAAAACAATATTTTCAGTATTTTTTTTCTCTAAATTTTGTTTGTTTGTTTTGTTAAGTTTTAACTTTAATGTTGCACCAACACAACTCTAAATTTTGTTACTAATATAGAAGTTGTCTGTTGCTACCTATAGGTGGTCCATGGGTCACTAGTATATCAGTGTTTTCTGGTATAAGATTCCATTTCTTTAAACACTCCAGCCCTCTGTCAAGGTTGAATCCCCAGTCACAGAATCTTGGTTGCCTACACAATAGATCCATAACAAATACATGAATAGTGAAATTAGTTAATGCTATCTTTTCTTTTGTTTGGCTTTTAACTCACACTGATACAGTAAAGACCATATGGCAACTTTTAAGCTTTACTTTCGGAGGAAGATCTCAGGTGCTCCTCTGTGCATTATTTCAGGTACAAGTAGACACCTTAGATTAGAAACACTAACTTTCAGTAAGCTCACATGGAAAAATCCAAAGTCCCTGATGGGAATCAAACCCATGAGGGACAAGTCATTGTAGTCTGAAATCATAACCACTTGGCCATGGAAGCTGCTTTAACAATATCAAGTGGCTGGTATTATAATAAAATTTGGTCACAAAAATATTTTATTAGATCTATTATGAAATGTTTAAAAATCTTACTATGCTAATAAGATATTAAGAGTTCACTGTGATGTTGTGAATGAAATATGCCAAATTTATTGTATCTTGTTGTTAATGTTATTGTGTTTTAAGTCACACCAGGTCTGTAAACGTCATATAGGGACTTTCAAGCTTTACTGGTGGAGGACGACCTCAAGATGCCACTTCTTGAATTATTTTTGGCACTGGTGGCACCTGGGTAGAATCACAGACATTTTATATTCTAGCTGGATAGCTCCCTCACAAGAAAGAATCAAAGGTCCCCGGCAGGATTCAAAATATCTGCAGCTAGTGGCAAGGGGTTTTAAGTCAACAGTTTTAACCACTTAGCCACAAACACTCAAAAATATATATATGATATAGTATGAGCAAATCAATACGAGATTTATGCTTTATCCTCAGCAACCTACAAATATATGCCTAAAGACATGTATAACATTTTATATTTTATACATCAAGCATGAAAAAATCTGACCTGGATATTAATTTCACAAGGAGGTATAACTCACATCAAATTTTATATAAGAGTTACACTCTTTCAATGTGATATACTGATATGATGACCAAAGACATCTGTGATGTTTTTAAGTGTGTATCTTAAGTTATTTATGAAATACTATGCATATGAAACCTTTATCAAGTTATACACTAAAGCGGACACAATAATCAGTTGGATTGCCAAACTACTACAAAATTATTCTTATTTGTTGGACACTAATTTGTGTGGTTTTTATAGTTAAATCAATCTACAAATTTAACATTCAACGTCTGCTTAGGGTCTTTAAATAGACAGACCCTGGTCTGCTGTACCATTCTTTTTATTACATAGCTTGCATTTTACTTTTTTGCAAAAAAAAAAAAAATCTGCAAAACAGAGAACCTACAAATCTGTCGATTTTTACAAATATATGAAATTTCATGCCCATAAAATTAAGAGAATTTCACAGTATTCTTTAAAAAATAGTCTAGCTTAACACCAAACTCCTCACACTGATTACCTCCCTTGGCAGAATTGTAATCACTGCCTTCACAGACCTCACATGATGATGAAAGTCACATGACGTAACGTCTAAATTCAAATGTAAATATCGACCGTGACATAGAAAATCTAACTACATTTTTCTCTTTCTGTTTTATTTTTAACTTTTTGTACCTACTTTCGTAATATTTTATCAAAACATTATCAAAAGTATACAAAATAATGAAAAATAAATTAAAAAGCTAAAAAATATAAATATCCAAATATTGATATTTCAATGTTTGTGATGGCAGAGATGGTAATGATAAGGGGAGATCACTGCGTAGGAGATTGGCTTAACACAGCTGAGAAGATTGAAATAAAGACTTACGATAGAAATAACTATAAACTTACCATGGTGAACCATATATATAAACACCACACACATCTATCCCTGCATCTTCAAGATATACACAATTTGTCATCAGTTCTTTCACATTCTGTACACCATATTTTACCAACAACTGCTCAAAACCTGAATCATAAAATTCATATTATTGCAGCAAGTTTGTTACGTCAATTTTCATTGGATACTCGGGATGTTTATATAATCTTAAAAATAATGCAACTTTGTAACATTGCTTTTCATTGAATAATTGAGAGGTTGATATAGTTTTACATACACAATTGCTCTCAATTCATAATGAGATCTCACTTTTTTTTCTCAAAAAAGAAAATTTGCTGTATTACAAATTTGTTATAAATATTCCTGACATGTTATATGACCATCATATATAAACAGTTGTTTGCAATATAATCCCTGCCTGGTGACATGGGTGATATTTCCCAACAACCATCTATATAGGACCATTATAGGTCTATATAGAACCATATAACCTGTCAGAAAATCTTTATAACTAATAATATACTATACACAGCTGCTGTTAATTTATGATTGAAGTAATCTTCACTTCATATGAAGATATTATGCTTTGCTACAAATTCATTAAAAATATTTATTTGACAGGTTATCTGGTCATGTATAAATCATCACCTTAGTGCAATAATGGGTAAACTCCTTAATAATTCAATGGGTGTTATCCCGTCATTGCACTTAGCTTAAGTTAGGTGACAAAATGTCTGTTTGCAATTTAACCCTTGCCTTGTGGATCTGATTATATAAGGTCACAACCATTTACTTTTGGACATATAACCTGTCAAAAAAATCTGTATAAATAATGTGACTTCTAAACAGCAAATATTAATCAGTATTTCTTCTATGACTCATGTTTCCCCTCTTCTTATGCATAGTCATTATGACTATGCATAAGAAGAGGGGAAACAGGTGCTGAAACAGGAAATATGGGTATGGCTATATTTTGGGTGTTAAAAAAGGTCAATACATCACCAGGGGTCAAAACCAGTTCACCTACTGCAGCTAAGAGTTGCATAGACTCCTGTAATTCAATCCCAGGGGTCAATTGTGGCTGCAATTATTATGCCTCAAACAATAAAGGCAACCCCTCAGCCACTTATGGCAAAATAATTTTAAAATTCAAGTATTAAAATAAACCGTCATATTATAAATACAGATGTGAAGACACAGATCTGGTTGCAACCCACCTTTTTCAGAAACACCAAACATTTTTTTGAGATTTTCCCTTCCATTCTTTACCATATCATCATCAAAGGTTAGATCATGGTTCCCGGCTATAACTATCTTCACTGGATGCTTCATTGTACCTGCAAAATACATGTATTGTTTTTTTCTTGTTTAAATGCCCATCTTGACATGTTTTTTGGTTGTAGGGTATCTCGGCATTCAACCCATCTAACCTGCAATTTTTTCACAAGGGACTGCTAACTAATTCCACTTGATTTCTCAATTATCTGATGACTGTACTTTTATATCTTTTTAAATTTTTATTTCTGAAAGAATTCAACTTCATTTGTCTTACTTGTTAGAATAAATAGTGGATAATATAACCATTGAGATACACTGTACATTATATAAACCTCATATTTATCTTAAACATAGTGCGTATCATACCTAGAAAATCATTAAAGGTTTTGACTTCATTGGCAAGTCCAACATTTGTGAAATCTCCTGCGTGTATCAGAATGTCACCATCTGGGACAATTTCAGGGTGTATCTCTATCTTTGAATGTGTATCTGATATACAAACCACCCTCAATTTATCTTCAGTGATGGGTGTGTCAGGCTTTAATGGCACTACCTGAAAAAATGTCAAGCTGAAAGTATAGTGAATTATATAAATTACAGTTTACCCACCACTCCCCATTCAAACTCTAAGTTAGAAAATAATTCATTAGTTGTATGGCAGGAGTTTGATATTCTACCAACCAACCAGTAAGTTGAGTAAGCCTTAGTAATTCTTTGTCAACAGTTTAGCCAATTTCACAGACATTCTATTCCTATTGTCAAAGCAGAAATAAATTTTGTCACTGTGCTGGAAACATGTTCAATATAAGGCTGTCAGCCAGACTGAGCATTTCTTTCTTATCCTACATATACTTGCCTTGCCTTTATCTATTTTTAACCGTCATCTTATTTTGAAATTCTTTTTGTTTGTATTTAAGTTGTACCCCAACAATGGTAACAAGTTACTCCATATTACTATTAGAGTATACTATAAAATACGAGCAAATGCCATACATGTTTTGATAAGAAACAAAGTTAATGTTCAACATATAAGGATTTTATGACTTGTACGGTCGTTTAAAAGTTTAACACGGTTATTAGGTCGCCGTTTAAATGGTTAGCATTTTTCCTAACCGTGACACCCGTAATTGAGATAGTTATATTACTAAAATATCTAAAACACTTCCCTTGTCCACAGTTTGTTTCAATGACAGTTCTGTCCAAGCTTTAGTTGGGTTTTTAGTGTTTTTGTGAACAATAATACTTCCATCGGATGCCATCCCTGAAAAATCTTTTAAAAATAAGTTGAAGGGATTAAGGAAACGTTTAAACATCTAAGACTTTATTAGATATCAGGCTGGTCATTTGTAAAAATAGAAATCGTTTGCCTTCATACAAATGGAGTTATTAAATAAAAGGGAAGTAACTACTACAGTACTGTATCTGTTGTCCTTACATCAAATATTGGACATCATGTAACTAGAAAAAGCAACATATAAAATATTATCAGAGACTTTTATTAAATACATGTTAATAAAGTTCTATGACATTTCAAATTAATTTTTAAAAAATCGGTAAAACGACAGATATACATGTACTACTGAGTATATTAGCTCCACGGTAAAACATGGTTTCTGCACGTTCTGTAAAAGTGGTTCGGAGTTACATAAGCTTATGCAGGACTTGCGAGCATGCAACGGTTTTACATCAGAATTTATATCAGGAGTAAAGCACGAAGTTTTATGATTTTTGTTTTATGTGAAGCAGGTCTTGAAGTAAATAGCATATGAGTAAAGTTACAAAACTGCCTAGCTGACTGTACAACTCTTGTTTCTGCGACACCTATTAGGAAGTCGTGAGCTTTTTGACAAACATTTAGCATGGTGCACAGGGTGACCAGTGCCGTAACTACGTGCTGTGATGTGACAAACGTAAAAATAATTGTCAAATTTTAGCACAGATTCGCAGCCTTTGTGTGGACATCAGCGGCAAAGTCCTCCACTAATATAACTACAGTTCTAAAACAAAATATATAGTTTTTATCGAATAAAATTTTAGAATAATTACGTGTATATTTATTGCTACATAATGAATGAAACACTTGCTTTACTTTATTCGTTTATAATGCCCTGGCTGCAACTCCTTGGTCACTCAATTAGATCAGTGTCGATGAAGCAGACGTTTTGCTGATCTGTTGGAAGAAAATGGTACTGTCTGCACTGTGAACATCATATTTCTTAAATACGAGAGGTAAAGTGCATGGACAAAGGTCAGGTTACGGTATTGGTCCCTGCAAGGCGTGCATTTACAAACGGACATTGTTCCGGCTTGGGCTTCGGACATATGTGAGGCCCCGTACGTCATATCACTGATTTCTTAGGTAGTCCATCCCAGGCAACAGTTAACAATCCGTTTTATGATTCATGTTGGCTTTACAATGCTCAAACATTATTTGGATTTGGCAAATAAAACGTACAGAAATGTGGAAAAAGGACGGCAAACATTTATTTATAAATTTGGAATTATACTGCAAAATTCGGTGTCTTTAAAATGTGTAAATATTTTACAATTTGGCCTCCATGCTAATTTTATGCTAGGAAACACGGAACTTTAAAATATTGTTATGATTAATGTAGTACCAGATTTGTTACTACAAGTATTACTACATTTATATGGTATAAATTTGTATTTTGTCCAGTTTTTTCAGACATTACCTAATGTTCTGAGATTTTCAAGGAAAGCATTAGCCAATTCAACCCCCGTAGTACTCATGCACTCAGAGAAACAAATTTAAGGAATTCTTCTATGGTCTTATTAGTCCCCTACCGGTTTAACCGGAGGGGACTTTAGGTTTACCCCCCGTCCGTCTGTCTGTCCGTCTGTCTGTCAGTCCGTCCGTCCACAAAACTGGATCCCGCGATAAGGTTTACCCTCCGTCCGTCTGTCTGTCTGTCCGTCTGTCTGTCAGTCCGTCAGTCCACAAAACTGGATCCCGCGATAACGCAAAAAGTACTGAAAATATTTTTATGAAACTTGATATATGGATAGATGGCAGTATGGAGATTATGCACGTCTTTTTATTTTCTTCCTATGTTGAAAATTCTTGTTGCTATGGCAACAAATAGTCTGAAAATATGGCAAATTTAACACATAAACTGGATCCGGTGATAACTCAAAAAGTACTAAAATATTTTTATGAAACTTGAAATATGGGTAGATGGCAGTCTGGAGATTATGCACATCTTTTTCTTTTCTTCCTATGTTGAAAATTCTGGTTGCTATGGCAACAAATAGCCTGAATTTCAAGATTTCTGATTTAAATTTTTCAGCTTTTTCTCTATAAGTTCTTTATTTCTTAAGGTGTTTACTTCAAACTTTAAATATAAGTTTCTGGTCATCAACCACATCATATGTGACAAGGTTTACAACTCTAGCACAAAAATTATCAATATTACCTCCCTTTAACTTAGAATTTTTATGAAAAAAATGTTTCTTTTTTTAAATAACTTCTTTATTTCCTAATGTATCTACTTCAAACTTCATATATATGTTTCTTTTTATCACTCAACATTTTTGAGAAGGTTAAATACTCTAGCAAGACTATTTCCAGAATTATGTCCACCTTGAACTTAGATTTTTTTCGAGAAATTGGTATTTTTCACTCCAACTTCTTCATTCCTTATAGGATTTACTTTAAAATCCCACATAGTAATAATATGACAAGGTTGTATAAACATAATTTCCTTACTAGGCAGGGAAACTTAACACATTACTGTGATATAGACAAACTTAGAACTCAAAAGATTTAAGTTCATTCATGTCATTCGTTCACTGGTAAAATTGAATGGCCAATGGCCCATCAGAATGTTGCTGGGGTTCTAATCGGTAGGGGACTTATGGATTGCTTGCAATACTATGATAATTGCTTGTTATTCTTGAGATGTCGCAAACACACAGCCAGTTGCCTCGTCGGCTTTAAGACTCAGCAGTTGTGGCTGTTAACATTATTTTAAAATTTCGCCTGAAATAAGTTTGCCACATGTAGCAATGACCTTATTTTGAATATTTAAAGATGTATAGCGCGTCTAAGGATCTCCGTCAACTAAATGGTCTTGCAATTAAAGATATTGTTTTGGCTTTCTGTCAGTAATTCTAACTAGTGATGCTTAGAAAATTCTCTGTCTGACAGAATCAGCATCTTCACAATCACCACGGATTGGTATATTTTTTCTTTCGTCACAGTATCAGGAAATCTACAATCAAAGTCATTCTTTTGCGGTTTTTTTCTCCACCAAAACAATATAATTATGTTGAAATTATACATAAAGCGTTCAATGTCCTTTTGTTGCCGATAAACGCTGTCAATTGCACATTTTCGTTTTTTTCCACCATTTTTCGGAAAAGGACCATAATCGTCGCGGTGTTTCGATTGAACTGATGCCAGAAAAACCGTACAAGCTGTTATGCATTTGTATATGTGGATATATTATCGATGTCTATACTTACATGAAAATGTCATTTTCTTGTTCTTGTTTATTGTTGTTATTTGCTATCAACACGCAAACATCTGGTCTTTCTTATGAAAGACAATCGATCATGTCTTTATCCACACTTTTCATTGAACTATAAACATGTATACTGGTCATATTTTATTTCAAAATAAACAATTTACCAGAGATTTATTGATTTAAGTGTTATATATAAGGCAGCACGCCTAATGATTCATACTAATTTTCATGAAAATTTGAAAATGTATTTAACCAGAAACATAGATAACTATTTATGTTATCTATGTCTCTGATTTAACAGTATAAGTAGTGTGAAGTTGCAAAAAGAATGCAATTTACACATTATCAATGGCACTAACAACCCATGTAAATATAATTACCACCAAGAGGTCAAATATGCAAATATAGTCCTTACTGCGTTACTAACGCAGTAGAAATATAGTTATAAGTACTGAAAAATCGGTCATTAATCGCACATAACATGTAAATTATTGCTAGAATTTTCAATCTTTATACTTTTCCCAACAGGCGTGCACCTTTAAACCTCCGTAAATTTACAAATATATTGGGTAAATAATAACAAGCATATGTTCTGTAAAATAGCCTTTATTCTTTTATACTTAATATTACATAATGTATCCCTTATGTTCATATTTTAATGACTCAGCAAACCATGACTTCAGAAATCGATCGAAAACCAAATCGTGACAAAACATACAATAGCAAACAAATATAAACATCTACCTGGCCTGCCTATAAATTGATCTGGCTGATTTAATTTTCTATTTTTAGAAACGGGTACATGCGCAGTGAGTTCCGCTCTGTTGGCTATTTAAGTTGACAATACCCATATAAGGTATTACCGCATGGCTGCATAATGATCAATGATATAGATTTTACCATTATCATTGAAACACTTATTTCTTTTAGTTGATGAGAGTCATAATTTGTTCTATTGAATAATGTGAAAAATCGTGATCCGGGTTTTAAAGTGCTTCATCCGTGACAAGTTTAAATGTAAAAATAGAGTACTTTTAGGTATATATAATGTATTCATTAACTAATAGGACATATTAAGCTTAGATGACATTAAGATCTTAAAGCAAAATCTCAGGTATTTTCTCTTAAGGCGAAAAAGCGTACCGCATTTCCATAATTTATATTAATATCTCTTATCAATAGCCCAGGAAAACTTATTTTAAAATCGATTCGCAAAAGTGACATTTTACATACGGGAAATAAACGCTGAACAAAACGTGAAATAGGAAATAAATGTTAAATAATGGAAAGGGATTTGTTCCGAGCTGGAGTTTATTTTACATTATTTCAAATTCTACAGGGATTACATATTCCACTTTCTGATAAGTTTCATACAGGTAAGTTTGTATATTTCAATTATTCATTTCAGAATGGTGTATGGTGATAATTGAATTATCGGCTTTAATATTGAATGAAATATATACCTTAGTGATGATTATAGCAATACTTGTTTCATTTAATGAAAAATAATTCTATAACGTTACATCACTGAATTCAGATGTATGTTTTACAGCTAAAAAAGCATTACAACACCTATCAATGAGCTCATTTTTCCTCTTATTTAACAGTATACCCAATATCTAAGGCCATAAACTAACTATTGATACAAATAACTTCAAAGAAGCAGATGCGTTTGATATTTTGGACACATGACACTTTACATATTTGTTTTACTTGATTTATATTGGTTTTTTAACATGAAAGCAATACACGCATAGACAACATTAGTTTAGACAACCTAACAGAGTAAATTTAAGAAGATTTATATTATTTTAAAACACTTCAAAATGTTATATCTTCCGGATTTTACAAGATTATAGAAACTGCGTAAAGTTATATACATGTATATTCTTGTACAATAGATACCCTTCTTTAAAGCCACATTATGCCATAAAAATCCATATTTTATTTATGTCTTTAGAAATGTCAAACATTTGTTTCACAATGTTTTAATAATGGATTTAGAACATGTAAGATGTTTCACAACTGAAGAAAATTGCACTGAACGGGTACGTGAATTAAGTAATGTGTTTATAAAGGTAGCAACATGTTAGCAAAATATCATGTTGACTTCCATACAAAATACTTTTTCACTATAATTATACCAATTGCCAACAGAGTAAAGAAAGTAAAAGTCAGACACATTTGAACACAATAGATTTTTTTTAAAGATCTAACCTGCACAATGTGTTAACCAATAAAATAAATATTCGTTCAGCGAAAATATGTAATTATGTTTTATTAGAAAGACGACATGAACACGTATATACATGTATACTTCTCAAACATTGACGTGTTAAAAGATTTAATAATGTGATGTAATAAAATTTATTAAGAAACAGGTTTTTTTTATATAAGAATATTATATCAGCACTCTATTTTAATAACATGTTGTATAAGACCTGTTGTATAAGAAAAAGTTTTCTTAAGTTTGACCTTGTATTTCTTTTTCGACGAGCCCAGTCTTACGGAATTTTACTCTCTACACGTTTTACTAATAATGTTTTGTTATCATAATATTTATGGTTGTTCTTTATCATTGAACATATATATCATTCACCCCCGCCGAAAAAAGTATGACATTTTGTACTTTCCTTTGTGATAAATTTTAGTTTGAATTTGTTCTGTTATAATTTTCGGAAAGGTATTCATTGGCTATGATGCTGAAACGTTTTTTTCCCTTTTTTGTCACTTACTGCAGTTTAAAATGATTTATTATTTCGCATGGAAGTCCAATTACCTTTTTGTTTTCATTTCGCTACCAAAATGTCAAATGACTTTACATTCACCATTACTATCAATTAGTAATAAATATGCTTAAATACATTATATAAACAGTAATATGCACATGTTTGTCCCTTCTAAAGAAGAAAAGAATTCCCGAGATATAATGTGTCTTTCACATTCCTTATATAGCAAATGGTAGGCCTACTTCTTACAATATATTCAAATTTATATACAGGAATAACATTATCAGAGAGGACTCTAGCTTTTTTCCGTGCTGAAATATTTTATATATAAGATATATTAAAGCTGGTAAAGGACAATTATAAAATAAGATACAGATATGATTTATATGATTAAGTGTATTCAAATATCGGGGATAAAGATCTTATAAATGGTAACTAAATCTTAATGCTATCATAAAATAATATCGAAGAGCAGGATCAAATAAATCCAGCACATGTTATTGTTAATGCAAGCCTTACGTGTTAATACACACATCATGATATTGTCTTTTACAAGAAGAAACTATTGACTACATATAGTCTAGAAATTTGAAAAAAAAACAAAAAACAACTAAAATTAGGAACACGACCCTAGACAAACTACTAACTCAAACGCAGTAGTCCCATTTCGCTTCGCTACACAGAATTTTTAAGCGAAGTCAATCAAATCACTGTGAGGAGCTTTTGACATTAGCAGCACCCGTTACTTACCGGGAAGAATGCGTACCTCACCTATTTACCGCATGAAACATTTTGAAACAAAATTTATAAAGCATATTTTAATTATTCATAGTTCATAACTGTATCATCTGGAACATCGGTACACATTTATGAATCACTGACATATTTTTTTTATGTTAATCCATTTTTAAATAAAGAAAAAAGGAGTGTATATAGTTGCGCATCATTAACTGTGAGAGGACTACTAATTTACTATACCAGTCAAGTGAACTAAAAAACCCGGTTATTTAATAAAACGTGACTTATTTAAGAATCAACTTGCAAAATCATGACTTTTCTATTTATTCAATATAATAAACCAGTACATAGATTTTGGCTGTTTGTCAAACATTTTACACCAAATTACAAGAGCAGTGCAAAATGAAATAATTAAAACTAATGTATTGCGAATAAATACAGATTTTGGTTCGTGTTGGCCAACATGTTAACTATCAGAAAAAAATGCAGTTAATATTTTTAAACACACATGTGTTTATAAAATCAGTAGTTATTGAGTTTCTGCCTTAAGGGGGAAGAACTCTGTATGCAGATAACTTTAAAATCGTCGGTTCATTTCGGGTCGTTTACGATGAAAGCTTCCGATAGCAGATGACAATAAAGATAATGGCCACGAGATCACTTACAGCGGTTTGCTAGAGGACAATTTAAATAACTAAATACACAAGTCATCCGTGATTATCTCACTGTAATGTTTTTGTCAACACGCTTTGTGCCTACCGCCATATCAACTTTGTTGTTTCTGCTATCATAATAGCCAAAACATTGCCACCGATTGATGATGACAAATTTAAAAGTTTTTGATACATTCGGATGTTGATTAATCTACCACTACCAGTGTACGCTAAGCACCGATGATAAAAACATAATTATATAATCTAGAAATCTATGAATAATGACTTTTACCTATCCCTTAATAATAAAAGCTGTAACCCTCCAGATGACACATTTATTTTTTTTAAAAGAGAAAAATGAAATGAATAAGTAAAAATGACCATTAGAAAGAAACAAAGTAAAGAAAATATGAAAGAAACGGAAAGAAAAAAGAAAGACATGAAAAAAGTAGGAAAGGAAGATACAAAGAAAGAAAGAAAGACAGAAAGAAAGAAAAAAGAATGAAGAAAAAAGACAAACACAAGTATCAAGAATGAAATGATTGTATATTTACAGCACATATAATTTTTTCATGGTCATGTAAAGTAATACTTATTTCCAGTACTTTTGATTTAAACAGGATTTGTTAAAAAAAAGTTGCACTTTTTAACATTTCGTATAAAAAGACTTAAACAAATCAAGCTTCTGATTTTCACATATATGTATGTGTTTATAAATGTTCAAATGAATAACCGGCATCACTACTTGCAGAAATGGTGTCATGAACTTAAGCTTATCGAATTTCGTCTTCTAAATCACATCGAACGACCGTTACAACAACAACAACATCAACAACAACAACACCACCACCACCACCAACAACAACAATACCAACAAAAAACAACAACACCAAAACCAACAGTATTTTAAACATAAATATTCATTTTTAGAAATGTCCGTACGTAACTCCAGATAAGTATGTACATGAGACTTATGTAACCACCACCACCACCACCACCACCAACAACAACAACAAAACCCACAATAACAGCACCATCAAATCTAAAACAACTATCTAACGAGCACATCATTTATTTACGTTTTATTTTTTTTTACATTTTTTGTTACAGAAATTACATCTGCTGATTTTCTTTCGTCGTCGAGCGGGTCTCGAACAAAGAGAGACACGACAAATGAGTACCTACCAAAGAACACCGTGTTACGTCTGGTTGTCGCTGGATCACATCAACACATTCCTTTAAAAAAGAACCACAAAATAGACATTTCAAACATTCCAGTTTATATAACCAACAATGGTCGAATAGAGAGAATACATACAGCGTTTGACAAGGTAACAGTATAATTCAAACATTATTTATTTAAGCTCATTTGTGATGAAAGCTTTGTGCTTATTTGCTTCTTTTCCCCCCGAGTCCGCTCCCTGAAACTAACCAGTCCTTGTGCCGCACGGGAGACAAATATGATCTTGGTCTAAGTAGAGCTCGAACCGGTTATTTCTGGGTTGATAGGCAGACACTTTTATTTCTAGGCCATCAGTTCTAAATCGACCATTCAGTTTGTCGCCATCATGAAGTTTTTAAGTTTCTGGATGACAATGCACACGGAAAAACTTGAAAGATCATGATTTTCAAGTTTTTAAAAGGGCAATGCACTGAAGCCGCGTTTTAAAGAATGGTTCAATAATATCTTCTCGGCTCTTTCCGTAATGAATAATACCCAAGATGTTCCGATTGATGTAGATTATCTGTTGCTTTTATGACTATATTGTAACAATATGGTGCGATAGTTATTTTTTGACATTGTAACATAGCTCGTTGTGTGTTTTTGTTTGTTTGGGTTTTAATTTAGACACGACAGGAAGAGCTTGAACTTTTTCATTTGGCCAATACGATCAGAACAGATACAGACAAATTAAGTTTTATTGCCCATACGCATGCGCATTGTGTAGATGCATAGGTACATTGTGAAACAATAATAATATTTATATCTAATTTACCTCGTTCCAGGAACATGTTTTGTATCAAGCGCCTACCATTGGTGGATCATTCCTAGTCACGTGTCACAAAAATGAAACTTCAATAACCAGAGAAATAGTAAGTGCACTTATTTCTGCATGACGACACAAACATATTACGTTCAACTTAAATAGATATAATACGTCTGACGATTAAGTTTAGTTAAGTACTTGTTTTCAATTCAAACATTAAATGAAGAGTAAAATGTATTTCGAACATTTTTTTTATCTGTCTAAAAATGTTTTTTGCACGATTTAATTAATATATGGGAATTTTACGCATGTTATGCACAAATTTTACTTTTTTTTTAAATATTACAGTTTGGTTCGTTTCATCACAATTCTAGTCTATACGTCATTCAACCTGAGATCAACGGAGGGGTCAAAGGTGAAGGTCATGTCATATCGCGTGTACCGGACCAGACGCTTGTTTTTGAAGGCGTCTCTGCAAAAGGTAAAACTTGGTCGACATTTTATAAGACTTATATTTAAAGTTACATTTAATAAAATTCATAAAAAACTAAATAGCGACATTTCATTAATAAATTGGGTTTTATATCGACTCCACGTCTTATTTTGGTGTCCAAACAACCAAAATGAGTTTTATTAGCATAAAAATAGGTAACCTCATTGTGGCGAAATGGGAAGTACAATTTCTGTTTGCATGAGAAACTCCGCCTTCGGATCATCCGTACATCAATATTAAATCAACAAACATGACTATAAGTGGCAGTCGTAATTTAACGGTATATTTCCGCATTGTAACGGATGTTTTCATACAAATTTAATCTTTTTACAAGATGATTACTTTTACTGACCCCCAGGTTTAGTGCACCGTGAAGCTTAAACGGTAAAAGTGTGTTTGCACAAGAAAATATCACATTTGCTGTGTTCCGGATAGCAACTATAAAACTGTGACGTAGCGCATACACGAGCTCATTATAGTCTTCATTTGCATGTTAAAATTCGTATACGAACTTTAGTGTTACCGTGGGGTTTCCCGTTTAAAATCCTAATTTATTAACAATATTTGATGAGATTTACAACAAAACTTTTAAACAGGTTAAAGAAACTGTAGAATGTTTGATTTTTAGGCCGACGGAAAAATATTTTTACATATTTAAATTATTTATTTAATGTAACTTTAAGGAACAAATTCTTACCAATTTTTATGATCATTTTTAACACAAACAATTGAGTAAAATCAAAATTAGTTGTCCGCCCGTTCACTTAAATACATAATTTCGGTAAGAAAATCACAAACATGTTTTTCGACGCATTTTCGCAGCCAAAATAAATCATCAGCACCAGATGAAATAATCTACAAACTTTTTCGTTTTAAATAGGTCTTCCGGCTACTACATCTAGACCAAATTTTTCTAGAAGTTACCATGGCAACAGAAGAACAAGACGTCAAACTGATACGTACAACATTGAATTGTTATCAGTTATTGATTACAAAAGTTACCAATTGTAAGTGTCATTTTCATTTCCGGGTTTAAAACAAGTAAATGACAACCTATTAATACTGAAGATAATTTGAAAGAAGTGATTTAAATTGATACTGATAAGATAAAACAAACAAACTCGAGAAGTGTGACATAATCGCATTAAAGTTGATGAGTCTTATAACTTTTAAAACTAGTTTTAGAGCATGTTAGATGTTTGTTACCTGCAGAAAATAGCAGTAAATGCGAAATAATGTGTCACAGAACTAGCAAAATGTAAACAAAGAAAGAAAAAAGTTATTTGATTACTAGTATCTAATTAATGTGCCTTTAATATATTATACCCCATGATTTCTTTGTCACTTTATCATATTTTAGCTATCATTTTGTCATATCACATAGTTTCAGTTAGTTGCCATTTGACCTTTTATGATATTATATCACATGGTTTCAGTTATCATTTTGTCATAATATCACATATTTTCAGTTGTCATTTTATCATCTATTATAAGTTGTATCGAATGATTTTAGTTGTCATTTTATAATATTATATCGCACAATTTCAATTGTTATATTATATCACATAATTTCAGTTGGTATGATATGACGTCAGGTTCGGACAGGTCAGGTGACACGATGAATTTGGTGATGCAATATATCGCTTACATCATTAACTCTGTAAGTTTTCGAACAATTAGTTTCTGTTTTTTACATCTTGAACTTTACGCAGGATGACTTTTTCTCAGTAAAGACATTATATTTATATTTGAGCCGCGCCATGACAAAACCAGCATAGTACTTTTGCGACCAGCATGGATCCATGCTGTTCGCTATCAGTTTCTCTACTTGTTATAGATTTGGTAAGCGAACAGCAGGGATCCTGATCAGTCTGCGCGGATCTTTTGTCTTTCAAGAAATCTCCATTATTGTATTTGAAAACTTATCCAAATGTACGAATGATGGAACTAATTGCAAAGCACTGGTTAATGTTATTTATGGAAAATGGCTCGGGATCCAAGCCAAATATTTTATATTACAAAAGTTGCATTTCAATTGGATTGGACCTTACATATTACAGTCTGATTAATCCCAAAAAGTTGGATTTTCATTTAGAATTGATATTACATACCGCACTCTGATTTATCATTATTAAAACGTGTGGATCACAATGTAGATTTCAAGTCCATATTTTAAAAAAACCACGACCAGGATTAATTGATTAATTAACCATTCCTTGGTGTAGATGGAAGCAGATTTATCATTAAAACTTCTTGATGACAGTAAAAAAGTCAAGCCTTTTTTTTATATAAAACCACGACCGTAATAACATGATTAATGTTGAAAAACTTACAAGTGGTGTAGATGGAAGAAGTAAGGTATATATGTGTTATCTTAATTAATATCCTGAATCATCGCTCAGGTTCACTACCCGTATGAAATTTAATAGAAAAGAGAATAACAAAAGTCCGGATGCTTATAAATGATAATTGCATGGAAAAGATCCATGAATAGAAAAAATACAATAATTCTTACTTAGTCATCGTATCCTATGACCCCTTTAATAGTTATCATATTTTAACATCTTTTCACTGTATTTAAAAAATTTCTCATCTATAGAATATGTATATGACTATTGTAGCTTCGTGAAGCTTCGTGAGATATGATAAACATTTCAAAAGAATTTTTCAGTCTTGTATTACATTTTTAATAAAACATTTATACATGTATTTTGAATGAATTAATGCTTGAAAAATGTGTGTCAAACGATTTTAATATGCTGATATGAAAAACCTGTTGCCTTGTACATGTTTATGAATCCAACCTATATATTCTACATTTATTTCAGACTTTAAAAATGAGTAGTCCTGTGCGACCTATCTGAAATTAACTCCACGGAGGTCCAAAGGTCCAAAACATTGAAAATCGAGAACGTTACAAATATCAAGTGACACACTTAAAATGCAAATGGGGGAACGATCTAAAAAAGCTACAGCTCTGACTTTTATCAATTGGTACACAAATCTCGGTATAATACGTCCTGTGGTGGAGTCCCTTTTATAATTCTAATTTGAAACTGTAAAAGTTATGTGTGACCCTTTTCAATGTTTTTGTTTCAGGTTGATATGAGATATAAAACAGTTACCGGGGCAAACAGGGTGTTTAACGTATTATCTGCAGGGATTTACATAGCTGACGTAAGCATCTTTAATAGATAATATATTATTTTTAAACATATGAAAAAATAAACTAAAATCCCAATCAAACAAAGAAATTTAAGCTTAAGTAAAAGTTAAAAACATTCGCAAATTTTCGACGCTTGGTCTGATATTTATATGACTTTTTTGGCTGAACACCGCAAAATTTTCGTTGATTTTTAAAAATATTGTAACCTTTATGCATATAATATTATTGAAATATATTTGAGATTATATATCAACTGGATATCTATCTACTTATAAAAGAAAATGCTACTAAATTTTATTTATAATGGTCTCACACCACTGTCATATTCATTTAAGGTCATAGGACACTAATTATTTTTCATATACATTTGACATTTTATTTTCAGTCGGCGCAATCCTCGCCTTGGTCTGAGAATAATAACGTGAATGGACAAGTGCCAAGTAGTGCAACACTAGATTCATTCAGGGACTGGGTAAATGATCAAAACAGTTTGCCAGCATATGATCATGCTATGGGATTTACCGGGTAGATATTTATACATTGGTTAATATGTCAAAGGAGCTAAAATATTTATTTAATTTGTAAGGGAAAATAATTATCATTTTTTCATTTTTGTAGTTGAAATGCTCTTTCTCCAGGGCTCCCTTAACAGTTTATAAGCAACATAAATTAGTCTTTTATGTTATTTTAGGAACATGTATTTTATCTTTCAATGTCTTTGTCAATTTCCGTAGTTAGTACAACTTTATTGTTGACCGTCGTGGTCATATTTATAAAAGCTTAATGAGACCCTTGTTAGACTTGCGTACGAAAAGAGGCGAAATTTCCCGGATTTTTACGAGCTCTTGATAGTAATGCATCTTCCAGTGCATAAATATTCTGTTTTCTATACACAGAACAGACAAATATTTTTATTCAGAATATAACTAAGCATATATTTATAAATTTAACTGCGCAATACAAAATAAATATATGTATGTTCATAAATCAATATTCCGCCTTGCGTTTTTGTGCAAAAAAATGCAATTATTCACTTCCCTCTTCGTGGAAATAAAACATTAATTCGTTCTAAGCCTTAAATTATAAAATTAATCTAAATATAGTTTGTAAAACAAGGAAGTTTATAACAGGTGCTCGCTGGTGCCTGACATAATCGCAATAAATATGAATAAACAAACACACAAATAAATAAAACCTACATTTTAAGCTAAATACATTAAAAGCTAATATTGCCTTTTTATAAAAACGTATGATGATTTTTTTCTTTATTTTTTTTAGATACGATGTGGTCAGCGCAGGTTCGGGAGACAGTTCCGGTAAGACAATTGTTCCAAACTGTTGGTCATAAGTAATGCATGTAATAAGTTTAAACATAATTTTTTCTCAGAATATTTATACATGTTACAATTTACAATATACAGAGAGCAATTCAAATATTTATAAAAAAAAAAAAAAAAAAAAAAGAAAAAAAAAACAGGATTAGAATGAAAGACAACATGTCTCATTAAATTCTTCTCCTAAAATGCATATACACGTAATTAAAAGTATCGCGACAAAATAGTCCCACTAATGTGAGGTCAGTGATCCTTTATTCCAACTTAGAATTCTCACCAGTGTCTTATTACTTACCTCAATTTGTCATCACACAATGCATTTTAACGATATGATTATTTGTCTGGATCACATAGACGCTTATAGTGTAAACGGAATGTGGCGGACAGTTCCGAGTGGACACACGCACCACTTCATCAGTTTACTTTCCTATTTGAAATGGATAGACAGTCTCAATATTTTAGTATATATACCTTTGTAGGAATGGTTGTATGACAGGTCTTTTAAAGGAGAAAGAATATATTATGAAAACATTGTACGGATATTAAACAAAGCGACGATTTACAATCAATAACTTTTGCACATTTTTTTCCAGGAATTGCATATACGTCAGTTCTTTGTACGTCTGACAGTACGTCGGTGGTAGAAGACAGTTTCAACTTTATTACCATGACAACAGTGGCCCACGAACTTGGACATAGGTAGATATTATAAAAAAGTTATTTTGGCGCATAAACATACGAGAACGATTTAAAAAATTCCTGATTATTCAAAGAAAATTTATCTGTACACAAACAAAAAATTAAAACAAACATACAAGCATACAATAACAACAACTAGAGTTTTCTAGACATTCTATCCATAAATTGAGGAGTCTGGGACACGTCTTTATTGTTTTTCATATTCAGTACATAATTTGTTTGCGTTCTAAGAACTTTCATAGAACTTAATATTTGCACCCTCATGATAGAATTTATATATTTTTACGACATAAATCTGAAATAAACATAACACAATTTTGATACATTAATCATATAAGTCTAGTCTTCATTATTGTTTTTCTCTTCATCGGATGTAAGATTAAATGAACATCTTCCAATATATTTTACTCCCGTGAATAATATTTCCGCAAGTGAATATTCGCTCTTACAATTTACGCCCTCGCGTTTATCATGTTTACACATATACGTCATTTTACAGTTTAGGAGCTGTGCATGACGGTCAAGGTAACACGTGTAGCGGAAGTGATAACTACATCATGGCAAGTGTGAACAATATCGTTGGTGACCCAAACATAGGTCAAAACATCTGGAAATTTTCACCATGCACTGGGCAGGAATTTCAAACATATATTAATATTCTTGACGGGTATGAATGATTTATTAACAATATATTTCTGTAAATTAAACATTTCTTGTATTTCAATCTGTGTCGTTAAACTAACGTATGCAGTACAATTTTTAGTGTGCTACATTACATATATACACATTCAATTCTATAAGGACAATCATTTGCTTTCACAAAACCGATTATATTACAATGTTACTGTTTTCAATTTTACTTCTCGATCATAATGCCGCATTCTTCCACGAGACCGGTACACGTAACTTATCTATTTCGCATTGAGTATTGCTCCATTGTCATCACATTTAAAAGTGACCCGAAAAACAGGTGAATAAAAACAAATAAGGTGATTATATCTAAATCAAATTATCTTTTACTTTTGAAGGAGAGGGGATAACTGTTTGTTAACAACAAGTAGTTCATCAAATATTCCTACTACACCAAGACCAATGGCTGAATCTTATTCCGCCGACCAAACGTGCGTGTACAGATTTGGCGTGGGTTCTTATGTGTGCAGGGTAAGTTGCTGGGTATAAAACTAACACAATTACTGTTATACTGTTATACTCATCAAAAATAGTAATTGGACCTCATCCACCACCACCAGATCTGGCAGTAGCTACTTTGAAATTTTCTCTAAAAAGATCACTGGTTTTGTCCAGAACAAGAGATGGATAAGTCCATTTAAAGAATTCATGATCGCATGGGTAAACTTATGTCTGTACTGCTTCTCAACATACGTTTAACATTTTAGATTAACTCTAATACTTAATCTAAATCTAATATTTAAAAAACGATTGATATGTTAAATGATCTTAGTCATACAAAATACAACATCAATATGTACAGAAGCGTTCCGCTTACTGCATGATAGAGTCGAGTTTATAATGATATTCGTAATATAATTTTATGCCATTCATATATCCCTAGAATTATACAAGTATTTATTTCCAACAAACACACACATTTATATTATATTGTTTAACTTCAGTCCATACAAAACTATGAAACTATCTGTACAAGCATGTTTTGTAACCAACCGGGAACATCACAATGTTACAGTACCATTCCGGCAGAGGGGACACCTTGCGGACAAGGAAAGGTACGTGTCAATCCAATGTCCTTTGAAAATCACAAAATTCGCTGTGTATTTCCTAGCCATACGACATATTGTTATTATTGGACATAATATTATCCCGGTGCAATAGGTTTCATACAAGCCTCGTTTTGTACAATCGTACACTTTCTGTATGCACCTTACTGTAAATCGGAGTTAGTATCACCGAAGACAGTCTCTCCCTGAAAAACATTCTGCGTTGCAACACTAAAATCGACTTGATACTGGCACATTTTTTTTTAAATTTCAGAAGTGTAATATGAATATGTTCGAAACATTAAATTTATTTCCTTCAACTTGGATTGGAGATATTGTCTGCATTTAGAAGAAGGTTTATTCCATGTATTGCCGGACATTTAAGAAAAACATTGAAGAAATAAATTATTGTCTATTGGTATGCAAGTACCAAAAACAACTTGTTAAATGTCTATTTAAAAACGAAATCAAACCCTTTGAATGTTTTAAACAATGTGCTTTCCCGCTCTCCAAATACCGGTGCATATTTTTTCTTTCATTCATTTTCTTCTCTTTTAAATTTAGTGGTGTGAGCAAGGAAGATGTGTGACGTCAGCACGTGCGCCCTCAAACAACGCCGATAATTGCGCTTTAGGCGACAGACCTGGGCTATTTGATACTACAGGCCAAACATGTGCGCAGCGTATAGAAGAAAATAAAAGTCTTTGTTACGGTGACTACACCGGCTCCAACTGTTGTGAAAGTTGTAATGCAAAAAGAACCGGTGATGCATGTATGTATTTTCAGATGTATTATTTTGAACGGATAATACGAGTACAATCTTAATTTATTTATATTTGTCTGGTATATTTTATGTTTCAAACATAAGATAATGAAAAGATAAATAAATTCAATTGAGATATTAACTTAATCGAACATTTTAGCCTACCGTCTGTTACTTGGATTCAATGTCCGTACAAACCATACAATTAGATAAACAATTCAAATAATAAACACACTAGACGATTCTTAAAATAAATATCATAACACAAGTAAAATAACTTAATTACCTACTGTTTATTTCCTGATATTTTCACACGCTTTTCCAAAGCAAATGACTAAAATCTTAAAAAGGGGAGGTAATCAAATGAAGTATAAGATACGTTTACGTCACACAAGAACCACCAAACAACGAAAGAAGCAGACATATATAGATGATTACTTTTTCAAGCTATCATTACATTGTCGTTTTGCTCTTTCCATTTTATTGTCTGTACTAACATATTTACAGTACATATCAACTTTGTTTTTCAGCATGTCAGTACGGTGATCATGGTACAGGGTTTTGCACCTCAATGCCAAGATATGGTTGCTATACCAACGAAGAATATTGCTGCGGAACATGCAAACCTTTAAAGAATAATGCTTTACCAGGTATAATTTTTAAATCACATATTTTCCCGGGTCTCTTATAAAACAAAGTTTAGGAATATGTATTTAACGGTACAGTACGTAAATATCTGTTTAAAACTGTAATGTGATCGCAAATGACAAAGGTGTAAAAACATTAAAACAAGCACACTTGAAACAGACACTTCGTCAAATTTGACATTAAACGAGCTATCCCTCTGTTTTCAGGCTGTGAATTCGGAGACAGGTTCAACGGATGTTTACGTGCAGCATGCGCTCAGTACAATGCCGAAAACTTAGCCGGTTGTTGTGAAACTTGTTATGATCCTGCAAATACCGTTAAAACAACAACCGCTTCTTCAACAACTTCTACTCCTGTACCAACAACAACACCAACTCCTACCACCACCACTTCTACTACTTCAACTCCAACAACAACAACTCCTACCACCACCACTTCTACTACTCCAACTGCAAAAACTACAGCACCGACCACAACAACAATTAAAACAACCCAATCAACAACCAAAGCAACGTCATCCTCTGCAGCCACACCAAAACCGACAACGTCAAAACCAGGAAGCACAACAGAATACCCCGGAACGCCAGGTAGTTCTACAACAGGAATGGAATCTACAGAGACGCCTGTTGAAAAACCAGGTACAACTACTTATTTCTCTTAGCATTTATACAAGATTCTCTAATTCAATACAGATACAGTCTTTATCCAATGGTTATTCAGAAATGTAGGTGCAGTCAAGAACGAATTCCAAATCGACATAAGTTTGGATGGCAATGTTATAGTTTGTTTTACTTTTCGTTTTTCAGCCTTCCTGTTTTTCAGTGGTTTTTAGTGTTTTGTCTTTCAAGAATAACAATAATAAAGCAATAGAATTACAACAATAACAAGAGCCGACAATCATGTTCATGTACAATTTACCAGTTCATATAAACATAGTGCATGTATACTGTTTAGCTTTTGACCTGGATAATTTTATTTTATATTGACAAATTCTAATAAGGTTTAAAACAATTGTACCATTTACCTATCATGCCTTCTTACACTAATTTGTACAATATATTTCAGGGTCGGACCTTATTTTCGTGATTGCCGGATGTTTGGCTGGAGCCATCATAGTCATTGTGTTTGTGATCATACTGTGTGTTTGCTTGAGGAAAAGAGCAAAGAGGGCGGCAACTTCCGGTGGGCGTAAACCATCCAAGGATAACGCCTATGTACGAACTACTTTCTTAATCTTTTCTTCGAAATTGATTATTGTTTCAATCAGTTTTTATTGAAAATTATATAACTAAAGTATTGTTAATACATTGAATTATGAAATGTACCTTTTTGCCTAACGTCTGTAACATGAATTCATGAACTTTATTACAATTTACTTTACATTTCTTAAAATTACATAGCCGCATTAATGAATCTTGGTGGAATTTTGAAGATGAATAATTTCAATTTTATGACATACAAATGTATTCGTTTCAGATCAATGCTTATTTACGGATACATACATTATCATTTTGTATTTTTGAAAAGTCGAATTTTTGTAATATTTTACACAATATTAGTTTTATAACTTCATTTTCTTTAACAGGATAATATTGGGTTTGTCAGGGCAGCTTCAGAAAAGCCCCATCACCCTCCCCCTAGACGTACCAGTAGCCATTCAGCTTCTGGGAACAATGCCTCCAACGGTTCTGCGCACATCCCAATTTCGACTATAGCCAATGGTTCGACAGGTCAGTTATTCAAACCTTTTTACAGGGGCGGTGCTTATTTGCAATGGAGTAATACTACAGAACATCGTTCTTAAGTAAAAACTAATGAAGGGACAGAACGTTATTTAGATAAACTATTCAAATTTAATACTTTCTATCAAAGATAACTTCAAACTTAATTTTACTCTATTGTGTAATAAATAACGAACAATTTGTAGAACAATTTGTATAACAAAACGGTCAAAAACACCATACTCTGAAATTCTTACAAATATTGTCAGTCTTAAAAGCCCCGCTTTGAAACATTTCGTCGATTATCTATGTTCCTAATTTTAAATAAAAATGATGAATATTTATACATGTATTACTTGAAATGATCACCAGGTAAATGTAATGATAGTATAAAAGTAGCAAACATAGATTATTACCTTAACATACCAAAAGGTTATCATGCTGTTGATAATTTAATTCATATATTATTTTCAGTTCAGTTAATATTCAGGTTATAATACTATTTTTTGTAATATTACAGTTGTAGTTTATACAATACGGTGTAAGTATTGCCACTAAATTCAACAACCACACAGTAGTTTTCCGCAAATAGTTCTCTGAAAATCCCTACACCTTGTTAGATGTCATTAGAGTTTTGATTGAATACCTGCAATCAATTGTTTAATTTTCATGTTCTGTGATAACCATTTTAATGTTCTATGAATTAACCCTATCTTATGAATTGCCTGATGTGAGCAAGTTATCTTGCTAGCTTTCAGAAGGGTTGTGATTCTACTTAGGTGTCCCAATGCATGTAGGAACGCCGCTTGAGACCTTCCTTCATCAGTAAAGCTGATGATATGCCATATGACATTTACTGACACTTTACATGCTTTTAAACCAAAACCAACTTAAAAACCCAAACCCATGACTTTTTCGTGTTTATACTTCTTTTAATTTCTTTTGTGTGTGCTTTTACACTTTACATATTATAATAGTCTTTTTTTAGTGTTTTCAAATCATTCCACTTTGAACTTTATTTACTTTGGAGGGTGTCGTTTTTTCTTTCTTTCTAAAAACTGATCCTTCTACTAGCACATTTTGTTTTCTCTTTTTGACATGACATAGATGATTCCTATAATCACGGTTTTGAATTTGTAGTGTTTTGAATAGGAGAATCTACCGGTTTCATTATCTCTTGTTCTGTATTGTTAACAACAACTTATTTCCATATTTTTCGTAAAATTATCTCTCTTTCTTTTAATTTAAGACGAATTTTGCATTCATTTTTCACGTATTTAGTAAGATTTTAAATGTCAGATCAAATCAAAGATTTGTGTAGAAAGTACACTTACGCTCACATTCATGCATGCTATTACGAAATTACTTGAAGATACTCATTCACTAAGCAAATGAAAACACATTTTTATGTTATGCAATATTTTTTATTTATAGAACATGTTGATGGTTATATGATGCCGGCTTCCGTTCAACTTGCACAACCACCTGCGGATACAGTACATTATACGGCGCCAAACAAACCAAAATTCAAACCTTTAGTACCACCAATCCCACCAAACAAACCCAAAAAGAAAGCGTTTACAGCTCCGAGACCAAGCCCTGACCTTAGTAAAAGATCAAGTAAGCCCGTACACTACAAAAGAGCCAGTGGTTTATCTAATTCATCAACGGACACTGTCGGCCGTGCAGTTTCTTTACACAGTACTGGGAGTATCCCTGAGACTATACAAACACTGGATGAATATGACAGCATAGGGGAAATACAAAAAGTACCAAGAGACAGACGTCCAACATTGCCAGGGAATCATCCGGCCAGTTTACCTGACTTTGGCCGGTTAAAATATGATTTAGCGAACGAATTTAGCAAGAAAACTGCAAATAAAGTTGCAGATAAAACTATTGGTGTTCATCAAAAGAAATTTGGCGAAAACTCAAGTAATATTTCTGACGACGAAAAGAGGAAAGTGTTACCAAGCAATCCCCCAAAACCTATTCCTCGGGTGAAATCAAGAAAAAAGAATGAAGTAACAACGAAATCTAGTGTAGAGCAAAATGACAAAGATCTAGATATCTTTAATAATGGTTATGAAGAGGTTGATAATGTGAAAAGACTTGAAGACGAAAATCAGCCATTAAAGCCGCCGAATAAACCTGTTCCAAGACGACAAATTTCCACCGGAAGTTCAGACCCCGAGAAACCGGAAGTGCCATTGAAAAAAGCTTTTCGACCACCGTCAAAACCTGTACCTAGAAGGCAAAAGGACACTGAAAAGTCTTCTGAGCCACATATAAATCTAGCGTTTGAAGGTGACCAATTTGAACTAGAGATTTAAGGAAATAAGTGAATGTATAATCTTATTACAAACGGTGCTGATTGTTATTTTTTGATTTCATCTTTTATATCCATGTTATATACAAAATGCACGCATTTACATTTTACATGAGCATTAAATATTTTATGTTTGATATTTCAATGTTCTTTTCTGTAAAGCACTTTATCTCGAACTAGATCAGGTTAAATCTATCATGTTAACGACGGACTTACATCACATTTCTGACTCAAGTTTGGCTCACCTTTAAGGACAATAAGTTCGACAAGAAGGATCAATATTGACATGTAATTATATTTTTAGTCTCAAAGTACTGTCATTTCTTCCACTGTCAAGGGTTCTTAAGGGTATACAAACATGATCTTTATGTTGCAATAAACAAGTCCAAACAGCGTTCGTCTGTTGTCGTAAAGGTGGTTTAGAATAGACTCCGTAACAATTTATAGCAGGTTAAATTCCACACAATAGAATAGGATTTATCTAAACTGTGCATGATAACTTTAAACCCCAACATGGGTTTCGTTTTAATGTTTCTGTTTCATGTTTCATATTCTAAGATCATGAACAGTTTAAATAAATTCTATTATGTAGTTATCAATCTGCTATATGTCAATATGTAACCCTAGCATATGCCTTAAAATATAAGGCCATTGAAGATTAATACATTTGTGTAGTTGTATCATATTTTGGGGACCTTTCTGTTAAAAATAAAAGTGTCAGGGTTATATCGTATACACATACATGGTCAATGCGTTAACTGGAGTGCAGGTATTAGTTACCCGCACTCCAGAGCATGCCCACTGGATTTCTTGGATTTACTTATTGTGTCGACAGAGAAAGGGATAACATTCAGATGCTCTTTTATCGGTTATTTTTTTCTGGGGTCTCATATTTTGACGACATGGAACGTGTTTTAATTTTTGCCTTTGATACAAAAGAGAAAGAAGATCAAAACACTCGGCAATCTGATTTATACTCGGGGGCTACGACATCTTCGTACAAATCAGATAGCCTCGTGTTACGTTGCTCTTTCTATAAGCTATCTAATTGAACAATAATATCACTTGTCCATGCATGTGGTTATGAAAAATACCTCTAAAATATTCATTTATTTCTTTTATTGATATTCGTTATAGAAATGAAGACTTAACCGACTGGTATTTCCTCGTAAACAGGTGCAATCATATAGCCGCTGAATGTGGAATAAATCTCATTTTGTCGCCCGTATATATTGGTATCTACTCCGTATGATTTATCTACTGCCTTGACATAGACCTAAAATTACAAAAATTTATGATTGACATGGTGTATGTGTCATAAATTATCATTTATTTTAAATAAATACATTTATGGATGCGACATATTATTGTAATTAAGAAATATAGTGGTGTTAGCCTACAATCCGGTTTTGCAATAGCAGACGGGCGTTAGCCCACTGTCCGGATAGTAACTTAGTGGACAGTTTTTTAGATAGCACATTAACATAAATTAGCAGCCATTTTGTAAGAACAAAAAGTTAAGAAAAAGAAATTGTTAAAATCACAGAGATAACGGGTAAATGTTTTGTTTTCGTGGTAATTCTACTCGAAAGTTACTTCTTAATCATCTCCGTTATCATATGGACATTTCTATTTCGTGTTTACTACCACAGTTGTGATGATCAAAGTGTTTTCTCTATCTGCTCATTGCTGACCGACAAAATTCAACATCTAAGTCACGCTTCAATACAGACTATATATTGGTTAAAAGATGTGTATGTTGGTATTAGGTACATCTCATATAAACAGACTCCAAAATTATTTGGTGCGACAACACATGTCAATAATTTATTTAATTTGAATAACCTGCCGATTTATTTGCATGGAATATCAGGCGGATGTGTCAACAACCGAGTCCATGTTACTCGCTGGGAAAGGAGCATTGCTACATTCAGGCCAAAAGTGTTGGTATTACATTTTGGAGAAAACGATTTAGATTCGCGAAGAGATGTTTGTGATTTAATTTCGCTGAAGGTAGTGAATTTGGCAACCACATAGCGTGCACGATATAACGTTCAATCTGTGGTGATAGTGCAACTGATGACATTTTGTACTGGAAGATCTCTGGGGTGAAATATCCAACTCAGCCTATTTTCTGTGATGGTGTACATTTTAATGATGATGGAATGCTTCGTTACTTCCGTAGTTTACGTGGTGCAATTATCTACGCTAGTAAATAAGTGATGTAAACATAGTGAAATGTTATTGTGTGAATAGCTTCAGCTTTGTGATATGACTGATGTTTTTTGCTTTAGAACTCTTTACCTACATGTACATCTGGCTATTTACATCCTTGTTTCATTATGTTGACATGCTCAAATAGTTCAAGTAACATGTACAAGCACAAAATACTATGAAATTTTCATCGCAAATGCATGTCTTTTCTTTACCTGCTGAGAATCATGTTGACAGTTAATGAGTTATCTGTGTATATTTTGTCCTAGAATTTATTAAGTTAATTTTAGTTATAAATATGTTAATATTTCTGCATAAGTATAACTATTTTATGTTATTAATGGATTTATTGCTTTTTAATAACAACTGTAATATGTAAGTATTTCCGTTATAAAATGCAATTTGGGCCTTTATAAAACTGGTTGGAAGTTCTTCCTTCATCATTTTCAAGTACATAAGTTTATATTGCAATGCAATATTATTTATTAGTGTCAGTATACGGTAGTATTTGGCAAAATACGTTAGTATTTTCTAGAATACGGTAGTATTCTATCTATTTCTCGGACAAATGATTGGGATATGTTAGTTTTCAGTCAGAAATTTGTTCAAACATTTTATCAACAACTGAAATACGTTAGTTTTCAGTCACAAAAAATACGTTAGTATTTTTGGCAGTTATCATAATTATGATGGTATTCTTAGTTTATTAAGAGCAGAATACGGTAGTATTCTTACCTATTTTTGTTCGATCAAACTGCAAGAAATAAACTATTGTTTCGTCAAGGGAATACGTTAGTATTTCCATTTTTAAAGCATAGTATGCTAGAAAAGCTACGGCAGATTACTGTGTTTTGATAATGGTTTTACATAAGTTTATATTGCAATGCAATATTATTTATTAGTGCCAGTATACGGTAGTATTTGGCAAAATACGTTAGTATTTTCTAGAATACGGTAGTATTCTATCTATTTCTCGGACAAATGATTGGGATAAATGTTAGTTTTCAGTCAGAAATTTGTTCAAACATTTTATCAACAACTGAATACGTTAGTTTTCAGTCACAAAAAATACGTTAGTATTTTTGGCAGTTATCATAATTATGATGGTATTCTTAGTTTATTAAGAGCAGAATACGGTAGTATTCTTACCTATTTTTGTTCGATCGCACTGCAAGAAATAAACTATTGTTTCATCAAGGGAATACGTTAGTATTTCCATTTTTAAAGCATAATATGCTAGTAAAGCTACGGCAGATTACTGTGTTTTGATAATGGTTTTACATAAGTTTATATTGCAATGCAACATTATTTATTAGTGCCAGTATACGGTAGTATTTGGCAAAATACGTTAGTATTTTCTAGAATACGGTAGTATTCTATCTATTTCTCGGACATATGATTGGGATATGTTAGTTTTTAGTCAGAAATTTGTTCAAACATTTTATCAACAACTGAAATACGTTAGTTTTCAGTCACAAAAAATACGTTAGTATTTTTGGCAGTTATCATAATAATGATGGTATTCTTAGTTTATTAAGAGCAGAATACGGTAGTATTCTTACCTATTTTTGTTCGATCGAACTGCAAGAAATAAACTATTGTTTCGTCAAGGGAATACGTTAGTATTTCCATTTTTAAAGCATAATATGCTAGTAAAGCTACGGCGGATTACTGTGTTTTGATAATGGTTATAACACATTGACTAATCTGTCAGTTGATTTAAATGAAACATATTTACACTTGATGTTTCGGTTAAATGTTTCTAATACTTTTTTTTTTACACACATTTATGTTTTCATTAGAACAATGATGCAATTCTAGTTGTTGTTGTTGTTGTTGTAAATATATATATAGAAACACACACCAATAGATATATAATTATGGTCATTTAATGCACAAATCGGAAATGAGTTGTCTGTTAATGCGGGAATCCCAGATGATTTATGTACTGTCAATTATCAAACAATTGACGATGCCATAGCTCTCGTTAAACAATGTGGTTATATGTCATATATGACTAAAGTAGATATTGAAAATGCATATAAAATAGTGCCCATTCATCCCCATGATTTTGAACTTTTAGGTTTTTCCATTGATGACAAGAAAATTTTTTTTTTGGATAAAACCTTGCCCATGGGATTGTCTTATTCGTGTGCTCTATTTGAACGATTAAGCACTGCCTTTCATTGGACTGCTGTAAACAAATTGAAGTTACCGTTTTGTGCCCACATTCTTGATGATTTTTTTTTTTTCTTTGTTAATTTCACTTCTGATTTGTCCATGAAGGGTCTTAATATATTTTTAACATGGGCACAGTCAATTGGGTTACCTATTAATCCAGATAAAACTGTCACTCCTTGTACCACTATCACTTTTGTTGGTATTGAGCTTGATTCCATTGCAATGGAGGCTCGTTTACCATTAGAGAAATTGCAAAAAATCAGGTCAGTTTTACATTCTCTGCGATTTCGTAAAAAGGTTACTTTACAGGAACTGCAGTCTGTCATAGGTCTCCTTAATTTTGCTTGCAGAGTTGTTCGGCCGGGCCGGGCTTTTTTGACCTGACACTGTTAGTGTACTGTCCCTGGATTAAACTCAACTATATCGCTATCTTGGGGACAAGGGCCTCAGACTAGCATAATCGTTCACATTCCTAAGGTACACATTAATACCACATCTTCTGTCTTGGGGACAAGGGCCTCAGACAGTATGAATCATTGGTGAAATACTTGCAAATCTTGAGGACAAGGGCCTCAGAAAGGTTTTTCTGAAAATTTCTGCTGATAATTTTGTTAAATCTCTGTTGTATAATAATTGATTTTCTTTGGAACAAGAGTCTCAGAAAATCAAATGGTAATTTTCAGAAAATATTACTTTTGTTGTATTTTTGTGTTTTCTTAATAAATGTTTTTTATGTGTTAGTCATCGCTTTTTATAAAACATTAGTCAATTGTCTTTTTAATGTACATACTATGTTGTTACATGTGTCCCAGGGTTTCATTTTTATATACAATGTATGTACTTAATCTAGCTGATTATCTATCTCGTCTTCAGGTAGAACAATTTTTGCAAGAATGTCCGTTTCATCACCCACTACAAATGGCAGTTCCACCATCCAGTGTGACACTTTGACTGAAATTTCCCAAATGCTTCTTGACAATGCTTTGGCAACATCAAGTCAGCTCACTTATAATAAAGCAGTGGAACATTACAGGCGCTTCATTCTAGAGAGGTCACCATCACATGCACTTTTCAAGCCTCTTTAAATGATATTCTTATGTTTATTGCACATTGTTTTTCGAAGAATTTTGCACCCGCAACTGTTACCACATATGTGTCTGCCCTTGGTTATTTCCACAGACTAAGACAAATGCCAGACGTTTCTGGTCATTTCCTGATTAACAAATCTTTGACTGGTTATCGAAATCTCTTGAGGCGTCCAGATATCAGGTTACCAATTACTTGAAATATTCTATGGTCTCTCGTTCAATCTCTGCCACGCATAACTCTATGTCACTTTACAAGAACACTGTTTAAAGCCATGTTTCTTGTTATGTTCGCCTGCTTCTTACGTCTTGGGGAAGTAACAGCAACATCTTCCCCTCCACTCCTTCACAGGTCACATGTCTCCTTCAAATATAAACACCCCACAGATGAACTGATTGGCTTTGATTTGACTATAAAAGATTATAAACACAGTCATGGTTCCCAAAAAACAATTTTATTGTTCCTGCACAGCATGATTCTAATACTTGCCCAGTATATTCTTTGAGGTCATATCTCAACTTACGCAAAACATCAAGTGGTCCGCTGTTTGCATTTATGAATGATTCCCCTATTCCCCGTTCCTATTTTGACCGCCATCTTCGCCTAGCTCTGACATACTTAGGTTTTGATCCTTCAAAGTATAAAGGTCACAGTTTCCGCATAGGTGCTGCAACTACAGCAGCGGAAAAAGGTTTTTCGGAAACACAAATCCAACAAATGGGGCGCTGGTCATCCACAGCTTTCCGTAAATATATCCGTATCCCTACCTTACACTGTTAGTGTACTGTCCCTGGATTAAACTCAACTATATCGCTATCTTGGGGACAAGGGCCTCAGACTAGCATAATCGTTCACATTCCTAAGGTACACATTAATACCACATCTTCTGTCTTGGGGACAAGGGCCTCAGACAGTATGAATCATTGGTGAAATACTTGCAAATCTTGAGGACAAGGGCCTCAGAAAGGTTTTTCTGAAAATTTCTGCTGATAATTTTGTTAAATCTCTGTTGTATAATAATTGATTTTCTTGGGAACAAGAGTCTCAGAAAATCAAATGGTAATTTTCAGAAAATATTACTTTTGTTGTATTTTTGTGTTTTCTTTATAAATGTTTTTATGTGTTAGTCATAGCTTTTTATAAACACTAGTCACATAATATGTTTTTATACATGTCTCAGGGTTCACTTTTATATTTTATGTTGCAACATATTTTCGTAGTTTTTTGTTGGCGGATATTGCAAACTAGGTTTGCAATTGCAAACTAGGTTTGCAACATGTGGCGTTTTGATGGTTAACCAACATTTGATTTCTCTTACCATACATGCATAATAGTTGATATTTTTTGCATTGTTGCATAATTGTATTTCTAACAATTGCATTCATTTGAAATGTAATGTTGTTTTAAATTTGTATGTTTTACTATTATGCATTGTTCACATTTAGTCATTTAAATAGCAGCATTAAATGACAATTTCACTATATTATGTCTTTGTTTTTATCTGAAATCAAACTGAGAAAAACTTCGAAAACAAACAACCGACATACATAAATTATCATTTATTTTAAATAAATACATTTATGGATGCGACATATTTATTGTAATTAAGAAATATAGTGGTGTTAGCCTACAATCCGGTTTTGCAATAGCAGACGGGCGTTAGCCCACTGTCCGGATAGTAACTTAGTGGACAGTTTTTTTAGATAGCACATTAACATAAATTAGCAGCCATTTTGTAAGAACAAAAAGTTAAGAAAAAGAAATTGTTAAAACCCACCCTCCTCTCCCAAATGAAGTGTGTTGTTGGTTAACCAATATTTGCAAATTTTTAGTTGATAACAATTTTTCTGGATGGCATTTGTTCATGCATATTTATTTCTATTTTGCATTGTTGCATAATTGCATTTGAATTGTTGCATAAGCGGCGTTTTGATGGTTAACCAACATTTGATTTCTCTTACCATACATGCATAATAGTTGATATTTTTTGCATTGTTGCATAATTGTATTTCTAACAATTGCATTCATTTGAAATGTAATGTTGTTTTAAATTTGTATGTTTTACTATTATGCATTGTTCACATTTAGTCATTTAAATAGCATTAAATGACAATTTCACTATATTATGTCTTTGTTTTTATCTGAAATCAAACTGAGAAAAACTTCGAAAACAAACAACCGACATACATAAAAACGAAGTTACAATAACAATAATATTTAATTTACATGATTTATCCAAGAGTTTAGTTTGAAATACAGCTTATAATAACCAGAAAATATACGGACAATAATACGACGAGATGTACCTTTTACCTTGAAATATACTTGATATACCCTGCGCTTTGTCAAAAGTTGAAAACCATAAATTAACAAGATAAATTAAACAAAATTGTTGTATCATGAAATTGGTTTTAACTGATATGACAACAAAAATACACTTCAAGATGTATCATTTGCTTTGGCACAGACAACCTTATATTAGAAGGACAATAACAATAAACTATTTATCATTTGATTTGACATATTGACATAACCCTGAATTAAAAAGGATAAATTACACTAAGTTTAAACAAATTGTCTTTACAAAGACCTAAAATACCAAGGACAATTATATATTGAAATTGTAATTTGACATGCCATTACTATGAAATTAAAAGAATCTAATGGCATTTATACAATTGACTTTTCACCTGATTTTGTAAGGTCATTTTCAATTGAACTATTTCTTTTGCCTAAAAATAAAGTTAAAATACTTCAAAATATGTCTTCAGGTATTCAGCTCGACCTAAAATTACAATGATATTTATACTGAAGCTTTTAAACTTTTTATAAAAGAGCAAAGAACAATAACTCTTTAGGATATACCCTTTGCTTTGACATAAATCTTATATAACATGAACAATTAAACTGTAGGATAAAAATACCCTCAATCTACCCTCAATTACACTATATAATTTAGAACATAGACCTTAAAATCAAATTTATATAACATTTCAGGGTACATCGTATATCTTTCATCATAAGCAAACAAACACTACACTCACCTGATCCCCTTTTGTCAGCTTCAGAACCACGGAATTTCCACCACTTGCAAAATCATTCACTGTATGCCCATAGATTGAAGCGATGTAATAAGCATTGTGGTATAATTCTAGCCAAGAGGATTTGTCCTGGCGTGAAAGTGTGTGAAACTGAAAAGAAATACCGCATATAGGGGATTGTGTGTGAAACTGAAAGTTTATATCTATTTTAGTTGGATTATACAGATACGTATGTTTATGAAAATGAAAAGAAAAACCGCATAAAGAGGGCTTATTCTGTAGTGTGTGTGAAACTGAATGAGACCCAGAGGGGACTTGTTCTGATGTGGAAATCCGGATTCATAAAAAAGAAAGACCATGAAGAATAAAAAAAAGTGTGTGAAACTAAACAAAAAGGCTAAAATGTTGGCAAGGACATTAAAAAGAAATACTTGTTCCGTGTATAGAAGTAATATTTTACTGAAGAGAAAACTTAAAAGTTTAAATAAAAAGAAACCAAACTGTAAAGTTTAATGGTACCGAAAAAAAGACAAATTTTGCATTACAATTAAAAAAAATGAATAAAATGAAATAAAATATAATATGATAATTATATATTTGTAATGCCTACAATAATGATGAAAACAAAAAACTTAAACAAGAGCACCGCTAGGCGGAACATTATATGCCCGAAAGTGTGTGTTTTTTTTTAGTAAGGATGAAACATTTAACATTTTGTAAGACATGTGAATTAAATAAAGTATAGCCTCCTTCAAATAGCAATTCTATAAAGTTTGAATATTGTGGGCCAAAATGAAGAGAGGTGTTCTACCCAATATGGACAATCATCTTATGAAGTTTAAATATTGTGGGCCAAATGGAACTGAAGTTATGCCCCGGAAACTGTTTTCAGTTTTAAAGTAATAATGACCTTGACCTTTGACCTTGTGCCCCAAAATAAATAGGGGTCGTCTACTAAATATGGACAATCAACCTATGAAGTTTGAACACTGTATGCCAAATAGAACTTAAGTTATGCTCCGGAAACTGATTTCAGTTTTAAGGTAATACATGTAGTGACCTTGACCTTTGACCTTGTGACCCCGAAATCAATAGGAGTCTTCTACTTAATATGGACCCTCATCCTGTGCAGTTTGAACACTGTGGGCAAAATTGATTTTAAGTTATGCTCCGGAAATTGTTTTCAGTTATAAGGTAATAGTGACCTTGACCTTTGACCCCGAAATTAATAGGGGTCTTTTACCCAAGTTGGACAATCATCCTATGAAATTTGAATATTGTGGGTCAAATGGGACTTAAGTTATGCTCCAGAAACCAAATTGCTAACGGACGGACAGTCAGACGCCAGGGGGTATAACATAATATGCCCGAAATTCTTTAGGGCATATAAAAATCAAATTTTATTAAGATAACTGAGAGGATATAATGCAAGCTTTAAAAATATTGCTTTAATAGTAAAGTCAACATGACTAAGGGAGTTTAAAACGTGGGTATGGAGATAATCTGAAAACAGCCGTCATAAAACATTTGTGTTTCACATTCAATATTGTCTTTATATTTTACCTGAAATACATATATACCAGAGGTCGGTACATTAAAAATTCCGGTATTGTTGTCGTACCCGCCGCCGATGTTTGTAAAAACCTTGTCGTATACCACATTTTCGGCATGTGAGATGTTGACATTGTGCGTAAGCCCGGCTGAGAAGGCGACTGCCGTATCAGCTTGTGTGAATGCCGCTAAAAATAACCAATAAATAAATAATTATAACAATGATAATGAAAACTGATGCATTTCTATAAAAGTTCACAATATGTTTGATATAATCAAATAAAATTGGTTTAATCATATACATTAAATCTCCATAGTGTAGCTTTGTTGACGGTCAGTTACTCTTAAATGCATACCCGGAATTGTCAATTATTGGGCATGTTATTAATGGTAGTAATATAATATACATATATAGCTGATTCACCTCAACTTGACACTAAAAATGAGCATAGTACGTGTCACTTTAACGTCAGAATTTGCAATTTATGATGAAAAATAATACTAACCTGATGCGATTAGTGTAACTGCGGTGATGAGAAACATTCTAGAAATATAATCGACAACAATATTTCATATTACGATAATTCAAAAATATGGTTTATTAGTGTAAAATAAGATGCTTAAAAATCCCTTTGCGAAAAAAGGTATTCACTTATATTCGCATATTACATATTACATATACGTACGACTGTATGGGAATTATGGAATACACATAAACACATGAACCGATGTAACAAATAGCTTAATTAAATTTTAGCTCCCAATAAATAGTATTTAGTGTCATAAGTATATGCTCGTCCATATGATTCTTTTCCGGCGGCGAGGGTAAAGAAACCATACACATAACGTATCTATTGTTATAGAGTCTATGCGGTGGGTTAGTTGAAAAAGTGTATGTTGTAAATTCAAGCAGGAATAGTGAGTGTGAACATATTACTTAAGTTACAAGTTAATAATTCATTCGGATTAGAATTTAAAAGGTCTCGAGAAATGATGCTTTACAACTTCAAGAACCATTTATTTCTGCTGAAATGTGGTAATTTCTGTGAAAGTTGCATTGTCCTTTATTCAATGAAATTATTGAAAGTGTTCTTTTATGAGTTGTGCAATAGGGTTTCCAATTTCGCCAAATTTAAAAATGTTTATCACACATAGTCAATCCATCGACATTGTTAAGACAACGTACGATAATCAACATTCACATATCAATAACATCGGCAATAATTTAAATGTATGGGAAGAGACACTGTCAACTTAGTATAACTTAAACATTAAAACAAAGTTTAATAACAAATAATTGCCAATCTATTACCTTGAAAAAGCTTAAGCAGAAGAAAATATACGTACATAGACATCTGATTTGTCACTCGATCGTTTGAAATAGGCTACGACATAGTGACACATGATTTCTTATCTTAACGTTATCTCAGTGAAATGAAATTTATGAAATATGACCTTTATTAGCCGCTAGTATCTTAAATAGAATAATGTTCTTAAATGTAACTCGAATTTGACTCGAGATCAGGTAGATATATGCCAAGTGGATCATATAGTGAAGGAGGTGGAAGGAGGTGGTGAGAATTTTCTACATGACAGAGCAACTGACAGAGATAACAAGCGAAGTTTTACGACACGTAAATTGTCTGCAATGGAATGGCCAGCTGTGTACTACAATCCTTGAGACTAACTTGACGAGTGTCAATTTAAATTTGCGCAGTTGTGAAAATAAAAATTAAAACGTGAAGCATTGCTACACGAAATTTTCATTACGTTCTTACTAGGACTGGTTTTATACTGTGGTAGCACGGCTAACCAATATTTGTGCAAGGAATTTGACACCTAATGTCCTATTTAGATATTGATTGTAGTCACGCTTGTAATCGTTTATGATAATGCCTTTGGACATTGATTAATTTTACTACGATTAAACGATATCTAAGTTTGTAATAAGCAAAGGATCAACAATATAGCCTTAAATTTGTGCATTAACATAGCGAATAAGACATCAGACCCGTTAACAAATGTTTCCACGGTTTACTGTATAATAGGCGGCTATGAAAGTTTTGGACCGCACAGCTCTATCCTAGTCATCTTAAAAGAAAAATATAAAACTTAAAAAGATATATATTCTAAATAAAGGGTAAAATGGAAAAAATGAATGAAAATGTTTTATGCCGTGCAATGTAACAGCTCTTGCAAAGTTGTCCAAAGTGTTTCTTGTTTCTGTCATCTGGAGGCCAGCCCCTTTAAAACCCATCTGTTAGGTAGCTTTTTAATGTTTGAAAATGTCTAAATTTTACAAAATGCCACATTATTTTTTCCAAATTAAAAACAGGGGCCTTGTCCAAAAATAGCTGGGAAAGGCCCTGCATGATTATTTAAAATCATGGTCATCGTGACCTTGACCTATGACGACAGACCTATCATTCTCTGGACAGGGTCTCACTGGTCTCTTCCATCACTAAATTAATTAAAAAGATAGTTAATGTCATAGGTATCAAATTATTTAGCCGACAAAAAGAGGCTATTGTGCCTATTGTAATTCCGTTTAATCACAGGATTTATTTCGTAAAAACGAAATATTAATTCGTGTTTACGAAAACAATTTCGTAATTACGAAACAATATATCATTTTTACGTTATTTTGTTAAATCGAAATTAGTCCAAGAAAAGATTCAAGATTCATAACTGTTTTAAAAAAAAGACCTCATTTTGAAGTATCAGTACATGTTAGAATTTTATTTTAAGAAACAGAATACAATGTACGAAAGCCCAATAGTGTCAAATGAAATAAAAAATAAAAATGCAAAGGCGTTATAACGCGAATAAAGGCGTTATTACGCGAATCAAAATGCGTAATAACGCGAATAAAGGCGTTATAACGCGAATCAAAAGGCGTAATTACGCAAATCAAAAGGCGTAACAACGCGAAAAAAGGCGTAGCAACGCAAATAAAGGCGAAGTAACGCGAAAAAGGCGTTATAACGCGAATCAAAAGGCGTAATAACGCGAATAAAGGTGTAATAACGCGAATCAAAAGGCGTAATAACGCAAATCAAAAGACGTAGTAACGCGAATAAAGGCGTAGTAACGCGAACCAAAAGGCGTAATAACGCAAATTAAAACGCATTATAATGCCAATTTAATACCATATTTATACTAATCAAATTGCCTAGTAACGCGAGAAAGGAAGACCAATATTGATCTGAATTTATGGCTCAAGGTATAAACTCGTATAGAATAATATAATATACATTTACAATAACTATCATTCCATTTGCGCAGTAATAATGCAAACTTTTTGTCATAAACTAATGAAGACTCTTTAATTTTTGCCAATATAAGGTGACTTAATTGGTGTCTTATAGGTTTATTAGACTGGACGTAAATACAGTTACTCTGAATTCACATGTATCACATCATTGATTTTACACATGCCACTATAGTAAATGAATTTCTTTTCTTATCTTATATTTTTATCTTATATGTGCGTCATATGTTCAATTATCTTCGGATATATCCCGTTTGATTACCTTATAACCTCTAGTATTTTCTAATTATGTGAAAACCATTCCTTATTAAGCTATAGGTAATACGCTATAGGTAACAAGATTTGGGAAAACGTAAGGTATAAATTAGTCACATTAGGGTGATTATTGAAAGGTATGCTTAAATGGGGGATAGTGTTTCAGTTAAGTTACAATTATAGGAGACATTGCCTTCTTTGTCTATGTAGAAACATATCTATAGTTGGATGACAGTAACCTCTAATCTCACGAAAGCATTTCCTAATAAAAGATTAAAAAATCAGACTGTGGCCTTAGGACGTATTCGTATAGAATTGAAAATAAAACGTACGTCTTGATCGATTCATTTAGAAACATTGTTATTCCTATCTTACATTGCTAGGCCACTGTTTGGAATTTATATGGTATTAAATTAGCGCTTTAACGCCTTTTGTTTTGCGTTATTACGCCTTTTGGTTCGCGTTATTACGCCTTTCAATTCGCGTTATAATGCCTTTCAATTCGCGTTATAACACCTTTATTCGCGTTATAACGCGAAACAAAAGGCGTAATAACGCGAATCAAAAGGCGTTATAACGCTAATAAAGGCGTTATAACGCGAACATAAAGGCGTAATAACGCTAACCAAAAGGCATAATAACGCAAAACGAAAGGCGTTATAACGCTAAATTAATACCATATAAATTCCAAACCGTGGCCTTGTGAAGAACAATGTTGATTTAAATAAATTGATCAAGATGTACGTTTTATTTTAAATTCTGTACGGATACGTCCTAAGGCCACAGTCTGATTTTTTAAATTTTTTATTAGGAAATGCTTTCGTGAGATTAGATCGAGGTTACTATCACCCAACTATAGATACTTTTTGATAAAGGCAAAGAAGACAATGTCTCCTATAATTGTAACTTAACAGAAACACTTTTACCCCTCTAAGCATACCTATCAATAATTAGAGTTATTTCCTAATTCGCTACGCTCAAACGTAAATAAATTATTTATCCCATAATAAAAGAATCGAAGGAAGGAAGAACAACAAATACATAAATTCACATTTAGGATTTGTTATCTGCATTGCCGTTTATCGAGTGTTAACACATGTTCTTAGAAACAACACCAAAATCGTATACACATGAAAATAACATCTCAACGTTAAATCGGTATAATGTAAAATGTCTTTTTTGACAATAAACTCATTTCTTAATTGCGTACATCAACATGGAAAACACACAGTTATGAACATACTTTCCCTGTCAGTATGCTGCGAGTCGGCTGCGCAACCCTACTCCATCGTGGGAGGGGGACGTAGTAGGAAACCAAAACTCAAGACTAGCCACCTTTCGTTAGTGTTCTGACATAATTTAATGAGAAACCCCATAAAAATAATAATAACTGTGTGTACTTTTCGGGAGGGTGGGAGGGATTCAGTGTACGATATAGTACAATAAACGTGTGTAGCAATGCAGAAAACCTCGAATGATGTACACGTCTAACCGACTTTATTATATATTACTGACGCACGAGAAAATCGTGCGTATCATATACAATGATTTTCAATACAGTAAAACTTCGATTACTTTAACCTAGGATAAATATATATACTTTCACCTTAATGTGACTTACGTATACCTTACGTTTATCCAAATCTTGTTACCTATAGCCAATTACCTATATAGCGTAATGAGGAACGACATTCACATAATTAAAAGTTACTACAGGTTTTTTAGTAATTATACAGGACATATCCGTAGATAATTGAACATATGACGCACACATAAAATAAGATAAGATATAAGAAAAAATAGAAATTCAATTACTATAGTGACATGTGTAAAATCAATGATGTGAATTCAGAGTAACTGTATTGACATATAACCCAATGGACCTTTAAGTCTCCAAGTCACCTTATATTGACAAATATCAAAGTCTTTATTAGTTTATTACAAATTGTTTGAAATATTACTACGCAAATGGAATGATAGAACTTATTGTAAATGTATATTATATTATTCTATACGAGTTTATATCTTGAGCAATAAATTCAGATCAATATTGTTCTTCCTTTCTCACGTTACTAGGCCATTTGATAAGTATAAATATGGTATAAAATTGGGATTATAATGCGTTTTAATTGCGTTATTACGCCTTTTGTTTCGCGTTACTACGCCTTTATTCGCGTTACTACGCCTTTTGATTTGCGTTATTACGCCTTTTGTTTCGCGTTACTACGCCTTTATTCGCGTTACTACGCCTTTTGATTTGCGTTATAACGCCTTTTGCTTCCCGTTAATACGCCTTTATTCGCGTTACTACGCCTTTTTTCGCGTTATTATGCCTTTTGATTTGCGTAATTACGCCTTTTGATTCGCGTAATAACGCCTTTATTCGCGTTATAACGCCTTTGCATTTTTTTATTTTATTTGACACTATTAATTAGGCTTTCGTAAGTATAATTTAGACTTAAAAGTCTTTATATAGCATGCTGGTCGCATGAAAAACTTTTGTCTTATGTATAAGATATAATTTAAATGCATTTATCACATAAACCGCGGCGCAGGAGTGTAATAAAGCCATTTAATAACTAGAACTCCGCGAGTCGGATGTGTCGCCTTGTGAACAATATAGTTTAGGAGAAATGGCCAGGAAAAAAAATGAAATATGAAAACTAACAAAGGTCAATAACTCAAAATATAATAAGTGCAGAGCAACAGTTTCTATGTACTGCACTTCTTATCAATAAGATCTATCATTCTATGAAGTTTCAAGTCCATATCTTTTATAAGTTCTGAGAAATAGCCTGGACAAAAATAAAGTATGAAAATTAATAAAGGGTAATAACTCACAAAAAAGAAGTGCAGAGTACCGATTCTTGTACACTGCATTTTTTCTTTTTTCTTAATGAGATCTATCATCCTATGAAGTTTCATGTCCATAGCTTTCATACTTGAGGAGAAATGACCGGGACAAAGTATGAATATAAACAAAGGGCAATAACTCAAGAAATAAGAAATGCAGAGTACTGGTTCTTGTGCACTGCACTTCTTCTTAATGAGATCTATCATCCTATGAAGTTTCAATTCCATAGCTTTTATACTTTAGGAGAAATGGCCCGGACAAAAATAAAGTATGAATATTAACAAAGGGCAATAACTAAAAAAATAAGAAATGCAGAGTACCAGTTCTTGCGCACTACACTTCTTCTGAATGAGATCTATCATCCTATGAAGTTTCAAGTCCATAGCTTTTATACTTTCGGAGAAATGGCTCGGACAAAAATAAAGTATGAAAATTAACAAAGGGCAATAACTCAAAAAATAAGAAATGCAGAGTACCAGTTCTTGTGCACTGCACTTCTTCTTAATGAGATCTATCATCCTATGAAGTTTCAATTCCATAGCTTTTATACTTTAGGAGAAATGGCCCGGACAAAAATAAAGTATGAAAATTAACGAAGGGCAATAACTCAATTAATAAGAAATGAAGAGTACCAGTTCTTGCGCACTGCACTTTTTCTGAAAGAGATCTATCATCCTATGAAGTTTCAATTCCATAGCCTTAATACTTTAGGAGAAATGGCCCGGACAAAAATAAAGTATGAAAATTAACAAAGGGCAATAACTCAAAAAATAAGAAATGCAGAGTACCGGTTCTTATGCACTGCACTTCTTCTTAATGAGATCTATCATCCTATGAAGTTTCAAGTCCATAGCTTTTATAGTTCAAGAGACATGGCCCGGACAAAATTAAAGTATGAAAATTAACAAAGGGCAATAACTCAAAAATTAAGAAGTGCAGAGTACCGGTCCTTGTGCACTGCACTTCACGTTATTGAAAGAAGCTTGCATACAAAGTTTGAAGTCAGTCAGACTTAAAGTGACTGAGGTATGCTCCGGACAAGCTTTAGGGGACGCCGACACCCACGTTGCCGCCGACACCGACGTTGCCGTTGACACCGACGTTGCCGCCGACAAAAGTAACCCCTATATGTCGCCTTTTCAAGGCGACACAAAAACGATCAATCTCCTACGCAGTGATCTCCCCTTACAGCAGGATTAGATCTCTGCCATCACAACATTTTCGTCAAGATTTTTGACGATATGATTTTTTTCAATTTTTATATTTATTTTAAAAAGTAAACACGGTTTTGCTAATGTTTTAAGACTATAATGTATAAGATGTAAACTAAAATAAAAAAATAATTTCGAAAACTTAAATATTATCAATATTATGAGATTTTTTTTAATAATGCACCGTTTCATTCCAAAACAATGGCCGCTTTTGAAAAAGATATTATTAAAGAAATTTATTTTTCATTATTTTGTATACTTTTGATAAATTTTTGAGAAAATATAACGGACGTAGGTACAAAAAGTTAAAAATAAAACAGAAAGAGAAAAATGACGTTAGATTTTCTATGTAACGGTCGCTATTTACATTTGAATTTCGACGTTACATCATGTGACTTTCATCATCATGTGACATCTGTGAAGGCAGCGATTACAATTCTGCAAAGGGAGGTAATCAGTGTGAGGAGTTTGAAAAACGATATTACACTAGTGTAATAACACTTTGACGTGACGTCATTTGCGTTATATAGAAACAGCGTTACACTATGGGCGCGTCATTGAAAAATTATTCATTTGAACAGTTTACTGTTCTTATTTTATATATGTGATAAAAAGAATATTATATTCGTGTAGATTCAATACTAAATTTATTGAACTCGTTAAATAAAACAATATTATGCTCGCCAGAGGCTCGCTTAATATGATTTTATTCAACTCGTTCAATAAATTTAGTATTAAACTACACTCATTCAATATCCTCTATGTGTTTATGTTTTACTGTACATTTTAAGTTTTTTCAAAGGATAACTAGCATAAAAAATCTTCTTTTTTTACATACATAGTTATGATTTGAACACATTGACATTTTAACATTAAGGTTTCTTTTCCATGATATGTCAATAAAAAAAGTTTAGTCTTTTCTTAATACTTATATAGATTAGAACTATATCATTAGATGAATAATGTGCGTAATACTTAGTTGAAGGATACCCCTTAAAATTAACATCTTTATCTTTAAATGTTTCTGAATCTTCATACTATTTTGAATCAAAACACTATTCATCGGCTGATAAAGTACTATCGGAAGTTTGTTTATCATATTGTATCTGTTTATAGTATATCCCCATGTTGTATTGCCATGTACCCTGGGAAAGAAATAAAGAGATCTGTTCTGTTTTGTTCGGTTATTTCCAAATCAAATTCAAATAACACTCACAGTAGCAAATGAATATATAGATTATTTTAGAGCAAATGCTGCAATTCTCTTGTAATTTTGTTGTGATTAATGCTTCCTAGGGATCACTTTGTTTCCAGATTTTTATGCTTCACAACAGCAGGTGTCAAGTGCCGTGTGGCAGCTGTAAAAGGTTACCCCGTACTTCACTTCAGTGTTGTTATATTTTCTGGTCCTTCGGGATCTATTAAGTGTTGAGAATTGAGTACCGCTCAAGCCGGTGCTAGGGGGCGTGAGGGATGTTGCACTTATTCATTATCCCTCATGTACAGACTCAATCAAACCGAGTCTGCAATTCTCTTGTAATTTTGTTGTGATTAATGCTTCCGAGGGATCACTTTGTTTCCAGAATTTTATGCTTCACAACAGCAGGTGTCAAGTGCCGTGTGGCAGCTGTAAAAAGTTGTCCCGTACTTCACTTCAGTGTTGTTATATTTTCTGGTCCTTCGGGATCATTGATGCCAGCACTATTTAGTGTTGAGAATTGAGTACCGCTCAAGCCGGTGCTAGGGATGTTGCACTTATTCATTATCCCTCATGTACAGACTCAATCAAACCGAGTCTGCACTTCTCTTGTATTTTTGTTGTGATTAATGCTTCCGAGGGATCATTTTGTTTCCAGAATTTTATGCAGGTCTTGTGATCATAACAAAATTAGTCTATCGCGTTCTTCGTTTAATATTAAATGCTAAGTGATAAAGCCTGCTATCAGAGCAGTCATTTTCAGATTTTATTTGGAGTTACAGAATGACCAGAAACAATAAATTCCTAACGAATTACAATATCAGAGTACATTAAGTTTTTCCTCCAGATCCTATTTATTATACTAAGGGACTATACTGTAAAATTTAGCCGGTATTGTTATTGTGATAATTTAATATATTAAAGATCTGATACGTATATATGTACTTATTGTACTGGTCCCTATTATAGTACCAGATACAGTGCTGTTGTAAAAGAACGCCTATCATGGTCATCTTGAGAGATATTTTCATTAGGTTGATAATTACCAGACTGTACTTTAAACAGGGTCATGTGTACCTTGACGGTTTTTCAAAATTCCCCATATTCATGCTCTAGAGTCTACCATAAGGTGGTACATCAACACATCTGTGGTTATTTGAGTTCAAAACAACTTCATCAGCTTTATTACAATAACCATTATTGATACCTAAAGAACATTGAGACTGCTTTAAACTTTTCAGTTCAGTGATTACATCTTTTAAAACACCAGTTATACTGTTAATGACTTCATTCACATTATTTGTTTCAGGTGTATTTTGTACGGTTGGTGATGTGTTTACACCAACATCTTCATGATCACTCATCATATGTGATAGGACTGACATGTTATCATCTTCACTTTCATGACTTTGCCCTGCCTCATCATTTGAGTTGAAAAATATGGTATGATCACTATCGACTGCTTGCACTGTATTCCTCTTGGCAACTCAAGTCCCACTAAGGCTTGGATTCGTATCACTGGATTTGATGTTTGATTATCAAATCCCACCGCTCTCACCATTAAAATGTTGCGTTACGGTACCAGGCCCCTTAAATCTTTCTAAAGTGTGGTAAAGTGCGCAAGACTTGATGACCAATAACCGGGCCGGACTGTAAGGAACAATTCACAACAGAGAAATAATCACAATTATAACAAAGTTTTATTTTAAAATAGAATTTTTAGGGTTAGAGGGACTGATGATACTTGTTAGGCCTATATAGATCTATTGAACTGCAAAATGCTATTATAACCTCTGTCAATAGTGGGCTTCTCTGTATAAATGCCACTGTACATTGTAGTAATTCTTTAATTCTGGAGGTACGCCAGTTTAAGATAAAACTTGAGTCACAAACAAGGAAGAATGTTTACAGTTTACTTATTTTAACAAGAGGGCCATGATGGCCCTGAAGTCGCTCACCTGTATATAGGCCCACAGAGCGAGGCCAGTTTAAACCCCAGGGCTTTTATTTGAACAAAATTGGTAGACACCCATTAGAAGATGTTTCATGCTAAACATCTAAGGTCTAGCTCGTTGAGTTTTTTAAAAAAAGATTTTTTAAGTTTTAACTATACACATATAGTTAAAAGCAATGACATCCCTAGGGCGGGGCAAGTTTTGACCCCAGGGCTTTTATTTGAACAAACCTTGAAGACACTCACTAGAAGGTGTTTCATGCTTAATATCTAAACTCTAGCTATTTGTTTTTATTCAATGAAGATTTTTAAGTTTTTGCTATACACATATAAGGAAAATTAATGTCCCCCGGGGCAGGGCCAATTTTGACCCTAGGGCTTTTATTTGAACAAACTTTGAAGACACTAACTGGAGGATGTTTCATGCTTAATATCTAAACTCTAGCTATTTGGGTTTTTTTCAAAGAAGATTTTTTTAAAAAGCTTTTGCAAAACACGTATCTTAGCTCTAGCTCTTTGGGTTCTCTAAAGAAGTTTTTTTAAGTTTTTACTATATGCATATAGGGAAAATCAATGACCCCCTGGGGCGGGGCCAATTTTAACCCCAGGGCTTTTATTTGAACAAACTTGATAGACACTCATTTGAAGATGTTTCATGCTAAATATCTTAGCTCTAGCTCTTTGGGTTCTTTAAAAGAAGATTATTTAAGTTTTTACTATATGCATATAGGGATAATCAATGACCCCCTGGGGCGGGGCCAATTTTGATCCCGGGGCTTTTATTTGAACAAACTTGGTAGACACCCATTAGAAGATGTTTCATGCTAAATATCTTAGCTCTAGCTCTTTGGGTTCTTTAAAAGAAGATTTTTTAAGTTTTTACTATATGCATATAGGGAAAATCAATGACCCCCTGGGGCGGGGCCAATTTTGACCCCAGGGCTTTTATTTGAACAAACTTGATAGACACTCACTAGAAGATGTTTCATGCCAAATATCTAAGCTCTACCTCTTTGGGTTTTTTAAAAGAAGATATTTTAAGTTTTTTCTATCGGTTGCCATGGCAACCAGAGTTCTGCATGGAATTTAATTCTTTGAACAATTTTTAAAGGTGACCACCAAAGGAACATTCCTGTGAAGTTTGGATGAAATTGGCTCAGCGGTTTATGAGATGTCATTTAAAGTAAAAGTTTACGGACGCCGGGCGGACGATGGACGGCCGGACGAAAAGCGATCACAAAAGCTCACCCTGTCACTTTGTGACAGGTGAGCTAAAAAGTGGTAAACAGTTAATAAATTTAAATGTCAATAAAATAAAAGTATTGCAAATAACATCAACATATGTATATGAATTATAATTAAGTCCTAGATATCTTATTACTTATAAACTACCAATAAATTATGACGGCGACTGCGGATTAATTTCCCTTCAAAATGGGGTCGGTTTACTTTGCAGATGGACTTTGCAGACAAGTTAAACAAAGAGGGATTTTGCAGACAAGTTAAAAAAAGAATGTTTTAGATTTTGCAGACAATATAGATTATATAGGGGGTGTTTAATTCCTTGCCATAAGGTGTGAATGGGCAGTTATGCTCACTTTATGCATTCAAGAAATAATTATTATTTGCAAAACTTTAGATTCTATTTTAAAAAAAATTCCCGACAAAATATGAAATGGCGGACAAATGCCCACCCGTGAAAGCCCTCCCGTGACTTTTTGTCTGGGTACGTAAAGGGATTTTGTCCAGCCTTGCAAAGACATGAAGGGGATTATGTCCTCCCATGGAGGGGATTTTGTACGGGTATGCAAAGGGGATTTTGTCCGTAGGGGATTATGTCCGTACACAATTGAATTTTGCAGACAAGTTAAATAAAGAACAAAATATGAAATGATAGGTGAAAATATGAAAAATCTGTTTTTTTCCAGACAAAATATATGTTGAATTTTGCAGACAAGTTAAATAAAGAACAAAATATGAAATGATTGGTGAAAATATTAAAATCCATATTTTGCAGACAATTAACAACTGTACGACGTACAACTGGTCAATGAACAATGTTCGACATTCGAAAACTGATCATTAGCTGTCCGGAGACGATCATTTCCATACACAAAGAACGCTGTCAACCAATCGATCATTCGAACATCAACAATTCTTAGCTTATAAGTTTTATGAAAGTTTACACAAAAATATGATAAATCTATACATAAAATGTTTATAAAAATAACTAGTATGATGGATTGGCTATAAGTGTGTTGCTTTTGAAAAACAATGTTTAATCAATTTGTTTACTAAGCTTCAGCAGCAGTTGCTACAACACATTGTTAAAACTTGTTACACAATAAGTCATAGTTGAAATGGTGAGGATTTTTAACGTGATTTTTTTTGACAAGATCCATTTTATAATCGGGAATTTTGATGCATTAAAAAGCTTAAAAAATTTCCGTTGTGGCGTTTTCATGGTTACTTAAGGCGGTACTAGATGTCATTAAATCCATTCTATTTTGATGATTTGGATCTTCTTACGGTTAACTTCACCGCAAACTTTACACCTTGACAGTGGTTCTCCACACTCCATGCATTCACGATGGCAGTTTGTCTTGTTCTGACGTTGGTTTTCTTCAGCTGGTGTCTCTGTAAATCAAATGTAACTTTTTATTTCTTTTTATTCTAACTTATCAGTATTTTGTGTTAATTTTATAGAATTTTTCAATGAATAATAGGAGGTTATTAAACATGTATACGAAGGGTTATCCAAAAATTGCGTGGACTTTCTTTGTTGAGTAAAATATATTTGAGATATTGACTTAAAACTTTTACACTGCTTAGAAGAACAAATAACAAATAAACACAGAAAAATTTATGTTAGTAAGCTCCTTATAACAGTATTTATTTTTACATAAACACATGTCGGCGACAGCGGTGCACTCCAAAATGTTATTGACGTCAATAATGTACTTTATCACATAAACCGCGGCGCAGGAGTGTAATAAATAGAGGATATTTGTTTAGTTCAGTGTAAGATCGGAATATTTCACCGAGTGAGCAGTAAAAGGTATATTGAACTTATGGTGTTCATGAGGTGAAATATATTTCGATCTTACACTAAACTAAACAAATTTTCTTTTTATTATATGCAAAGAAACGTTTTAAAAAGACATTCAACCTCATACTGAATGAAAAGCGCGCCAAATAATAATACAACATGACGTCATTTACGACGTCACGTCATTTAGTTGGTACCCAGTTCTGTGCACGCTGGTATTTCACTGAAACAACGTAAGGGGCTTAAATTCAAAACAGTGAAATTATCAAAGTGGTAATTTCACTGTTAAATTAAACAGTGAAATTACCAGTTTTTATATCACTGATATATTTCTATAAACCACCGAAAAGCATGTTAATTATAAAGCCATTTAATAACAAGAGCTGTCACAGGAGACAGCCAAGCTTGACTAATAAAATACTGGACACAGTAAGGAGGACAAAACTATGAAAGAAAAACCAATTATGTATAATTATGTATTTAGTTATAGTAAAAAAGTATCATTTGTTAACATAAATTCCAAGATCAAGGGGAATAATTCTAGAAATAGTCATGCTAGAGTTATGAACCTTGTCACACAACATGTGTGTAATGATAACAAATATATATTTCAAGTTTGAAGTAAATACCTTAAAAAGTAAAGAAGTTATAATATTTCTTAAGAAAATCCTAAGTTCAAAGAAAGATAAATCTGTAAATATTGCTTCAAGAGTTATGAACATTGTCACATAAAATGTAATTGATGATAAGGAATAAGTATTTGAAGTTTTAGGTAGATACCTTTAAAACTAAAAACGTTATAGTAAAAAATAACATTTTTCTAGTAAAAAAATCTAAGTTTATGGGGAGATAATTCTTGCAATATTAGTGCTAGAGTTATGGACCTTGTCACATAAGATGTGGATGATGATAAGGTACATATATTTGAAGTATGAAGTTGATCCCTTTAAAAACTAGAACTATCGCTGAATGCGATTCATACCCCCACCAATGTCCTTGACAGAAGACGACTTGGAAAGGTGGTTAAGGGAATAACTTAAGTGGCGCAAATACATAAAAAGAAATTATCTCTGGTGAAAAAAAGACTAATTGTACAGGTAAAAGTATAAATATTCATTATCAAATCATGTTCGAAACAGTTACAAATAACCTTTCATTTTCCCAATATTAAACTTTTTATAAGTCAATTTTTGACCTTAAAGTGTGGCCTTGACTTTCAGCTGGCACCAGGGTAAGATGGATTCTGCACATCGCCCAGTTGGGGTGACATTTGAGTAAAGTTTGAAGAAAATCCTTCCATTAGTAAAGAATTTAAAGAGCGGACACAACATATCATCTAGTATTAATTGTATGTAAATTTAAAGACTCAAAAAAGGGGCATAACTTTGTTAAAATGCAATACAGAGTTATGAAACTTGACCAGCATATCTTCACTGTGACCTTTCATATAGATTTTAAGTTTCAAGCAAATACCTTTTCTAGATTCAGAAATATTCATATAAATGTTAAAATTTAAGAATATTTTCTAAGTCAATTTTTGACCTTCAAGTGTGACCTTGACCTGAAGCCAGCAAAAGGGTAACATGGGTTCTGCACATTTCCTTGTTGAGGTAAACATTTGAGCCAAGATTGAAGAAAATCATTCAATAAGTGTAGGACTTACAGAGCGGACACGACATACTGTCTATTATTTGTTTGTTTGATATTTGATCTTCAATTGTGACCTTGACCTTGAGCTGACACATGGGCAACATGGGTTCTGCACATCCCCTTGTTGAGGTGAACATTTTAGCCAAATTTGAAGAAAATCCTCCAATTAGTGTAGGACTTACAGAGCGGACATGACATATTGTGTAATATTTGATTGTTTGATATTTGACCTTTAATTGTGACCTTGACGTTGAGCTGACACCTTGGCAACATAGGTTCTGCACATCCCCTTGTTAAGGTGAATATTTGAGCCAAGTTTGAAGTAAATCTTTCAATAAGTGTAGGAGTTACAGAGCGGACACGACATACTGTCTAATATTTGATTGTTTGATATTTGACCTTCATTTGTGACCTTCACCTTGAGCCTACACATACACAACATGGGTTCTGCACATCCCCTTGTTGAGGTGAACATTTGAGCCAAGTTTGAAGAAAATCATTCAATTATTGTAGGACTTACAGAGCGGACACAACATACTGTCTGATATTTGATTGTGTTTGATATTTGACCTTCAATTGTGACCTTGACCTTGAGCTGACATATGAGCAACATGGGTTCTGCACATCCTCTTGTTGAGGTGAACATTTGAGCCAAGTTTGAAGAAAATCCTTCAATTGGTATAGGAGTTATAGAGCGGACACGAAAATGGAGACGGACCGACCGACGGACGGACAGACCGACCGACGCGACAAAGCGAATCCATTATAGCCCCCCCCCACATTTTGTGGTGGGGGTATAATAAATAAGTAGCAGTAAAAAATAATATTTTTTAAGGAAAATTCTAAGTTCAAGGGGAGATAAATCTGAAAATATTAGTGCTAGAGTTATGAACCTTGTCACATAAGATGGGGATGATGATAAGGTGCATATATTTGAAGTATGAGGTTGATCCCTTAAGAAATAAAGAAGTAACAGTAAAAAATAGTATTTTTTAAGGAAAATTCTAAGTTCAAGGGGAGATAAATCTAAAAATATTGGTGCTAGAGTTATGAACCTTGTCATATAAGATGTGGATGATGATAAGGAACAAATATTTGAAGTTTGAAGTTGATACCTTAAGAAATGACAAAGTTATAGTGAAAAATATTTTACTGCACCAAAACTTTAATCTGAAATCTGGACGCGGACGCCGACGCCGGGGCGAGTAGGACAGCTCTCGATATACTTTGTATAGTCGAGCTAAAAACGATATTACACTAGTTAGTGTAATAACAATTTGACGTGACGTCATTTGCGCTATATAGAAACATAGCGTTAAAGCGCGCTAATGTTAGCGTTACACTATAGACGCGTCGTATCGATTTATTCAGGGAATAGACATATACACATACAATTTTATCACAGATATCAACTTGCATATATATATAAAAACACACACATAAATGCAACAAAAATAATTATAAGATTTATTAATGAGTATGTTCTATGTAACCCTAGGATTGCCCATTAAGCTAAAAGCTTATTTCCAATGGGGTCAATTTTCTGTAAAATTATTACACTAACTTACATAATAATAAATGAGTTATAAAGAAGTTAAAATAAATGACAATTTTCAACAATCAAGACACATTTTTCAATATAATAAGACAAGTACATTGTACACAAACAATATGAAATAAATTTCGTTTAAACTAAAACATATCAAGTACACATAAACATGTTGCAAAACCTTATAAGTTACACATCAATTTAATAATAGTGTAACGCTAACATAAGCGCGCTTTAACGCTATGTTTCTATATAGCGCAAATGACGGTCAAAGTGTCATTGAAAAATTACTCATTTTAACAGTTTACTGTTCTTATTTTATATATGTGATAAATAGAATACTATATTCGTGTAGATCCAATACTAAATTTATTGAACTCGCCAGAGGCTCGCATAATATGATTTTATTCAACTCGTTCAATAAATTTAGTATTATTTTAACTACACTCATTCAATAGCCTCCATGTATATTGTGCTTCAGCGTAACGCAGTCAAAGACCGATACAGCTTCTCAAACTAAATTTCTTCTGCCACTTAAACACTTTAAATAAGTCTAAGATCGTGAAATTTTATTTCTCTGTTCACCTGCTGATTTTTTCAAATGTTTTTGTAGGTGTCATTCCGAAAATTACACAAAAATATGGTCCCGCGATTTTCTAATTTTTGCGTGTCCGTCATTTTCACGTTGTAAACAATATCGGCGTCTGTCGATTCTAGCGATATCAACAAAAGTTGACGGAAATGACGTCCATCATTTTAAAGAATTACTTAATTGACGTCATAGAAGAAACATGCAATGTTTGGCGGGTTTTCTACGTTAATTATTAGTTTTTTAGCAAAAAAATTACGATGACTAACTGCGCTTTTCTACCGTGCGCTGGGTGCCGTGTATGTGCTTATTTAAAAGCAATATAAAATCCTTACTGTATGTGTAGAAATATTCGCGGGCTTCAAATTTTCGCGATCTTCGCGGTGACATTCGATCCGCGAATTCATGTTCAGCGCGAATATTTCTACACCAATAATTTCTAAATAGATATATTTTCGCGCATCTATAGAACAATGTATATCAGTGTGTAAACGGCTGCCATAAGTCTGGTATCCGTGGCGATTTAAAAGAGTGATGTTACTGTTGTATAAACTGTACATGTAACATTTAGCTCTGTATATAAATCAGTTTGCTAGTGTAGTATTGTTTGACTGATCTGATTAGAAGTATAAACATGTTTGAACAATACCATTGTATTTATTTTATAGTCTGAATCATAAACGTCTTTACATCTGATCAGATTATATTTTGTTTTTCTAAAAAGCAATTATACAAATAACACAAACAATTAACGATTCTAACTGATGAAAACATGGAAAACAAAACACAGTTTCACAGCCAACATTTTAACAAAATTGGTAAAAAGATTTGGTCTCATTCAGTGCTGTTTAAAACTGTGAAAAATCACGCGCGTTAACGGACATCATTTATTTGTCCGCTAGACAAATTAGTGTCTTTGTTCTGTACAATAGCGTATTGTTTGACACCAGGTGTTGAAAATAACTCTGAAGTCCAAAATGATTACAGTTAAAAGTATGTCAATAAACCAGGCTGCTTGCGAAAACCATTGCCTTATCGTGTGAGAGTAATTCTCTTATTTTTAACCTGATGGGTGTACGCGAACTTATGATTTTCGGCAGTCACTTCCCCGAATTCAAAATAGCGCAAATATTTGTATATACCCCCAAAATGGACCTTTCCGCGAAAATTTGCTTCCGCGAATTTAAATACACATACAGTATTTATTGACGCAGTTAACTGTTCCTTTCAAAATGTTTTAATAATATTCTACAAGGTATGCTTATAAAATTTCACTACAATACACGTTGACTTTTAAGACATATTTAAAAAGTCCACAAATTTTTGGATAACCCTTTGTATGTTGAGTACAATTCTGAATTCTATTGAGCAAGTACACAGCTGTGAAACTATATTGGGCAAGACTCTAGTCTGATGAAGGTCTTACAGCTGTGTAGGAATCCAATAAATTGTTTTCAAAAATGTTAAATAATCTCCTTACTTCACACCACCACTTTTGACATTTTGACAATACAATAAGGATTAAATATGAATTTTTGAACTCTAAAAATGAAAGCATCTAGAAGGAGTATGATTTGCATTTAATAAAGATATTTTGGACTCTGAAAATGCAAACGATGCTTGATATGGACTAGAAATGGAATTTTTTGGACTCTGGACTTTAAAATTAGATTGGATTTAATAATGATCTCTATTGAAACATCAAGTGTTATATTTTTATTTTATTTGGTTTTATGTTGCACCAATAAAGTACAGGCGACTTTCCAGCTTTACTGGTGGAGGAATTCCTCAGGTGCCACTCTGTACATTATTTCAGGCACAAACAGGCACCCCAGAAGATATACTGACATTCCGTAACCTATCTGTATAACTTTCTCAAATGGAAGAATCTGAAGACGCTCAAACCTGCAGTGGTAAGAGGCAAGTGGTTTGAAGTCAATGACCTTAACCAATCGACCAAGGACGCCCTTTAATATCATGTGGTGCAAATGATGAAAGAGCATTGGTAAAAATTTTTGAAGTGAAATGAAATGTATACATTTAGAGCATGAGAACATTAACATTTCTGAAATCTAAGACTAAAAACTTCTATTACAGCAAATGCATGCATCTCTTAAATTACTTTAAAAACATTACATTTTTACTTAATATTTTTACATCTAAATTAAGATTTACTAAGTTAATTATGTTATGATTCTAAAATTACTTTAATATTCTTTCTTTCAATTAAAATGATTTTATCTTTAACAATATTTTTATTTTTATATTCATATTCTAACACCCTTTAAGTAAACTAGTACTGGAATTTCAGAGGAGAGTGAATGTAAATTATAAACAAGATTGCATTTGTGAAAAATGCTATGCCACAGCATTAATACAACACTTAAATAGTAATGTAGAAACATATATTTTTTTGTTTCTATACAACTGAAGATCGTCATAATGCATAGATCCCTGACCTATCTAACTCTTATTATCAGATTAATGGTTATATCTATTATATTGTTATTCAAAAAAAATAAGATCAGAGTAGGAATATATCAATGCAGTTGAGTCTAGTGAATTTGGTGGTGAAGGTCATATTTCACACAGCCTAAATTTCATGAATGTACATCAAAGGACAACACAGTATGAAACTTTGTCAAAATCTAGGTCAGCTGATATCAAAGTTCACTTTACATCTTAATCTGTGCACATGGTTAAAATTCCAGCTGTACATCAAAGGACATGAAAGTAGGTCACATCATCAAAATCTAGGTCACTTGATATCAAAGTTCAATTTTACAACTAAAACTGTGCATATGGTCAAAATTTCATTCCTGCACATCAAAGGACAAGAAAGTAGGTCACTGACCCCTTGGGAAAGGCGAAATTTTGATTCAAGGGTTTAATTCAAAGCAATCTTGATAGCAGATACAGGTCCACCAAACAACATTTCATGTCAAATATCTAAGCTGTATATGCAGCTTACCCCAATTCAAGAAACATTTGTTTTAGTTTCTTTTTTTCCAATGTGTAGATAATGAGAATCAATGCCCCCGGGCAGGGCCAATTTTGACACCAGGGGAAAAATTTGAACAACTTTGGTAGAGGACCTATAGATGATATTATATAGCAAATATCAAAGCTCTAAGTCAAGAAGATTAAAAATTTTTACTATATGAACATGGTGAAAATCAATGACCCCGGGGCGGGCCCAAATTTGACCCGAGGGCTATAATTTCAACAATCTTGCTAGAGATTCACTACACAATGTTTCATGCAAAATATCTAACCTTTAGAGAAGATGATTTTTTAAGTTTTTAATATATATACATATAAGAAAAACCTATGACCCCCAGGGCGGAGCTAATTTAACACCAGGGGCAAAATTTGAACAACATTGGTAGAGTACCCATAGATTATATCATATACCAAATATCAAAGCTCTTATCCTTGTACCTTCAGACAAGAAGCTATTTTAAGTATTTACTATATGTACATATAGTGAAAATCAATGACCCCCGGGACAGGGCCAATTTTGACCCCCAGGGCTTTAATTTGAACAATCTTGGTAGAAGTCTACCAGACAATGCCTTATGCAAATTATCTATGCTCTAGATTTCTGCATGGAATGAGATTCTTTGAACAATTTTGGAAGCCCTTCACCCAAAGATAAATCCTGCCAAGTTTGGTTGAAATTGGACAAGTGTTTTTTCACGAGAGGATTTTTTAAGTTCGCTATATAGTCTATATAACACACATACAAACACACACACAGGTGAATCGCTATATGCCACTGCAGATGCTGCGGGGGCATAAAAAGACCAGATTTACACAGAATAATATATGGTATGATATTAAAGACATTAGTGCACTAGCCTGATCCAAAATAAATCTTCAAAATGGCCTTCAAAGTTTATGTATACATGTACCTCAAAGAGATCAGCCCAACTTTTTTAATGTCAGTAGGGAAAAGTTTTCTGTGACCTTTACCTGCTCTTAAAATGAGAACACTTCTAAATAGTATGTTCGAATTTCTTATAAGCATGGGCCTAAATGAGATCTACAACCTCATTAGGTCAATGTCGCAGTGACCTTATTTCAATGTGTCATCTTACAGTGACATCTCTTGCAGGCACAAATCTTAATCTAACCTCAATAGAATGAATGTTCTGTTTAGTGCTCTACTGTTTGAAAATGTTCATGTTTTTTTGTTGACAAATTAACAAAGTACTTAGACAGTTATAGTACTGCAAGTTTGTAACGCAGCTTTTCATTGCATAATTTGGATGTTTTTGTAAATTATATACATTAAATATACATATAAATTATATATGTAATCTTTAACAAAGTTTGCTGTATTATTAATTCATTATAACGATTCTTCTCCAAAGGTTATATACAGTTGTTTTGTTAACAATATTAACCAGTCAAAAATCTTTATAACTAATAATTATATTTGGACATACCATTTTTCGTGAGTTCCTATATTCTAACAACATAAAATATTAAAAACACCATAATATTTATTATACTTATTTGTTCATAAAAGTCATGCTCTTTAAAGCGAAACTTATGTCTTAATTTACCATTTGCTACAGCCTGTAACATTTTCCTCCTTTTAATTACTTCCATCACATCAATTATCTCTTCAATTGAAGGATTTCTTGTTCCTGTAATAACAATAGCATCTACATTCATGAATGTCACTTTTCAATTGAATAATTTTAGTGATTGCAAAAAGGTAAAACTTGCACATGCAACACTTAAATTTTAGTGACTGCCTAAAGGTAATGCTTGCACATACCACACTTTAATTTTGTTAATTGCAAAAAGCTTATACTCTCACATAAAACACTTAAATTGTAGTGATTGCCAAAAGGTAATACTTGCACATACATTACCTTAGCATATTTGATTGCCACATTTCATGAAACATTCAGACTTAATATTCCAGACATCAGTGACAACAAATAATACCTACTGCCTTCATTGAATGCCTTGTTCAGTGATAAAATAATCTATATCATTTGGATTTAACCTGTACCTGTTTTAACATTAAAATTTTAAGATCTGTCATTATTAAAGGAACTCAACTGAGGTCTAAAAGCCTAAAAACATAAAATTTGAATTTCTTACATAGATCAACTGGGGCATTTGAAGCAGAAAGATGTGCAAAGGATGAAATAAATTGAAAATCCTATTTTTGTGCTATTCTTGACCCGATTTTGTTGAACAAATCTAATTTACAATTGGAATAATCATTCTGGAAAAACATAGTGAGTAATAAATCTGAAATTTTGCACACAACTACTTGGTCAAGAACTACATCAAATGGAAATCTAATTTTGGAAAACAAGAGCTGGTTGAACCAGGATTTGCTCCCCAACTAGGTTTTGGACACAGAGAAGTATATCTTTTGTAGTTTCAGAGTTATGTCCAAGACAAAGTTCAAAGTGTGATAATTTCAAACTTAGGCAATGTTGCAGGCGACACATCGTCTCAATATGTTGATCATTTCTGTGAAATAGTTGTAAAATCTGACTTCAATTAACAAAGTTATGGGCCGGACACGATTTTGCTGCAAGGTCAAGCTGTTACCTTGACCTTCAAGGCAGCGACCCAAATGTTGTGCATAACACGCCATCTCAATATGGTGATCATTTCTGTGAAAAAAGTTGTAAAATCTGACTTCAAGTAACGAAGTTATGGGCCGGACACGATTTTGCTGCAAGGTTATGCTGTGACCTTGACCTTGAAGGTAGTGACCCAAATGTTGCAACACATTGTCTCAATATGGTGATCATTTCTGTGAAATAGTTGTAAAATCTGACTTCAAATAACAAAGTTATGGGCCGGACACGATTTTGCTGCAAGGTGATGCTGTGACCGTGACCTTCAAGGTAGCGACCCAAATGTTGCGCGCAACACGTCTTCTCAATATGGTGATCATTTCTGTGAAATAGTTGTAAAATCAGTCTTGAAATGTTATGAAGTTATGGGCCGGACATGATTTTGCTGCAAGGTCATGCTGTGACCTTGACCTTCGAGGTAGCGACCCAAATTTGCTCACAACACGTCGTCTCAATATGGTGATCATTTCTGTGAAAAAGTTGTTAAATCAGACTTGAAATAACGAAGTTATGGGCTGGCAATGAATTGGGGACATACGTATGTACGGACTGAAGACAACGGGGCCACTATATGCTCCCCAAAAATTTTTCGGGGAGCATAATTAACACCACTCCCAACATTTTGAAAAAAACGTAGTTGAGCCCCTTAATGGAGAGGTTTCCAACAGTGTAATGCCAGGCAAGTCCGAATGTCCCTGTTCTGAGACCAGATATTGCAGTGCAGGGTTTTCATTCAACAAGAGGGCCATGATGGCCCTGAGGTCGCTCACCTGTATATAGGCCCCCCCCCCAACCCCCACCCCCAAACGTTGCATGGCCAATTTAACCCAAGGGCTTTTATTTGCACAAACTTGGTAGACACCCATAAGAAGATGTTTCATGCTAAACATCTAAGCTCTAGCTCATTGGGCTTTTTAAAAGAAGATTTTTTTAAAGTTTATACTATACACATATAGTTAAAAACAATGACACCCCTGGGGCCGGGCCAATTTTGACCCCAGGTCTTTTATTTGAACAAACTTTGTAGACACTCACTAAAAGATGTTTGATGCTAAATATCTTAACTCTAGCTATTTGTGTTTTTTCAAAGAAGATTTTTTAAGTTTTTGCTATACACATATAAGGAAAATCAATGACCCCCGGGGCGGTGCCAATTTTGACCCCAGGGCTTTTATTTGAACAACCTTGGTAGACACCTATTAGAACATGTTTGATGCTAAATATCTTAGCCATAGCTCTTTGAGTTCTTTAAAAGAAGATTTTTAAGTTTTTACTATATGCATATAGGGAAAATCAATGACCCCCTGGGGCGGGGCCAATTTTGACCCCAGGGCTTTTATTTGAACAAACTTGGTAGACACCTATTAGAACATGTTTCATGCTAAATATCTTAGCTCTAACTCTTTTGGTTCTTTGAAAGAAGATTTTTTAAGTTTTTACTATATGCATATAGGAAAAATCAATGACCCCCTGGGGCGGGGCCAATTTTGACCCCAGGGCTTTTATTTGAACAAACTTGGTAGACACCCATTAGAACATGTTTCATGCTAAACATCTAAGCTCTAGCTCATTGGGCTTTTTAAAAGAAGATTTTTTTAAAGTTTTTACTATACACATATAGTTAAAAACAATGACACCCCTGGGGCCGGGCCAATTTTGACCCCAGGTCTTTTATTTGAACAAACGTTGTAGACACTCACTAAAAGATGTTTCATGCTTAATATCTTAACTCTAGCTATTTGTGTTTTTTCAAAGAAGATTTTTTAAGTTTTTGCTATACACATATAAGGAAAATCAATGACCCCCTGGGGCGGGGCCAATTTTGACCCCAGGGCTTTTATTTGAACAACCTTGGTAGACACCTATTAGAACATGTTTGATGCTAAATATCTTAGCCATAGCTCTTTGAGTTCTTTAAAAGAAGATTTTTAAGTTTTTACTATATGCATATAGGGAAAATCAATGACCCCCTGGGGCGGGGCCAATTTTGACCCCAGGGCTTTTATTTGAACAAACTTGGTAGACACCTATTAGAACATGTTTCATGCTAAATATCTTAGCTCTAACTCTTTTGGTTCTTTGAAAGAAGATTTTTTAAGTTTTTACTATATGCATATAGGGAAAATCAATGACCCCCTGGGGCGGGGCCAATTTTGACCCCAGGGCTTTTATTTGAACAAACTTGGTAGACACCCATTAGAACATGTTTCATGCTAAATATCTTAGCTCTAGCTCTTTGGGTTCTTTAAAAGAAGATTTTTTAAGTTTTTACTATATGCATATAGGGAAAATCAATGACCCCCCCGGTGCGGGGCCAATTTTGACCCCAGGGCTTTTATTTAAACAAACTTGGTAGACACTCACTAGAAGATGTTTCATGCCAAATATCTAAGCTCTAGCTCTTATGGTTTTTTAAAAGAAGATATTTAAAGTTTTTTCTTTCGGTTGCCATGGCAACCAGAGTTCTGCATGGAATTAAATTCTTTGAACAATTTTTAAAGGTGACCACCAAAGGAACATTCCTGTGAAGTTTGGATGAAATTGGCTTAGTGGTTTATGAGGAGATGTCATTTAAAGTAAAAGTTTACGGACGGACGACGGACGGACGGACGCCGGACGAAAAGCGATCACAAAAGCTCACCCTGTCACTTTGTGACAGGTGAGCTAAAAAAAGGTTGTTTAAATGAAGACAAGGTATTTTATCAAAGTAGACAAGTATAGTAGTATCAGCAAGAATTATACACAAAATTAGCCGGTTATTACTGGTATATATCTTGTTACACTAAATTAGTCAGCTACTAGGTTGGTAAAGAGACCAGTGAGACTTTATTACTGTGAGTAAGCTAGAATGTTAACATTGTAATCCCTTCAAACTAACGATAGAAACATCTAAATGTTAAGAACGTAAAGCTGGTTTAAAATACAAAATTAAGATATTATGGTAAAATATGCAAATTTTTAAAGGAACGTTTGTGTATACAGTACAACCTCTACAGCGCAACAACCTTTGAGATTAAAAGATAGGTTGTTGTTGTTGATTGCGAGTTGTTTTTATAGAGGTAAGAGGTTAAATATATTGTTCAGTCTCACTCTTAAAAGAACTGAAACTGTTGTAAAGAAGTAATTGCTCTACAAAGGTAATTGGTATACAGAGGGTAGTTCTGTAGCGGTTGTACTACTAACAAAAAAAATTCCTTTTAAAAACAGTTACCTTTCTCTCTTAATTCCTTAATAGCTTCATTGATTTCCTTTGTCAGGTATCCCATTTTTTTACAAACAGCTTTACGTCCATCCATTGCATCTTGCAATTCAGGATCTCTTAGTTTCAATGCCTCTAGACGAAGCGACATACCATTTTCAGTAAAGGCTTCCAGCTAAATTTTAATACAATCATTAGTACATATCAAATATTTCCTGAAGACAATCAATTATGTATAAACAAGAGGGCCAATATAATATTATGATAATAAATATGTTTAAATCAGCATAAAAAAACAACAGAACAAGGAACATCGCAATGCGATGCAACCAGGTTTTCAGCAAAATATTTCACAGAAGCTTTGTCATGAAGGGGCATTTGTTTTTAATTGAACTTTTAGGAGGAATTATGGCTTTTTTAATATTCCTCAAACAAAAATGATTGAGAAATTTTATGTTGTCTATTCGCCTTTTTTCCCCAAATATTTTAGAAAGGTAAACAGTACTTTATTTTTGCTTAATTTTTGCATTTTTGCGTCTCTTGTCATTTTCTTTTGTCAACAATATTGGCGTGTGGTGTTTTGTGCGATATCAAGAAAAGTATGTTCACAATTTTAAAAAAATACTTGAATGATGTCTTGGAAGAAACATGGGAATTTAGTGAGCGCCAGGGCACTTGATGACAAAGCTTCTGTGAAAGTTTGGTCAAAATCCATTGAGAAATGTAGGAGAAGTTGCGCACTGTAGAAATTGTTCACTATATATTCTGTATAAGGAAAAAATATACAAAGGGCCATAATTCGGTCAAATATTATCCAATCACAAAACCCCGACAATATGTGCTAGGCACTTGATAACAAAGCTTCTGAGAAAGTTTGGTCAAAATCCGTTGAGAAATGTAGGAAGAGTTGAGCACAGAAAAAATTGTTCTCTATATATTCTGTATAAGGAAAAAATATACAAAGGGCCATAATTCGGTCAAATATTATCCAATCACAAAACCCCGACAATATGTGCCAGGCACTTGATAACAAAGCTTCTAAGAAAGTTTGGTCAAAATCCGTTGAGAAATGTAGGAGGAGTTGCGCACACTCTGAAGAAATTGTTCACTATATATTCTATATAAGGAAAAAAAAAAAAGGGCCATAATTAGGTCAAATATATACCAATTGCAAAACCCTGGCAATATGTGACAGGGCACTTGATGACAAATCTTCTGAGAAAGTTTGGTCAAAATCCGTTGAGAAATGTAGGAGGAGTTGCGCACAGAAGAAATTGTTCACTATATATTTTATATAAGGAAAAAAAACAAAGGGCCATAATTAGGTCAAATATTATCTAATCGCAAAACCCCGACAATATGAGCCAGGGCACTTGATGACAAAGCTTCTGTGAAAGTTTGGTCAAAATCTGTTGAGAAATGTAGGAGGAGTTGCGCACAGAAGAAATTGTTCACTATATATTTAATATAAGGAAAAAAAACAAAGGGCCATAATTAGGTCAAATATTATCTAATCGCAAAACCCCGACAATATGCGCCAGGGCACTTGATGACAAAGCTTCTGTGAAAGTTTGGTCAAAATCTGTTGAGAAATGTAGGAGGAGTTGCGCACAGAAGAAATTGTTTACGCCCGCCCGCCCGCCCATCCGCCGCGCCGCCCGCCGACATACCTCAATCTAATAACCAGTTTTTTCCTTCGGAAAACCTGGTTAAAAATGGGTAAAAGAAAGAAAAGGCCCGGTTGTATATGTATATAAAATATCATGAGTCTGTGATGTTACTTAAATTTTCTACCACTGTTTGACCATTGATGTTGAAAATTTAACTAAGTTGGTAAACAGGAAGTGGATGAGCATCAGACCTGGAATGGAATCCCACAATATGGGACCACATGCCAATGCTGTGAACCAAATATCAAGAGGCTGTGGTAAGTAGTTGCTGCGTAAACTGTTATGAAAATTTCCAACCATTGATCATTAATGTCGAAAATTTAGTCAGCAAATAGGAAGTGGATGAACGACAGATCTGAAATCAAAATCCAAGGTATGGGACCATGTGTTAATACTGTATACCAAATATCAAAAGGCTGTGAGAAGTAGTTGCTGAGAAAACTGTTACGAAAATTTCCAACCATTGACCATTAATGTAGAAAATTTAACTAAGTCGGCAAACAGGAAGTGGATGAGCGACAGACCTGAAATCGAATCCCACGGTATGGGACCACGTGTTTATGCTGTATACCAAATATCAATAGGCTGTGAGAAGTAGTTGCTGAGAAAACTGTTACGAAAATTTCCAACCATTGACCATTAATGTTGAAATTTAACTAAGTCGGCAAACAGAAAGTGGATGAGCGACAGACCTGAAATCGAATCCCACAGTATGGGACCACATGTTAATGCTGTATGCTAAATATCATGAGGCTGTGATAAGTAGTTGCTGAGAAAACTGTTACAAAAGTTTTTCCCCGCCCGCCGCCCAACATTCACCATACTATAAAAACAAACATAAAATACAATGTTAATTCCAATGAATATACAGATTTATTGAAAGTTTATATTTTTAGGGGCCCTGGGATGAAAATCGTCAAGTACTGATCCCACATGATTTCAGAATCAGCGGTGAGAGACAAATAACATTTACAATCAATGTGTGGGATTAATTGTCACAGAGAAAATTTTGCAACACATGAGGATCAATCAAGCCTCCCATAGATTATTTCCATTAATTTTTCTCCATTAAGCTTTGCTGGAGGATAGATACAATGTTATCACGGTTTATCACTTTACTCAGACAACAGAGTAAAATATTTAAAGCAACAAATCGTACAGACTTTTGTTAAGTTACTAATTTATTTTAGTTTAATAATGTAATTATATAACATGCTTTTCTTCTTCATATACTAATTCTTTATAAATTTAATACAGTAAACTCTGCTTATAACGAACTCATTGGGACATTAAAAATCTGTTCCTTATATCCGGAGTTCCTTGTAAGCATATAGCGAATTAGTTCCTTGTATCAGGAGTTTTTTTTATAGCGAACAGATTTACATATAACGAACTGATTGTTTATCATTGTCCTCCATTTTGAAAATCATTTGATTCAAAAAGAAAAGTTAGTCATTTATTCTTTTTTAGACCTGAGAGCATACTTTTTGGAATTTGAAAACCCTTTGCTATTTCAGTTTTAGCTTTACTCTCTTTCTCAATTTCTCATAAAATATCATATTATCTTTCTAAACTCAGTGCTTTTTGTTTTCTTTCCATAATTAAGAATAAACAAGATTTTCGACTTTTCCTTCCTTTTATATTGGTAATCTTCTATTATATTTTAAGGGTGACTAGATATAGATTTCTTTTCATTTTAATCAAGCGTACTTTGTAGTTTTCAATGGATTAGCAAGCATGTGTGGTTATGTTGATAACCAATTATTAATGATCATTATTATTTTACTCGAGAAAAACTATAAAAAAAAAAGAAATAATAGAATAAAAGGAATAACCGTTTTATCTTGGTGCTAAATATATCTTAACAAGAGCACCACTGGGCGGAGCATTATATATCCGAAAGTGATTTTTTTTAAGTAAAGATGAAGCATTTGTAAGACATGGGAATTAAATAAAGTATTACCCCCTTCAAATAACAATCCTCCTTTGAAGTTTCAATATTGTGGTCCAAATGGAACTTAAGTTATGCCCCAGAAACTGTTTTCAATTCTAAGGTAATAGTGACCTTGACCTTGTGACCCCAAAATCAATAGGGGTCTTCTACCCAATATGGACAATTATCCTATGAAGTTTGAACACTGTAGGCCAAATGGAACTTAAGTTATGCTCCGGAAACTGTTTTCAGTTAATAGTGGCCTTGACCTTTGACCTTGTGACCCCAAAATCAATAGGGGTCTTCTACCCAATATGAACAATCATTCTATGAAGTTTGAACACTGTGGGCCAAATTGAACTTAAGTTATGCTCCGGAAATTGTTTTCAGTTCTAAGGTAATAGTGAACTTGACCTTTGACCTTGTGACCCCAAAATCAATAGGGGTCTTCTAACTAATATGAACAATCATCCTATAAAGTTTGAACACTGTGTGCCAAATGGAACTTAAGTTATGCTCCGGAAACTGTTTTCAGTTTTAAGGTCATAGTGACCTTGACCTTTGACCTTATAACCCCAAAATCAACAGGGGTCTTCTACCCAATTTGGACAATCATCCTATGAAGTTTGAATATTGTGGGCCAAATGGAACTTAAGTTATGCTCCGGAAACCAAATTGCTAACGGACAGACGGGTCTTCTACCCAATATGAACAATCATCCTATGAAGTTTGAACACTGTGGGCCAAATGGAACTTAAGTTATGCTCCGAAAATTGTTTTCAGTTCTAAGGTAATAGTGACCTTGACCTTTGACCTTGTGACCCCAAAATCAATAGGGGTCTTCTACCCAATATGAACAATCATCCTATGAAGTTTGAACATTGTGGGCCAAATGGAACTTAAGTTATGCTCCGGAAAGTGTTTTCAGTTTTAAGGTCATAGTGACCTTGACCTTTGACCCCAAAATCAATAGGGGTCTTCTACCCAATATATACAATTATCCTATGAAGTTTGAACACTGTAGGCCAAATGGAACTTAAGTTATGCTCCGGAAACTGTTTTCAGTTTAAGGTCATAGTGACCTTGACCTTTGACCTTATGACCCCAATATCAATAGGGGTCTTCTACCCAATATGGACAATCATCCTATGAAGTTTGAATATTGTGGGCCAAATGGAACTTAAGTTATGCTCCGGAAACCAAATGGCTAACGGACGGACAGATGGACGGAAGTTGACGGACGGACGCCAGGGGGTATAACATAATATGTCCGAAATTCTGTAAAACGAAAACCATTACATACTGCTATACAAATTCATTTTTACAGCTGTAATGAAGTACATACATTAATAAACGGTACATTCGGGCAAGTTTTTATCTGTGCCAATGAAAATGAAAGTTGATAATGCAAGATTTATTTACGGATAGCCGATATTTTGGAGTTTGTTATAAAAGTGTAATTTTCTGTACTTTTAACTAAATTGGGACTAAGAAATAAGTTCCTTATAAGTGATAATTCCTTATAACCGTGTTGGCTTTAACATTATGCTTTTATATTAAATAAAGGGCAAA